GCATGATTTGCTGGTTGACAAACACCCTGTCATATCCATGTATTGCAATGCAAAAAGGCACTTGCCATCCTCCACCATCAGGAGGAGCAGTGGAAGAAAAGAAAGTATTTGGGCCTCAAAAGGATTTGAACATGTAGCAAATTGAGAGCAAACCAAAATGAGTCATTCGCCGCCAACTGGAGAACACCCCCATATTGCCTGGAAACAAAAAGTGCCAGGAGTTGATGAATACTAGAGTAGATGAAGGTTCCTAGATGTTTTTGGGCATGTTTTCTGAGACATACTCCACTTTAAGCAAATTCCATCCACTCAGAGTTTCAGAAAATGCGTTTTGGTGACATTTTCATAGTAAAAAATCTGAAAAACGGATTTTCCAGGAGCATTGAGTGGAAAACATGCCCCAAGGTTTTTTGTACAGTACAGTAAGACGCCCCTGAACATTGCTAGCAACTTTATTTGACACTTTCCGGACCACCAAAAATAACCCATAACCCGGAACAGTCCTGTAACCCTAACCCTAAGCGAGGGCAAGAGCCACGACCATGAGTGTGTTCTTTTTTCGAGACAACCGGACATATAACTTGCACCGCATGGGCTACGCTATTGTTGTCTACGTGGCAGTAACAACTTGCTGAACTTTGACAGGAAGAAGACTGTTATGATCTCGACGACGGGGGCGGAAGCGAAGTAGAGAAGACAGGGCGAGTGTGATAGGCGACAAGAGATTGTATTGGCGAAACAAGAAACAAGGACTAGAACAGGAGATGAGAAGAACTGGTGTTGATCTGCTGGGCAGGAAGGGAATGGACGAAGAGAGGCCGGCTATTTATAGATAGGCAACCCAGCAGATCAGAGAACAACAACAACAAGAGGGGACTGGGGGGCGCCAGCTATGCTCCTAGAGCGTGCGTGGCGAGCGTAGAGAGCATTGCTACAGCTGCTGGCTATGGGGAAGCAGTGGGGGGTGTGGAGAAGCCGAGGGGGGATTGGTGAAATGAGGGGAGAGAGGAGGAGTGGCGATATTGCAAGAGGATTGGCGAAATGAGAGGAGAGAGGGGGAGTGGCATTGACATTGACATTGACACTGACATTGACACTGACATTGACATCGACATTGACATTGGCGTTTGACATTTGGCGGTTGACATTGGCGGCTGTCAGTAGGTAAGCTTATGGTATGGGCGCGTCGTCCATAACAAAGACGGCGACCACGAAATGGATGCATACTGCTGACCCGGTGAGCAGGGCCAATTCGTCTCCGGTGTTCTGAAAGAAGCAACGGCTGAATCAAGTAAGATTTGCAAAGAGCTTTCATGGAAACAAGTGAAGAAAGGTGCGCCTGACTTACCCCCAAATAACCCAGAACCGGCAACATCTGCAGCAAGAGAGCAGTCGTATCGAGGACGACCAATGTAGTTGCGAATAGTATCAACTTCCGACCCAGTGCGTGGACATCCACTGGTTTTTGCGGCCTTCTGCTTTGGCCGGTCATTTCAGAGGTGGCCGACCTTGTTACCAGCATTGGGCTTGTTCCAGTCGCATTCCTTATAGGATCCCTGGGTTCACTGGGTATGAGCTGATCGGTTGCCGATGGCATTTCAGGGAGATCGCGGTGGATCTGGCGGAACGTATGTACCATAACAATGCTTAGGAACGCATCCACGGCGATGATGGCAACCCAATGTATGTACTGCACTTAACGGAAGGGAAGGACGTAAAGGATGTCCGTTAAAATACGAGTTCCTCCCTTGCAAAGGAGTGTCTTACGTACCAGAAAGCTGCCGAATGCCCATCGTAATGTGGGGCAGTCCATCATGTACGGGACCCACAACAAGAAATGGCCAGTGTAACCCAGAAATGTCATGCATATGGCCCAGAAGCGCATTCCAGGAACAAGCTTGGTGGACCATCCCAGAACGGGAATGAACATGTCGAAGCGCTCCACTAACGTCAAAAAGTACAGTCCGCCTCCGAAGTCTGACAAGGAATTGGACGCTGCCTTTGTCCACCAGTATGCGCTCCAAATGCTCTCGAACGTCCACTGTTGACAGCGGAGGTCACGTACGCAGACAACTCCCATCGCTGAGGCCACAATATTGAGGATTTGGCCTGCCGTAGCGAAAACAAGGGTCAGGGTTGACAGATATTGAATGCGATGTCGAAGCCCTCCCCCACCGGCGCCGCCCCACACTTTGAAAGTCCAAGCAAAACGGCCCACGCACAATATTATCGATATCACCGCCACAATGACGACAAATATGAAGAAAGGGGATTTCCACGACGTTCCCTCCATATTCTTGCGGTAAGATGAAACGTCTGCAGGCCAAACGCGGTCGGAAGAAGAGAATGTAAAATGTGAGGACAGCTGCAAAAATATTCTTCGGCGAGGATGGAAAAGGGATGGCAAGGGGATGCCCTGGTCTGTGTTCCTTTGATTGAGAGCCGGATTTAGTCCTATCCTGACTTGAGGCCGTACGAATTTACAAACGTCTGGGACAACAATACATGTAATGGTGCCTGAAGCGTGGGGCTCCGCCTTGAGGTTTATTTCCGCCACAAAGGTTAAGGTTCGGGACATGTTCGGTAGCGTCACCACAGCAGTGAACCGCAACAAACAGCTTCCAGCTTTGCGCGCTGTGCTACTGGCTGGCTGTGGTCGAAGGCTCATGATCCTGTTGTTTTTGGTCGCACTGGTTCAGAGGGGATCTGGGAGCTGTTTCAAATCGTCTGGGGGCTCCTTCGTTGCCCGGTTTGTCCCACGGTTGGGGGCTTCGGCCGACCGTCCGCCAGGAAGATGGGAGCAGATCCCGCCTGTGTCGATGCCTCATCGACGTTTTCGGACTGACTCGTACTGTGTATATACTGTATATATACATATATAGAACGCGCGCGGGCCCTTCTCGTCCCGCGCCCCAGACTCTTCTTGCTTTAATAAATTTGGTGCTACTGCTATGCCACTTTTTGTGACCGAGAGTTGCAACAGACGGTAAGACACAGGGTGGATCAGCGAAGTGACAAAAGAAAATTGGATTGGCCGGGCACCGACCGAACACCGCTTTAATTCTGCTCAACGATTAACTGGCAAACACTTCGGGTGGCGGCAGTCAACAGCGCCTCGTTTCTTAAACGCAAACACTTTTTGCATTCACATTTCTTGCTGTCTCCTTCGTTCTCGTCCTTTAAATTCAGTCAGGTCTCGTCCTTTCTCCGCTTTTCCTCAGCCTTTTTCCTTCTCCAAAACAACGAAAATGTCGGACGTCCAAGCCATAGTGAAGGAATTGTCAGAGACGGCTGATATTGGAAGGTTTATGCTATTGATAAGGCAATTTGTGAAAGTGAAAGCTGAGGACCTGAGCCTTGATGCGAACATTTTGGGTGGGGCTTCTGTCTGGATTAGTTCCCGCTTTCCAGTATACTCAACCAGATTTACCATTAGCGAAGGTCGGGCAAAGCTTTTCGAAATGGAACTTGGCGCAGGTGAAGCGTTACTATCAAATACGCTCCCTGCCAAGAGAAGATGAATTCCAAAAGCTGCAATTTAGAGTACCACTGCCGAAATCTCTAATATCAAGAATGATGATTGCGATGGATGACGCCAGCTATTCGCTTGGAGATTTGCGAGAAGGGAAAGAAATCAAGAAGGTTTTCGCGACATTTTCGGTTAGGAACGCTTGCCATTTCCTACTCATGTGGCATATACTGAATTGTCACCTCTGTAACAGTTATTTAGTGGGCTCGTAGCACAATTTCGAAAATCCATTTGGTTAGATCCGGAGGGCAACCTCACCAGTGATGTATCACAAGGTCGTTGCGAATTCGTATATCGCACGTTAGGTGACATAATTTTGCACCTCGTCGAGGCGAAACGTGAAAACTACGATCAGGGCTTGGCGCAGTTGATGCTAATGCTGGATGGCAAGTTCCCTCCTCGTTGTCCGGGCTTCTGGAGAAGGTCACGCTAACTTCAATTCGTACTACCATTAGCTGCACATTTAGAGAATTTGGCATCGGGCACCCAGCTGGATAGGCTTTTCGGCGTGATTTCTATGGGTTACCAGTTTTTTCTCGTGTCGTACACTCCCACCGCAGCACCAGCACATCGCTTCCGCACGATCGGTTCGCCGATAACCGTGGATTATAGCGCAACGCATTCGGAAGCATCGAAGGAGCATATGTTGCGAACATTTGGAGAGATCATGCTTGGTGTCTTATATGAAGGCTGGTTGTGTGCCCTAGAGCGCATGAATGAAATGCAAAAGCTGGGTTATGCGCGACCTACTCTCTCGGCTGATAGTCTATCGGCTGACCAAGGCAACGCGGTCCCGGACACTCGTATTGTTGACTCCGCCGTAGTTCGGGCTCGTCGAATCTTGGAGGCCATGAGACGTGTTGATATCACTGCCGAGCGAAGTGAGCAGCGTCTGGACACACTTTTTGGGCGATTGCAGTGAGTAATGACCGCCGCATTCTTGTTATCTGTGAATTGGATCTAAGCTTCTTCTGTTTTGCAGCCGACTTGCCGCAGCTTTCGAAGATCGTGATATTGACGCAATGGATATTGAATCCAGGACAGAGTTAGAGTAGTGAGTTTTGTTCATGAAAGATATTGAATCCAAGACAGAGTTAGAGTAGCTAGTTTTTTCTAGGAAAGAGCGTACTTTTAAAGTCAAGAAAATAGCAGGATAGAAGACTAAGGTGGCGGAAAAAAGAAAAGCTTCACGTCTACACCTCGAGCTACGCACAGAGAGGTGGTGGTTCAACCATCTCAAGACCCTGCCTCACAGTGCTGGCGTATCATCAATCGGCCCATATTCAAATCTGCACTTATTACCTACTTCAGAACCCGCCAATGCTGAAGCGGCGCCCCGGCACAGACTTGCTCCTGCCGTCGAACTTAATGCTGCACTTGGGTCAAGTCTTCCTGCGGAAGCGCCCCTCCCGCGAGACTTCTCTCCGCGATGTTTCCGGGCACTCTGGGCTTGCAGCTCGACAGGATCCGCTTCAAGGCGTTGGGGACAGACAAATGTGGAGCCGTCCTGAGCGATGAAGTTTACTATGTGAACGACTATCTTCTCGGTGGGGATGACGCTTTGAAAACCGCCAGCCGCATCGTCATAGCCGTGTGGAACGGCACCGGCAGCGAGACGCAGAGCATCTCGGGCCTTCTGATAACCTTCCACCATGCAGTTGCGCGGTATTCTACGGCGCGTGATACACATGCGGCGGTCAATCAGGAAGCGGAGGGCCATGGAGAAGAGGAGGAGGTCCCTATGGTGCACAAGCCCATTAGGATCGCCCGCGAGTTGGACGGTCTTGATGACGACGAAGAGGCGATGGGGAGAAGAGGCGGCCCTGGAGCGAGAGGTCATGATGATGTATGCGGCAAGAGGTGAATTGGCTACCAAGCGTGTTAGGGTCGCCGGTGAGTTGCACGATATTGAGGAGGGCGATGAGGTGTCGATCAAGAAGATGAGGTTTTGATCAAGAAGTGCAGGCGGAGTGCATTTTACCCTAAGAAGTGGACAACGACACTTGGGTTCATTACCTCAAGGTCCATAGAGGTTGTTACGGATCGTGCAACTACGCCTAGGCAGAGGGAGGCCATATTCCTTGGCTTACGCGGCCAGTCTCAGTTGCACGCAAAAGAAGTCCACTTCATTTCCAAACCGCTTTGTTGCGTAGCTGAATATTCTTGTTATGTACAAGACATCAATGCAGATGTAGACGCTGTTCAGCCCCACAATATCCTTCAGCGATCGAACATTGCCAGCGCATGACCCTGTCCATTTCCTCCTTCCTCCGTTCCTTTCGAATGGACGCTACAAGTTTTACGGCTTCCAGCGTCTGGGGCAATGTCAATAGCTCGAGTTCTCCGCCGGTCCCATCCTCGTCGTCATCATCATCAGTATCGTCCAGGACCTGAATTTGCGTCGTAATATGCCGCACCAAGAGGTCCCGAAAGATCCATTCCACGGGCGGCACGCGTACAGTACCCTCGCAAAAAGCTGGCTCCCCCAAAGTCAAGTCAGTGTCGCGGCGCCTAACTCATCCGCTTGTGAAACGGACTGCCACTTCAATTAGAACAGGAGCCAGCCTTTTGCGAGGGTACTGTACAGTCAAATGACTGCTCGACTGCGCTTGCCGCTCTCTTCCCTCGCGGCTACGTACAGTAAGACAGGAAGCGTAAGATCTCTGACTTCTCTGCTCTGACGCATCCTTGATGAGATTTCCACTTTTTGCCCGCCGCGAGCTTGACGACTTGCGCCTCTGTGCGTGTCCAGAAGGGTAGAGAGTTTTGAAACACCCTTTTTTCGCCATCCTCAGTTTCATAATGAAGGCGTAGCGGAGGTTCAAAAAATGCGGGGGATGTACCGGGATGTACAGGTACGTGAAGCCGTTGGAAGTCCTCGTCTTGTGAAGCGCTTGGTGGTGTCGATAATGTCCCGACGGACGAGGGGAAGATCGACAGCGCGTGTCCCTGTCGCTAGAAGCCTCACGTGACTCGCATTTAACCCCCACCGAAAAGGAGGAGGTTTCTGAGACCGCCAGCTCCCTCAACAGCACATCCATCGCAAGCCCATCGCTGCTGGTTACTCAGTAGCTCACCCGCTGCTGCCGGTTCACGCCCAGTCCAGCCTCTCTGCGCATCGGCAGGGCAGCCGACGTACACTGCGTACTCCCTCCGAAATCGCCTGGCTGCCTTCGTCCCAGCCGGCGACACTCTGAGACCCTCGAACCTCTTACAAGATCGGTTTCTGAGATCCTCCAGTCAACAGTCGAGCGTAAGAGTGGGAAACCTGGTCTCGGCGAAATGAAACGAGATATGACCCACCGTGTGCTTTCACCGTTTCGCCATCTCGACGCAGAACGGGGCCGGGCATTCTCGCGACTTTCGACCTCTGCTGATCGACCACTGTTGACATCGTGGTAACAGATTAAAATACGAGGGGCGCATACACTCTTCGCTCGAACATCACTCACGGTTCTCATACGACGCGCCGCCGATGTTATAGGACGCTTTTCCTCCGCTGACGGCCCAAAGCATATTCCTTTTCCCAATGACCGGTCGCGTTCAGTTGGGTGGAAGTGATTTAGATTGCCTCTCGCCCTGAAAACATCCCATTCCCATCAACTGTCTGCGCCACCGGTGACACTCCCGCTTATAACAGGTGGCAGACGTCCAGGACGGACTCGAGCTCGATTACCTCAACGGTTTGGAGGCATTCGTTGACCTCATCGATCCATTCGAAGAACTCCCGGTGATGAAACCTCCGATCGTTGTCGAGATATTTCGAGTTGTTCCTCATCAACACTTTCGCACTTTGGCAAACACTAATCTTCTGACATCCACGCACATCCATCCACTCAACAGGTGGCAAGTGACAGCGATGTCATTGAGATTAGCAGCCTTCGCAGGAGCATCGCACATGTCGAAGCCCCGAAACCCCGCCAGGCCGCAACCCTGCCGGATCAACCCGGCCGAGTGTCTCAAACTCCTTCGCCGGCACCTGCGGAGTCCACTTCTCGGTCAGGAACTGGGATTGCTCCGCTGGGGATTGAGCCGCGTCCGCGCCAGCTTGTACATGAAAAACCCACTGATCGTCGCCACGGTTGGCATGTGGCAGGCGTCACGGGAGTTCTTCCACGCGCTGGGACTTTCGGTGCACACACTGCTCCTGGATGAAAACTCCGCCACATACGAACCAACCCTCCTCTCTCTGCTGTCTCGTCGAACCGAAAACGTTGTTCTACGTGGCGACCCCAGGCAACTGGGCCCACGCCTGGAGACGCCGGGTGGCTTAAGTCAGCCGCTCGCGCACTCTCTTCTCGAGAGAGTTGCGCTGACAAACATCGCTCCGTCTCTCTGGCTGCGTGAGCAGTATCGACTGCCTGAATCAGTGTTGAAGCTGGATTCGTGTGGTCGCTTTACCCAAACCGAATGCACAAAAAGGATGAAAAGGAAAAGACATCAAGCAAATCGGCAAAGGCAAAAAGAACGAAAGAAGGGGAGGAGCTCAGCCGAAAGGAAACTGTTTGTTGAGTGGGTATTGTCGACAAAAGAACTCAAGATCCTGATGTCTGGCCACCATGGGTTGCTAGTCTGCGGAACCACCATCCCCAGCGTCGATGGTACTGCGACAATGGACCGCCTTCGCGTGAATGTCTTTACAGGGACAACGGACGGGATTCACATCGGCGATTGACGACGACGTGCGTCTGATTTGGGAGAATGGATCCCCACCTCGCCAAATTCGCCAGTTTGGTGAATACGCCAGAGCGAAGCCGCCGCGGGACGATCGACAACTCAACAATTGCACGCTCGAACGGTTCGCAGCTCACCTCTTTGGCGTCGAAGTGCCGTCGGAGGATCATCGCGTTCGTGCGGCATTGTTGGTAAGTACATGCGTGCAGGTGCTGATTGTTCCTTACGTGGTCTAGCACTTGTAGAGATCGTTCATGATCATGGATTGGGCGGGAGTATCATCAATGAGGAGAACCTGGGAGGAAGTCAGGCCGGAAGAAGCATTGAGGACGTTCGTTCACAAACGGAGAGAAGCAGATTACGTTTCACCTGTGGATAACGCCTCCTCTCAATGGCACGGCAAACGTGGATATATGAAGTCGGGATCTTCGACATGAGTGGGGCTTTACGAGCGCAGAAGGAATTCATATAAGGACCATGGAGCACGTTTCTTGTTTCCCTGGAACTCCGCGCGAATGCTTGAGGACGGCGTCTGCTCGCTCCTGGATGTCGGTGTCCAGGATAGAGCGTACGCTTTCCTTAACCGTTTCTGCCGATGCGATCGACAAGGGAAAGGGATAAGAATGATCTTGACACACCGGAGATTGCGCTAAGCTGACTGCAGCAGGCGGACGTTGCAAGGTCGTTTGAATCTTGGTGAGGTTGTTTGCTCCTGTCTGCGCCGGGGAACAACTTGCCAGCGGATGCTGTCGTCTTCCGAGGGCTTGGGTATTCCTGTATATCGATCACGATAGGAACGCCCACCAAGCGAAGGTGAAAGATTCCCAGTCTAAGACCGAGCCGCCTCTCGACTCCTGCATTCTCTTTTTGAATGATATGACACTCCGTCAAAAGATTGTAAAATCCGACTTCGCTGCCACGAGAGCTCACTGGAAGAGTAAGAGTGTCGCTGCGTAAGTCATATATCATATAGCTCCCGCTCTTGAAAAAATCATTGGACCGTCATACTCATCATGTTTATAGGAGGATTTTAAAGCTAGCTATGAAAGGCGCGGAGAGCGCATCAGACTTTGACGCATTGCCTGTTGATTTGAAGGCAGCATTCCGGTACCTGGATCACGATAGGAACGCCCACAAGTACTAGACCTACAACACCCCGACGGGCCTTTGATGCAGAAATGGAACGCTCTTGCGCCCGGCCAGTGCGGCTATTTACGAATACTCTTTCCAACGATACCCTTCCCAATGAGCCCAAACGAGAAGTATCAAGCCGTCCTAGCGGCAGTGGAGAAAGGGGACTGTGATTTGTTCCTCGCGCGACTGCGGGATGGACGCTCTGACGGACGATGGATGCGAAAACGGGGTTGCCGCACGTTTTGTTACTTGTGGACGAGGCAGGGACTTTCCGATGTGGATATCATCGCGACTGTTTCCGGGCCGGATTATGCTCCACCCGTTTTTGGTGTCAACATGGTGCGACAACCTGGCGCAGCATTATCTACCGCACTCGCCATTACTGTTCAGCAAAGCTGGTTCCCGAAGTGGTTCTCACGATGGAGTTGATTACCAACTGAGAAGGGAATCGTTCTCGTTGGTTCAATCGCACGCATGTGAGAAGACAGGTGCTGGATTGGCATTAGAGCACGAGAGGCTTGGGGCAAGTGTGAGGGACGTCAAAAAAAGCGTCTTCATTCGGGAACAACCTGAACAACCCAGCAGAACGCGCCACGAACGCGGACACGGCGTTCGGCGCTTGCAAATCAACTGTTGCGATTCTTCGACAACAAGGGTCGGAGTTCGGGCGTCCAATGGGAACGACATAGGTTCCCTCCGGGAAGCGAAGCGTGTGAACGTCGCCATCTTGCGCGCGAAGCTTGCGCTCTTTGTCTTGGGCGATATGAGGACGGTAGCTCGGGCGCTTTGCATCTGGATAATGCTCAAGCACGCACGCGAAAGGTATGTCACCTCAATGAAGACCCGTCTCCCTCCGTGTTGGTTGCTAACTGCGACTCCGCCTCCTCATTGCTATTCCCCATCAGGGTCTGGTTCCAGTCTGATGCTGGAGACATCCAACGGACGAAGGTCCGGACTGTAGAGAGGGCACTTAGGACATACCCTCCGTTCTTACAAGACCTCGGAGACACGGTGTGGCTTGAGTATGAGGATGGGAAGTTCTCCCGCATGTCGGACGAAGACGTATTCTGGGCCGACAAGACCACCGAAGCCCGACAGCTGCGTTGGCTGGAACAGTACGACAGTGGAGACGCGGCGAACACCAACGATACCCAATCAACATCGTCGAGCCGCGTCAATGCCAAACCAAGGTTTGTCCCTGCGAGTAACATCCGCAATGCAAACATGGCTCTTCGGACTATTCGGTGGCCGAACTGAGCGCGACGTCGGCCGTGTGAACGAACGCTTGCGTGACTTGTACCACTATTCCGAAGACGAGGAGGCTGCGGAAAAGCGCGCAGTGATGGCAACGACCTTCCTTCACAACAACAATCTCACCCCCGAGCGCAAGCACGAGCTGTGGGACGAATGCTTTCGCCTCGACACCAAGGCATTTCGCCCTCAGCGGTCGACGGTGCTTGAGTTTGACGGTTCAATCACGACGGATGGGCATGGCGTGACTGTGCATCTGAAGAAACCAGGAACACGATATGGACACAAGGCCAAGCGCAAATCCAAGGCCGAGCTGTGGCATTTCCAGAAATGGCCCGAACTCGGCTGTGACCCGAATTCTGCAGGCCGCGAAGGACTACGACAAGGGATGGTCAAAGTTTGCCCTCGCGGCTGTCAAGGCCACCTACGTTGACCACGATCTCGACACAGTGCAGCGAGCTGAGAACGTCGTCGTCATTGACCCGAACAAGGGCGAGGTCTGAGGAACGGCGGTGCTCTGCGCTACACCTCGAGCCAGCCTCCCCAACCGGATACGGACACTTCGTTCGTATGCAACTTCAAGTGGAGATGGCTTGGGGCTCGGAGCTCAAGACTATCGAGAACGTTGCGGTCATCTGGGTGCCAACGGAAGGTCAAGCGGCTGCCGGACAAACTCGATTGAAGGGGACAGCCGCCTTCACGGAAATCATAGTCAAGCCCAAGATCTTGCACAGGGTCAATTCATACGTCTTCAGACCGCGGATGGGGCGCATCCGTTCAAGGTCAAAGTCCTCACCGTCCGTCATGCAGCCGAGATGCGGAATCCCTGTCCGCCTTCCTTTCGACATTGCCATGCTGGGCGATAGCCCTTTGTACGATGCTTCGATCAGGCGTGTCACGGAGAGCCATGACTTCTCCATGACTATGACCATGAAGCTACCAGATATATGGGCAGAGTACACTGACCCAGGGCACTTGACACACTCGGATTACGGAGATGTGTACCAATATGCCGGGCGCCTCGATTATTCTGAGGTTCTGCGACACCTCGCTTTCGTCACTGCCGCAGCTGCTCAATCCCTCTCTGGTCGTTTCCTGTGGTCTTGCCACCGGTCCCAACAACAGCAACCAGCCCGATTGATAGCAACAAAGATAGCCACTGCGGACGACCAGAAAGAGCTGGAGAAAAAGGAACCTAGGGTTAGTGAAGAACCACATGGCGCCGACGTTCACCTGACCCCAACGCAGCCAGCCGCGCGCTCAGATAGAGATACTATGCCGAATGATGAACAGGAAGCAGAAGAAGTCGATGTGGACGGCAACACGGAACCGTCTTTTCCCATTACAATCACTGCGGAAGGAATCCTCGGGAGATTGAAGCCAACCCCTCCGTACCTGGTTGTCTTGCACGCGTCATCCTGTCAAATCAGTCACTCTCAGCAGAATACTGTCGGTGCCATACCCCCGCTTCCCCCCATTCCCATAAGCAAGCGTGGCTTCCCCTCACTGGCTGGGCTTTTCTCTTCGCTGCGCCAAGCCACACTCTTGGTCGCACAAGAATGTGGGGATTCATACATAAACGGGCGCAGGTTTCAGAGCGCCTCTTCCTTCTTTCTTCTTTTTCCTTGCGCTCGACCTCTTCAGTGACTTAAGCACGATGGGACGTCAGAAGAATCCTAAGTCTGGGAGGGGTGGTGTGGTTGGGGGGGGGGGGGGGGGGGGGGGGTTCGCCGCGCTCGGGCTCGGTTGTTGGGGGAGTTGTTGAGGCGCTACAATCGGTTGGCGGAGGCATACATTGTGCGACGATTGGATGAGCACGGCTGGAGTGGGTCGGGGCTGCTTGCGGCGTGGTAAGCTATCATGTATTGCGCTATTGCGTGTTCGCGTAGGGATGTAGGCGGTTGCAGGTTTGGGGGACAGTGGCCGTTTGCTAATCTTTCTTTCCGCTATACCTCACCTCCCAGTGATTCTCTGAACCGGGCCAACCAATGGGCTGAGGGTAAAGGAAGAACGCTGCGCTGAAGTTCCCGAAAACCAATTTGGAAGTCAATCGTTTCCCACCTCTCCCTCCCACATCTGCCGGCAGAGGCATTGATATTTTCAACACTGCGCACATCGTCATTGAAATCCCTTTCACCGGGTAGCTAGCTACATTGCGTTCATCGATCAGGTGCGTTATGCCACTACCTTGGCCTACTAGCATATCAATTATGTCACTCATATTAACACCCACTCCCTACTCGCTCCTTCTACCCTCAGGTCCCATCGATCTTCTGAAGACAGCTAGCGCATTGAACAATCCGGACCACGTCGGCGACGACATTGTAGATGCACTCCTTGAACGGCCGGACGCCCGCGAATGTACCATCTGCCCTAGTCCGCAGCTTTGTGGCTATGTCAAATCCAAGGGACCCCACTTGAACGAAGACCAAATGACGGCTGTCGCCGCGGCCAGCGATATCCCCGCCCGCGAAGACTACAATCCCCTCTTCTCAGTCATGGGCGGCCCAGGGTTCGGAAAACCCCTTGTTGCTCTCTCCATCATCAAGACCTGACCCGCAGACCTTGCACGAAGATTCAAGCCATCAAATCCCATCCGCGGTTGGCAGTCCACCATAGCACGGTGGCATAGACCCTCCGCAACAACTACAAAACGCTCCTAGCGCGCCAGCCGACACCGGCCACCCGTTGAGCGTTCACATGGAAGAAGTTGACAGGATCCACCGAGACATCCGGGCCTCCATCAAAAACGCCGGGGAGTTCAACCCAGCCCCTCGGCCGCTCTCTCCTGGAAAGAGTCGAACTCACGAACTGCGCCCCGTCTGTCTGGCCGCGGGAGCAGCACCGACTCCCTGAATCGGTATTGAGACTGGAGCACCATCTCTTCTTCGACGAGGTCACGTCCCAGAAGCCAGCCTCCCCGATGGCAGGGGGCTACCAAACCAGATCAAGCATCAGGAGCTCGCCTTTGTCAGAGTGAAACGGAGACGAGGAACCCTTAGTGCACTTCGCCACTTCCGTCGAAAATCGTAGCGAAGTGGTCAACCCCACAGTGAAGAACCACGTCGGCACCACGTGATTCTTCACTGTGGAGTTGAACAGCCATTGTGTAAACCCCTTTTGGATCGCCTGCGGACTAAGGGCGTACTGATGTCCACCGTGGGAGTGCTGACTCCCTACCGCGGTCAGTAAGCAAAGATCCGCGCTGAACTCGGCCAACCAGTCGAAAAAGGATACGCCCCTTCAGCACCGCGCGAGGCCACAAACGACTGCGATCAGGGCGATGTCCTCGACGATCACCCCAACCGAAATGATTACGCATCGATGCGCGTTCCACTCGGAAGGGGCAATGAGGTGACGGAGAAGGAGATACTGCTGTGTGGGTGGGGTCTTCTTTGGCTTCAAATGCATTTGTGAACCGCATGTTTCGGTCTATCTTGCAAGAAGAGGGGTAGTCCCACAACATGCAAGGGACAGACACGCATGCGCGAAGCACTTCCGTGCAGCTTAGAAGATTGCGACGCAGAAGGGGAAGGCGCAGAAGGCGCCGGGAAAAGAAGGCGGAAGATGAGGCGGCGGAAGTCATCGTCGACAATCGGTATGCATCATCGTTGGCACCATTGCGTAAGTACGCAATGGCGCAGATCCTTACTATCAAATCTCACCTTTCGGAGGAGGGGGAAGAAACGAACGGCACGGACGACGACACGGACACCTGGCTCCCCTCCGACAGCGCCGACCCCTCCCCCCTGCCGCCCAAGACACCCCCCGCGCCTCCTAAACCCCCCGAGAAGGCCGTCGGCGTGTGAGACTGAATGACCAGTGCCTCCACGGAGGAGTTAATGAGTTCGAACCTCACCACACAGACCGGCAGGGCGGCAGCTACAACAATAACAACAACACTACAACAACAACAACAAGAAAGTGAAGGTAAACTAATCAAACATCCCAAAGAAAGCGACCGCTGTGCGAGCCTGAACAGTCAGAGCCTCCATGGAGGAACTAGTGGGTTCGAATCTGCCTCGAGCCCTACAAAACCCCCGTCGTCACCTGTTGCGGCCACGTCTACTGCATCAAATGCGCTTTCCAACTCCTCGCCATGGCCGATCCCAAGTGCCCCAAGTGCACCGCTGCTTGGTGGCCCAAATCCAAGTTCAAAATCAACACCGTCCCCAACTGCCAACGCGCCAAACCCGACTGTGAACCTGGCATCTTTCGCGCGCTCTGTGGCCACACTTTTTGTATCAAGCACGTTGGGAGGGGTGTGTGCGCGGGGCTGGTGCACCGCCAGCAGCGATCGTACATCCTTCGGCCCTCAGCGTCCCAGTGTTTGTCATCAATCTGCCCCGGAGGACGGACCGCCTACAATGCATGGAACAGCAGCTAGAGGGCCACCCACATGTGAGGATTGTGCGGCCGTAGGCAGGAGATTTGGACGTCATGATTATATGCCTACACTGTCAAAATACTGTCAAACTTACCTACTTTTGCGGTCCCTGTCTCTGAGACCTCTTTCTCGCGCTCTCTTCTTCCAACCTCAGCACACGCCGAGAACCACACCCCGACACAACAACAACAACAACGACAACACAACAACAACCATGCCCAAAGCACCCTCACGTCCAACTCGCTCTGGTGCTGGAGCAGGCGGGGGCAGAGACGACCGCAACTATTCGTGCCTTGCTCCCGGAGGCGTCTGCGTTGTGTGCGGAGCCACCACATCCGCTGCGTGGAGGACGGGTATTGTCAAAGGTGTCAAGACTGCCCGGGCTGCTTGCAACAAGTGCGCCCAGGCCTATCTTGATGCCATCGCTGCCATCCCAGGCAAACCCGTCGTCCCCTCCACCACTCTCCCCGCACCCAACCCAGCCACCACACGCCTCACCCTCCACCTCCCGGCCCGCCCTCCGACCATCCCAACCCCCGTCTCCGCCGCCCAGCCCCCCGTCTCCGCTGCCGCTCCCCCCGCCCCTATCCCCAACCCCCTCGCAATCGCCAGCCTCCTTAACCCTGCCCCTATCCCCAACCCCCTCCCAATCTCCGCCCTCCTCAACCCTGCCCCCATCCCCACCCGCCCCACCCGCGCCGCCGCCATCGCAGGGGTAGCAGCAGCAGCAGCAGCAGCAGCAGCGCCCACCCCCACAACCGGCGACGAGGACGAAGAGGGGTATGACGCAGCCGAAATGGCCCAAGAGGAGCTGGCGGCACTTGAGGAGGAGGAGGGACACTGGCGGGCGTTGGGCAAGCTGGTGAAGGAGACGTGCAGCTCAACCACATGCCAGGCAATGAGGGCGCACACTACGCCACTCTTCGACGCTCATCGAGCGCGCCTCGCAGCTGCGAAACAGAGCGCAGAGACGGTGCGGGCATTTACACCCGCCTCCGACGACGCCGATGATGATGATGAGGAGTATACGTCGATGGAGAGCCTCCCACACTCGGAGTCCGTGTCGTCATACGGATCTACATCTGGTGGCGACGAGACAGCGGGCTCCGAGTTGTGGGAGGAGGAGGAATACGCGTTTGCGTGAGGGTGAGTTATCATTGTCTCCGAGATCGTCTCCGCTGCTCCTGACACCCGCTCTCTCTCGTAGGCGTCAGCTGTGTCCTGCGGCGGAGGCAGGCGATCCATTTTTGTTCTCGGCGAAGATCTGAGAGGAAGGTGTTCCATTTTTGTTTCGGTGCAGCGGGTAGTACGTTACCCGTGAGGAAGTGAACTCGACATTATATGATCAGACCCAAGCCCCCGGGCCTATTGTCAGACGCCTGTTCGCACGGAATCGCACCTGACTCTCAGTGACCAGCGTCGCATCGTATCGTTGACGACGGCCGGCGGGGCCCGCCATCAGCCCTCCGCCTTCAACGACTACCGGCACCGACTGCACCGATGTAGCTTGGCTCTAAACTTGGAGATTGCGAGTACGAATGCTGGGGAGCGTGGGTTAACCGCCGACGCGCAAGACGAGCCGGCCGGCGTCCAACCGACGGTTTTACCCACGGTGCGATGGACGGGCTTTGGTCGGGACACCCTGACAGTAATGGGCATGCTACTCGCCCGTGCGATTCGGCAGCAAATCTTGTCGTCGGCGGTTCCGTGGTGGAGGTCCCTTTTTTACGAGTATCCTCAGGCTGCAAGCCTGTTCGGGTGTCCATCGGCGGACTTTGATGAAGCCGTGAATGAGCACCTTCACGGGGAGCCGTTCCCAGCCATCGGGAGGGGGCACAACGTGACTGCGACGGGCGCTGTCGAGTTAGCGCTACTTGGGCGGGATGCAGTCGGTAGGGCACCGACCTGGGAGCCAGGTCATATGGATGAAGCCGTACAGGACTGGAATAACGGCGGCGGAGCACCTGTGGGTCGGCGGGCCGGGGCAAGTGATGAACAGGTGCTGGGACTGTACGGCAGTCCCACGGACGAAGGGGCTCATCGACGTCGGCCCTCCATGGGCGCCATGATCGAGAATGGCGAGGTACTGGTGGTACAGGAGCCGGCAAATCGGAACGTATCGCATTTCCAAGAATGGCCTGCACAAGAAGCAACGGCGATAACTCAGCTGTTGAACGGGGCGGAGGATTGGGACAAAGGGTGGTCGAAGTATGGAACAACAATCCTTCGTTCGGTATGCGGTGGATGAACTTCCGCCGCGATACGTTGACGGTGATGGGAATGTTGTTGGCGCGCGCTCTTCGCGAACAGGTCTTGTCCCCCCCCCCGCTCTCCCAGCCACGGATCTCAACGTCATCAAACGATCCTGCTTCGCATCAAGCCGATCTTGAGCACCCAACCCGCCAACGCCACTGCCTTCTTCGCCCAGTGGCAACCGCAGCATCCGGAGCAGGAGGAATAACAGCAGCAGTCCACCGCGCCCGCCGCCGCGGACAATCGTTGCGTCGCAATCGTTGCGTCGTCTGTGGTGCGAGCGAGACTGCGATGTGGCGTGTGGGGGTTGAGGGCGCGAGGTGATGCGCCCGGGAGTGTCGTGCAACAATTGCTGGTCGCATCATGGCAAGCCTTCCCTCTCTACCCAACCCGCCAGCGCCATGGCGTTCTATGCACAGTGGCCAGCAGCAGCACCCGCAGCAGCACCCACCCTCGCCCAGGCAGCTCCCTCTCGTCCCCGTCGTGCTGCCGCGATTGCTGCACGCTACCGCAGCAGCCGCCGCTTCCTCTCCCGCCCCATCGGCCGGCGAGGAAGCGGACCGTAGTACGATAAGCTGGAGCTGGCAAAGGCCGAGTTGTGGGAGTTGGAGAAAAGGAAAAGGGGCATCATTGCGCGCCTTTATCGCCATCCGCAATTGCGCGCTGACAAACCCCGAGGCTGGTCGGCACCTTCGCCTGCTCTGGGCGCACCACCGAGCACGCCCAGGAAGTGGTGGGTTGGTGGAGTCAGACGAGATGGAGGGACGACGATGACGACGAAGAGGGACGACCAGAGTGAATACTGGGAAGAGCCGGGGAAGAAGCTAACCCTAACCCTAACAACAGTACCGACAGCAACCAGCCACAGTCATCCGCACCCACAATACCAAACATGTTGTGAAATATGAATATCTGATTGGCGCCCGTTCCCTACCAAGATCCGCGGGACCCTTGGGCGTGGAAAGATCCATGTCCCCCCTTCGCGGACCGCCAACCGGACACCCCGCGCGGTTGTTATCAGCCAAGCCCCATGTATGCATCCGCGGAACTTTGACCAACATGGGGATGGTCCTTGCGAAGGCAAGGGTCCGTGCCCTGGTGGAGGTTACTGTTCTATGAGTACCCGGCTGGAACGACGCTGTTCGGCTGTCCGTCGGAGCCAAGTTGGATGAAGCAGTAAACGAACACTTGCACGGCAGGGCAGGGCGTTCGTTCCCCGCGACCGGACAACCCCACCACTTCGGGTTAGGGTTAGGGTTAGGCCCAATCATCCCTCGGTGTCGCCTATCATCTCCAGACGATGATGGACGCTCTTAACCTCCTCCACAATGCCACTGTTCTGAGGAGATTCGGGGTAGTGAATATGTTCTTTGCCTACCATGGCTTGGTGAACTGCCTCCATGGCGGATGGCGAGAGAGTCATCCTGGAAAGAAGGGATAGTTAAGCAGAAGGAAACGCTCGTACGCTGGATTATCGAGAATGAAAAAGCCTTGGGGTTCATCAAACCTGCCACGCATTCAGGAGACCCTTCCAAGAACGAGGAGACTGAACGCCTCTACGAGAAGATGAGGGACTGGGCCCGCAAGGGCTTGCGATACGCCTGCCTGGCTCATGACGGTTTCGCCGACTGTGATCCTTCTCCCGGACAACATCCTCCCCACCAACATCGAGAAGGAGAAGCTCAACGATCTGAAGCCCATCAAAGATATGTTGGAGCAACTGTTACCGGCGATGCACAATAAATTGCCGTTCCAGAGCTGCTTCATCGAGTACATAAACAACTTTCTGTCCGACTATGTTTGACCCCAACCCCAAAACATCGGCCGCAAAAGCCTCACGTGTTACGCTCCGTGCAGAGTAGAGGGCGGTGGTGGTGGACGAAGATTCTCGAAACAGGCCGGGGACGAACTGTGGTCCGACTGGGCACCACTGGTAGGTAATTTGCGGCCAGAAGAAGGGAGCCTTTGCTGCCGTGTGAGGATGTCATGATATATGCACGACAACCAGCACCTCGGTGGAGCCATCCATGCCCCCAATCGTCCCACCAACGTACGACATCCGATGATTCCGCGGGGCGAGCGACGCAGCGTCAATCCAATCTGGCTTGAAAGGGTTTTGCAATGCGGAGCCCTTCTGATGCAACGCCAGGAACCCGGTGCGTCCGGTCGGAGGACGAGTGTTCTTTGGCTCCTTTTCGCTAGATCTTGATGTAGAGTGTTGTTGTTGGGTTGTGGGTTTGATGGGATGTGAAACGACGCAGGCAGATGTCCTGAATCACATAGAGCAGCTGACGGACGATAATGATTGGAGGTGCCTGAGAACCTGCACGGTTCGCCCATATTCAAGTTGGAAATGCAGGGGGGTGAGAAATGGTCGTACGGTTTTTGGGCTGGTCGAGTTTTTGGCCGGAAAAGTGGGAACCTGACGGCAGTTCTGTTAAATTCGACAGCGCGTCCTGGCCGCAAGTAAAGACAACCCTATGGCTTGAATCATTGTCATTGGCTTCCCTCTCGAATCCTCCTTCCCAAACCAAGAATGCTCGTTTTGCAGCCGGCTAGGCGAGCAGAGCACAGTTACAATTTGCATACGGAGTCACCAATCTACCATCCAATACATAAAGCTAGAGTTCCACACGTCGCATACACAGCGGATGGCTGCGTCCCTGCCCATCCCAAGCTAACCAAAGTTGCCTCCCCAAGTCCAGTCGTCAGGCGAGCTGAAACTGCGCGCGGAGGACGGTTCAACGTCCCTATGGGGGAATACGCTGCTGTCCGCGAGCCGATGCTCGTGGGTCGTAGTTGCGGTTGAGTGGGATGGGATAGTGATTGTGTTTAGTCGGGGCGAGTAAACTAGGCCAACGGCTTCAGTTCAGCCTGTCGGGAGGGAACGGCGTGGGTGTGGGGACTTCGCGTGCCCGCCGAGTATAGGGCGGGTGGGATGGCTGCCGGTTGGCTCCCGATAAGTATGGAATGGATGTGCGATCCCGATGCCGGTGGGTCGCATGAGGGCCCCAATGTTCATATGCGTGGGCTGCCACCGAGCGAATTCCACACATACGTGTCGCTCCTGCACATATAGGAACAGCCGTACGACGTGTCGATCCAGTCCGGCATCCTCATCAAGCTTCTCCACAGAGGATACCGCAAAGTTCGCCGTCCCTCGGCAAACGTATCTTGCGAAACTGCTCGTTTTGGTCACGGAATCTCATCAAACGGCGCCGTATCCCTAAAACAGCTATCCCACACAGCGCGCACAGCGTCCTCAGCGACACGGTCGCCCTGGCACGACGGCAGTTGTTTGAGTTCCGTAATCGCCCGTCGTTTCACGCAGGCCTGTGTTCAGTGAGAACCAGGATCAGATCAGTCTTTGGTGGAGCAAAGGAGCATCCCAAGATAAGCACAGACATACCTGATGATGCTTAGCAACCGAAAAGAACCCCCTCTTCAACTCCCTGGTGAATTTACACTCCCCCGACAAACTGATCGCGCGGATGGTTGAGCAGGCGTAGTGTTCTGGGTCGCTCCAGTCGACTTTTGCCGTGCAGTGGTCGTAGGCGTGGATCAGCTCGTGGGTCATGGTGTCTTCCATGTGTTTTTTGGAGAGGAATGCGTTTTGGCAGAGGACGACCTATGAATGAATTCGGATACGTTTTAGATGGGTGGGGATGCCGGAATAGGGGGATACGAGATGATGATACGTACACCAAAATCGGGTGCAAACCCACCCGCCCGTGTAATCTCACACGGCGTGCACCTGAAATGTTGTTCGTTGAACGGACAGCCTTGCCGTTTGAGGTTGTCGAGCATGAAGCGGACCATGGGGCTGGACTGGAGGAGTTTCTTTTTCCATTTTTCGCAGCGGGCGAGGTCTTTGGATTCTTGGAGGCGGGCGGCTTTGTCGGTTGCTTCGTCGGGGATGGCGATGGCTGCAGGGGTGTCGGGCGATGATTTTATTGGGTCAACTTCTCTGTTGAGTGTCGTTGTGGTGGTTGTGGCGGTTTTGCCGGGAGTTGGGAAGGCTAGGAAGCTGGAAATGGCGTATCGCCAACTATCGAACGCTCGCTGTTCTTTCTCCAGGCCAGACGTGTCCATGTTCGCTGCTGCGGCTGCCATGTTTGTATAGGGGTTTGCGCCAAGACTCGGGGATTGCGATGATTATCGCAAAAGACAATGTGGGTTTGAAGCACTATATATACAGGGTGTGACAAGTACAAAGGAAATGTCAGCTACCTGGCCACCGACAGTGCACGAAAACAAAAAGAAAATGACCAGGAAATCTCTCTTCGCAGACATGTAATGTAATCGTGATATATTTGCACAAATTGTCGCACATCTTACATACACACACCCGCCAACCAAACCCCCCATCTCCCTAGCTATGCAAATACCCATCGTTACATACCAAGAAAGATATGTGTTCACCGGCCGGCGGAGCTGTGTGACGACTGCAAATGCCGTATTGGAAGAGGTGTACCGTTGATGCCTGAGAGCGAGGTTGAGAAAATGGGAGATCAGTCGAAGGTCTGGATATATTCGAGGAGCTCATCCCCAGCTTAGATCCATCCAGCTTAGATCCACGTTCCCAACGGCATGCCAGCAACGACACCGTTCCCTCTCTTTTCCCTCAGAACGAGAAATTCCTAAAAGCGTGCACCCCCGAAGGGATGCACACCGTCTCAGTTGTTCCACACGATATCATCTCGGAAATCGGGTTGTGTTCATCTTTGGAAATACGAGTCGAGTCGGGGCGGAAAGGGGAAAGAAACTAGATAGTTTTCATGCCAGCTTGTACTTACCAGTCGTTGCCTTGACGAAGTGGGTGGGGTGTGGAGTATAAGCGGTCGTTACGCTGATCAGGCACAGGATGTTGCAGCTTGATGAAGAGTCCGTGGGAAAACGGCATTTGCCAAAAGACCATTGCAATGCGATCTCCAACTGATTCCGAGAGAAAGTGGCGCATGGAGTGGCGCATTGCAAGCCACGTGGCGAGTCACAGTGAGTCACGGACGGACAGAGTGACGTAAGGCGGGCCAGGGCTGCATCCATCACATGCGATGACGTCTGTACGCATATTACAGCAAAGAGGACGACAGAAAGCCCTCCGAGAAACTCCCAAGCCCCCCAGACAGACAGGCTGAGGCGAGAGTCGAGACGGTATTGCGCTAAGCCTCGCGCCGTGGGGGGCCCTGGGACATGGATGGCAATCACAGACAGCACTGCGCAGGGGCTTAAAGTTGAGTGGGAGGCATGACATCTCATCTGCGTCGGTCACTCGCTCCCCTCACAATTCCAATGGGAGAGACTCCGAGAGAGAGAGTGAGTGATGAGCTGAGTGCGTGCGGGGGCGATGGATTGCGTCATGCCTTTCCGTCTCTCTCGTCCTCTCCCTATTCTTCTTCCTCTTCCTCTTCTGGGGGATCTCGCAACGCCCAACTACTATAAAAGACTGCCGCCCTTGCCCTCATCCCTCCCAGATCTGCACTTCCACTACTACTACCTCAACAACACAAACACAACAACTCAACTGCTTCCCACTCTCTCTTTCTCAACCACATACATACACACGCACATCCGAAAATGTCTTCCTACACAAACCAACCTGCCGTCGCCGCCCACGAACAAAAGGTCCACGGGAACGAAAAGGCCGCCGACGCAACTCACGCCGCAAAGGAAGCCGCAAAGGCCTACTACGACGCCGCGACCCTCAAGACTGCCGACACCCAGCAATCCGCCCAGATCTACGCCGACACCGCAAAGGACTCTGCGAAAGACTCCTACGCGTCTGCAAAGGACTCTACGGTGAACACATCGGCGAACGTCGCGGACCAGGCCCGTGCGGCCTACAACTCTGCATCAGTTCAGGCCCAACAGTCTTACCACAACGCCGCGGATGCTACCCGTAGCACGATCGACTCGGCTGCCAACACCGCTTCCAACGTTGCGACCAATGCTCAGGTGAAGGCTGCGGACGCTTACAACTCGGCGGCTGACACGACGTCGCGCAACATCGACGCCGCCAAGGTCAAGGCTGCTGACACTTACAACTCTGCTGCCAACACCACTTCAAACGCTGCTACCTCCGCCCAAATCAAGGCTGCTGACACGTACAACTCGGCCGCCAACACCGCATCCAACGCTTCCACCACCGCCCAGGTCAAGGCAGCCGAGACACCCGCAGTCGCCAAGAGCTACGTCGCGACCGCCCAACAAACCGCCCAGCCTTACGTCAACGCCGCTCTCGAGAAGGCCGAGCAGGCCAAGACCTCCGTCGTTTTCACCGCGGCCCAGGCCGCCGACACCGTGAAGGCTTCTGCTCTCGCAACGGGAGCCAAGGCAACCGAGATCTTCAACACAGCCCAACAAAAGACCACCGAGACCCTCGTCGCCGCCCGTGACCTGGCCTCTCACCACGCCACCATCGCCACCGAGAAGGCAGTCGCCGCAAAGGACACCGTGGTCGGAACCGCCGTAGGAGCCAAGGACTACACCGTCTCGACCGCAACCTCTGCGACCAACCAGGCCACCGCCGCAGCTATCAACGCGAAAGACCGCGCGATCGGTGCCGGTGTCGCGGCAAAGGACTACGCAGTTGGGACAGCTGTCGGCGCCAAGGAGTCCTTGACCCCTGCGACCACCACCACCACCACCACCACCACCGGCCCCACCGCCACCCAAAAAGCCTACGCGGTCGCCAACCAAATCGCCGGCACCGTCTACACCACCGCCGAAAAGGCCCTCCACACCGTCGAAGGCTACGTCCCCGAATCCGTCAAATCCACCGCCAACCGCGCCCTGCACACCGTCGAAGGCTACGCAGCCCCCGTCGTCGAGAAGGCCCGCGGGATCCTGCCCGGCGCAGCACCCGCGGCTGTCGGGAAGCCCACGGATGAGGTCGTTGGCGCTGTGATCGTTGACGATGTCGTGGAGACCCGGACCGGTGTGCAGGAGAACATTGCGGTGGTTCCGGTCGTGGAACACCACAAGACGGCGCCGGTTGTTCAGCCTTTGTAGATGCCCCCCCAACGGTCATAACACCAACATCGCGCTCGTCAGTCTCTTTTAATTAGATACCCCCCATTTTCAAACGTCTTATTTTTGGTGAATTTCGTTCCGGCTTATGTATATTACACGTTGGGCCCTTTCTGTCATGAATAAGAGATTTTGTTCGATGCATTTTACGAAGATGGTGTGTGTGTCGATATTTTGGGAGTTGCCCTCTCTGTTTGTTGTCGTTCGCGACCTTTGCCCGAGCGCCATATCCCTTTGCCTCGTCGTCGCTGCCTTCCGGCCCACACAGAGGGGAACAAAAATGTGGAAAGCTCGCCCCACTGCACCTAGAAATGCAGTACCCACTGGGTTGGCTAAACTTGTGCCACACTTCACCGTGAATCATCCGTACGAGAGTCATCGTCCCAGCATGTGAACAAAACGTAGGTATCCCTCGCTTGCAATCGAAGGCGGGTCCATGCACGAAAAGACCTCCAAAGCCAAACCCGCAATCCCCACTTTCCCTCCGCAACACATTGTATTGTACTCGTCTGTGTTCCTAATTTATATACCGGGTCTAGCTGCAGTGAGCCGTATATCAAGGACTGCCATGGGGTCGCTTTCACTAGACGTGAGAGGCCTCTTTATCGCTGGGTTGTCAACTGGTGTTGAGGCTTCATTTGACGGGAAATCAACAGCGCGGCGTAGGGCTCATCGGAGGATCGGTCGATTTGTGGCAAGGTTCAAACCGTTCGCGAAATGCATGGCCGTTGACCGACCTCCGGACCTATCTTCCTGTGAAAGTGCAAACAACCGACGTCCAACAGCGGTGAACTTTTTCGATGGTCGAAGAGGGATGGGAGGAATGGATGGCCAAAGTCGGTTCCAAACAGCGAGAGGCGAATCGAAGAAAACATGGCATTTTTGGCACTAGGACGTTGCGGATGAACGGATCTAAACCCGCGTGGATGGACAACTCCGGCTTGTTCTAGGTGGCCGCTCGCGGAAGGTGGTTATGGTGGTGTGAAGGTTCATCGACTGGCCGTGCGGAACGAAGGGGTGTTTAACGGTGCGCCAACGGGTAACATCGCTGTTGTTGTTGATTTCCTGAGCGCGACAGTCGCGGAACGCAGGGGGGGACATGAAGACTTCCCGGCGGAAACTTGGCGCGGACGCTCTTCGCGGTTGATGTCCGCGTCAAGCTGGCGTTGTCGCGGCCGTAGAGCGCCCAGCGGTCCTACTCGCCATGCCCGCTGCGGCCGCACGAGGAACACGAGTAGTCAGTGATACATCTCTCGCGGCGGCGGCATGTGCCCACGTTTGTATTCCTCGAGATGCGAACCCTTCGGCGTCGGAACCCAGCAGGAACATGCCCTCCCGTCAAATCAACGCGAAGAGCACCGGTTTGTTTTCGGCACATCTGCAGCAACCCAAGCCCACACAACCAACACCACATTCTGCCTCCTTTCTCTTGACTGGTTTTACATACACCAAACAAACATGTCACTTTTACATACACTACTACACCGTACATAACAACGGATACAAGTCCAAGTCCCCAAAAAAAAGACCGAATACCATCCAGCCGCAGTCCCATCCCGTGTTTCCAAAACAACGCGGGCGATTCCATCACTTCACTTCGTCTGACCCTCCATAACCCGTCCGTTTCTTGTGTCTTCTACAACGCCAAAGCCAAACCAACCCGCGGCTTCCACCCGTTCCACACATTGTAGTCGTAGATTTGGTAGTATTTGCGCAGGAAGACTTCGCCGAGGAGCCATTGGTTGAGTGTGTCTTGCTAGCAAAAAAAAAACACCACAGAGATCGGGGACGTTAATGGGGCTCGTGGGAAGGGATGGGATGGGATTGGCAACGTACGTTTGCGCGGGACTGGAACGGCGCATAGCAGAGGTCGGCGTTGTTTGGCCAGACGCGGGTGGGGAGGTCTTGCGCTGTGTTTTTCCATCATCAAGTAATGTGAGTGTGCCGCAAGTATCGAGACCGAAAACGAGAAAAAAAAAGGGGGGGGGGATGTACATAGATGACACTCACCATCCAACGTGAAATTGTACCCGCCCAACGTGAACGTGAACTTGACTTTACTGTTCGCCGCCCACCAGCAGTTCATCGCCCACAGGCCCTTCGAGACGGGATAGGCGGTGGGGATGAAAGCGTTGAGGGCGGATGCGACGGCGTAGTCCGTCAATATCAGCGTCGTGCCTTTCATGCACAAACCGTCACATCAGTGATCCCTCACCAGATCCCATCTCGGAAAAAGAGGTGGACATACCGGTATCAACCAACCCCCTGATATCCCTCCCCCCCGGCACCAAATTCCCGCCCTTCGGCCCATACACCCCCGTCCACGCAACATGCCACCACGTACTCGTACTCGGAACATCCAGCCAATACACCGGACCGGTATACCGATCGGGGTTCCCCCGCGTCGTCCCGAGGGTGAGCTCGCCCCCGACGACGGTGGAGGGGTCGGCGGAGAAGGAGGGGGTGCGGTCGAGCCAGACCCCGAAGGCGGGGGACCCGATTGTGGATTGGCGGAAGAGGTTCTCGATGAGGGAGGAGTGGCCGACGAGCCAGTCCGGGACGAGGGAGTTGGCCCAGGAGAGGGGGGAGAATGCTGTGGGTGGCAGGGGGGTTGAATGGGGGAGGTGAGATGGGGAAGCGGGTGGGAAGTTGGTAGGCTTATTTACCCATTCCCATTAGACCGTCGATGCTGCCCGGCTGAACGTTGGACGCCGAGTCGGCTTGGATGAAGACTTGGTCCGTGGCGGTGAGGTTGCCGATGCGAAGAACATCCTAAGTTGCCGCCAGATCAGTGTAAGGAAAAAATGGGTCATGAAAAAGGAATGGAGGAGATGGACTTACCTTGACGATAGTCCCCGTTGCGGACCCGATACCATACTACACCAACAATACATGCAGCAGAAGTGAGCGGGTAGTGAACGGAAAACGACGGCATCCTCGACGCAAAGTGGAGCGCGTGAAGAAAACTCACATAAGTCGTTGTCTTCAACCCCGTCTGCCACGCCGAACTCGATACCGTCGGGTTGTATTTGGCTTTGTTTCCGCAGGTCTTGCAATTTACCGAGGGGACGAAGAGGTCCGATGAGCCTATGTTTACGATATGTTGAGTGATATGCGTTCATGATCGTCTCGGGGATGCGAGGGAAAGAGGGGACGACATTTGTTTGACGGGCTATATCTCACCTGTGTCGATGACGACGGAGAAGGGCTGCGGTGGGGTGCCGAGGTAGATTGTTACATAGTACTAGAAGGAAAATGACAGACAGAAAAATTGTGAGTCGATGAAAAGCAGGGATCTCACGGACATCCGCCTCCCTGTAGCTCGCCGGCCGCTCCCGGACATCTCCCCCGCACCCTCAAACCAAACCCTCAACCCAACGAAAAAAAACCCACCATAGTGTCATAGTTATTCCTAATAACAGTTCGATCCGTCAACGCCGGAATAGGCGTATCCCTCCTCGTCTTCCCGGTCTCACGTCTCCCCTTCGACCCCCCCATCGGCCGTCGTCGAGGCCTGTTTCCCAGTCCCGCACTCGTAGTTTCATTCCTGCTTTTCCATTCGCCCGTGGCTCCGACCGGTCTCTCGCCTGTGGGGATTTGCCAGCCGGGTCCGTCGTCGTCTTCGTCGTCATCATCATCTTCCGAAGCAGAGGAGGGGAAAGACGGAGGGTCGGCGAAATGACGAGAATCGAACGCGGCGGCGAGGGTCTCTTCGTCTACGCCGTCGGCGATCTCCACTTTCTCGCCGTCGGCGGAGCGTTTGAGGAGCGAGCGCCGGGTGGCGTGGCGGCCTTCGGCGTGTTTGATGAGTGGGATACTGGTTTTTGGGGCGGGTCAAACCAGCGCTTCAATGCAAGGAAGAACGGTACACAGTCAATGGGAACCTACATTGCCGCACCACCATCCACAGGCTCAGGGGCCTCGGCGGCACGAACGCCCGCGCGAGCTAGTCCGAGCGCGCAGATAAGCACCGTTCCAGTTGCGATCTTCATGTTTCCTGCGTATCTCTCGGATGAGTGGATACTTTCACCTCCCGAATCGGGTGGACACGGGTGATCGATGTCTTGTTTCAAACGTTGATTGAAAGCCGTGAACTTCACTCGCACCGCATCAATAATGTAGCCTGCATACAACAGTGGCAGGGAATGTATATAGGAGCCGTTCGTGGGTTTTCCCTCCCTTTCGTTGCGCTCGTCTTGGATCTACCAGTTTGATTTCCGTACACTGCGAGCCCATCCAGCGTTTTATACCGCTGCAGCGACATCACTTTCGTCTTGGGAGGGAATTCATGGCCCGCGCGCGGCTTGATTACAGTGAAGCTTAACCTATTCTAGCATTTGAAGTGATCATAGAAAACTGGTGCCCATCAAAAAATAGGGTGAGGATCCCAATATCAAAGGAATGCGAATGATGACGGAATGGATTGAGCGGCCTCTGTCTCATATGTTCGTGAGAACTGCTAAACTCATGGCAACAACGGGATGGAGTGGTTTTTGGTAGATAAGTGATTAGATGGCGCCAAATACTGTCTGGGCTAGTTCATGGGAATCGACTGGAGACCATATTCTTTTGTGCCAGCCTGCAGTCCGCTTTCTCGCCGGTAGTCTTCGTCTTTTAATTTGGGCGCATGCCACGGTTTTGCAAGCGGGGAATGGCCAGAGTGGAATGATTGACAGCCATTTCGACGGGTTCGCGTTGCGTAAGCGAGCGGGGTATCAGGTCTTCTCCCACCTCGTTTGCACTCGAGCATTGGCCCTGATTAAGTTGGCTGAGGACCGCATATCATGCCCTGAAGCTTCCCGGGAAACAGCCACGTTTGCCGATACGGGTGAACTGGAGTTGTCCGAGATCCCGAGCTGACCATGCTTCACCGGAAGTCAAATGTTTAAGGGAACTGAGGGATGAAAGAGCCCATGCGGGATACCACACAATGCAAGCCCGTATGCCCTTGAGAGTATATCTCCCCAAATACCCGCGCTCGGACAAATGAGCGTCCCAGTTCTTATAGGAAATCCCCACAGCGTTTATGGAGCCGGTCTCAGTCAGGACGCGCTTCGGGATATCAGTTTTAAAGTTCAATCGATTGACAGCGGAGGGGCACATTTCGATCGTTATCTTCGCTAATCCAAGACAAGCCGGTTCATTCCATTTATCGCGCGAAGTGGCGCGGGTAAGAAGGTTTGGTTCATTGACACGGTCCTTTTTTTTTCTCTTTCGTCATTCTGAGCTTGAATGAGACAACCCAGCTCTGGTATTTGGGATATTGCGTGCATTGGTGCTCCGGTTGTCCTCTGCGGTCTCTCTGCGGTCTATTTTGCAGCAAAAGGGAGAGGGTTCCGCCACGATTCTCTCTGCAACATTTTGACCCAGTTCTCTACGTCTGCCGGAACATCTGAGCTGGGCTGCTGCGAAAGGCCTGTTATTGAGGGCCTACCATATCCGCTTCGATCATTTTACATCGGGGAAGCTTCCTGTATATCAACAACGCTCGGACACAATAGACACAGATCCGCCGAATCCATTCGCCCAATCGCTTGATACCAGTGCGGAACAGCGATACCGATCATGTCCACCCCCAAGCCCAGCCTGTACATCATCCCCAAGGTGCTCATGTTCTCTCTGTATATCATCCAATGCAGCGCGCCCACATATCTCTCGCTCATCTACCAAGATCGGATCGGGCTCCCCTCGACCATGATCGGCATCATTTCGGCCATCCCGCCGTTCGTCGCCATCATCGCAGGGCCCTCCTTGTCGCTGATCGCGGATATTACGGGACAACCGAAGGTGTTGCTCGCGGTCGCAATTGTGGCGACGTCGGCGACTTTGTGGTTGTTTGTGCTTTTGCCGCTTACGTTCGGAACTGCTTGCGTGGTTGCCGTGCTGTATGCTGTTACGAGCGCGCCTATCGGGTCTATGATGGATGTGATTGCTCTGAATATGCTGGGTGAACATACCATTTTGTCAGTATCGATCATGGGCGCTGTTCAATATGGCGAGGGGTGGGAAACTTGATATCTTCTTGGAACCAAGACTGATGCCATCCATTGCAGGTACGGTCAGCAGCGTGTCTGGGGCTCCATCGCTTGCGGTGTGACATCCTTCGTCGGAGGAATGATTGTTCAAAAGACCGGAACGATAAACTCCATGTTTGTCTTCCACTCGATCACGGCCTCAATATTCCTCGTCCTGCTCATTGGCGTCTCCCAGCCCTGGAAGCGCCACGGGAGCCACGAGAAAGATGATACAAAACTCGACGACGGTCCTGTTAAGCCCAGAAACATTGCAAAGTCTGCCGCCGTTGAAGAAGATCTCGACGGCACGCTTGAAGAACTGCGGGACATGCCGGGCCCTATCGGCGGCCCTAACGCGGCTGCACTGGGTCGCAGCCGATCCCGGCGACTTTCCATTGTCGATGCGGCCCGTCGCGCATCACGGCAGGGAAGCATTGCAGCATCGTTGGGAGTAACTTCAGTTGCGGAAGCAGCGGCAGCGGCGGCTGCGTCCGCTGCCGACGAAAGCGCGAATGGTCCATCCTTTGGCTGGCTGCTTGCGCCGGATGTCCTAGCGTTCTTCTTCTCGAATACCTTGTTGGGGGGAGTAATGTCGGTGATTGGTAGCTTCCTGTGGATCTTCTTGACGAATGAGCTGGATGCAAGTGCGACCATCAGAGGAATGACAGGAACGGCGCAGGTGGTGCTCCAGCTGCCTTTCTTCATTTTCGCGAAGCAGGTCTGTGAAGGAATAGGCTTTAAGGAGGCTCAAGGACCATGGCTCTGACATAAAGGAATTCCATCCCAGGTATTGCAAAAAGTAGGAATCAGGCGAAGTATCATCATCGCGAATGCAGTCACCGTGTTTCGATTTCTCGGCTATACAATACTGAAGAAAGGACCGATGGCCAATCTCGTGCTTGGAATCGAGTTGATTCACGGTATGTGATACGTTGGAGAATGCATTGGTGTGCAAAGATTCTCCTGCTGACTTTTACCTCTGCAGGTTTGGCCTTCTCTCTGAACTGGACAGCATCTGTCGCTTACGCCGCAACGGTGGCCCCTCCGGGAATGGAGTTCTTGGCGCAGGTAGGGGGGTTGGAACAAAGCCATGACCTTTTTGGCTTCTTTAGCTCAGAAAGTCTTAATGCGATCTCATGTCAACCTGGTGACTAGGGAATTCTGGGTGCATTCTACGGAGGCCTAGGATCAGGTCTAGGCGGTCTTATTGGAGGGTTTGTCTACGCTTCCTTCGGCTCCAAGATTCTGTTCTTTGGATGCGCCGGTGTCACGGGTGTATCACTCCTCGTATACGTCCTCGTACCTATGCGCAAACTGAAGCCCGAGCGCGAAGACAACGTCCCTCCAAACGAGCGGATCATGGATCGCCGCGGCAGCCAGCGTCTTATGGAGATGGAAGCTGGGGTTGGTCGACGACCAAGCGCGGCTGCAGCACATGCTGCTGCCGCCGCCGCTGCGGCGGGGAGCGTGCGACCGTCGCTGGATACGGCCGACAGTCTTTACGTTGACTATGCATCGGTTGCGGACAGGCGCCCATCTGCCGTGGCGATTGCGGTCGCCAATCTGGGCCGGATGAACTCCATGATCAACGTTTGAGGAACTGCATTAGTCACACAATGCTGCCGCTCGGTCACCCAGTTCCCTGGATTTCGATTATGTAGGCCTTTTTGGGGCAGAGCTAGACTGTGGCGAACGGCGGACTCCATGTGCAGTGGATGGACTTCGGCTGATGGAGACCTGCCGTGAGATAGGATGTGATCGGGGAGGAAAGCGGACCGCATGAGAGTTTTCATCTGAGCGACCTTTTTTGCGACTGCAACCATATTCGCCTTATACACTTTGATTTTGATTATGCTCTTTTTTCGTAGAATGTTTTGCTTTAACAGTTTGGTTGGGGAAAATTTGACGGGGGTCTATTCCACTCCCACTGCGCCACTCTCGTAAGCCAAGGCAAACCAAACTCCGATAACTGCAACAGAAATGTGCAAAAGGGGAAGCTGTCAACGACGGCGCCCCAAGGGTGCGGTACTCGTCCTATTCAGACCTGGTTTGACATTGTCCGTGCATGGTTACTGATCGCAAAACTTGCAGCTTAATTGATGGAGCCTTGATGCGTGCTCCTCTGTGGCTAAGGGAAACTTGTCAAACGTGTATCCCATTGTTTTACCCCAAGAATAACCCGGTCTGGAAAGCTTAATTCCAAGGCGGGCAGTTTGATGACGAACCACATGGAAGCTGCCAGACAACACTCTCACCGTATTACGTGCAAGTGCTTTCTGTGAGTTGAGGGTCGGGTGTTGATTTCCCCGCTTAGAAGTCCCACTGTCGATTAACCCATCCACAAGAGAGGCAACCACTTCCCCATACGACAAACCTCGTCAAGCGCTAAACGAATATCCATTGCGCCCCGACTCATTTGAGCACAACGGAAACGAACCGTATCTCCGCATCTGCGACGTCGCAGCCAGGAGTCATCCTATACGGAACTTGACTGAGCATTTCTCTGTCGAATCCAGTCTGCAATCTATTCCAATACTGGTCACAATCCGCTCATCTTTCTGAGAAATAGTAGACAGTACACTAGACCTTCGAAGTACTAAGAGGGACTACCAATAGTGGTTTCCGACAGCAACTGGACACTACGAAATACACCACGCATTGGAACGACTGCCTTCTGCCGACTGCACATATCGGTCGATTGAGCACAGCGACAGAGTCATCGTAAAAGCGCACCAAGACGTATAGAAGGAGAACTTGTGGTCTTTAGAACTTATCCACAGCACGGAAGCGGACTCGAAAAAACCTATAATTCAACATTCACGCTTCTCTTAGTTCTTGTTGACTTGAGCGTACGCGATGCCGGCAAGTGGAGGAGGAGCTGGCTCCTCCGCAGCTGGAACTCCGCTGGCCGCGGCTTCCGCTCGCAATAGCTCAGCCGCAGATCATATGGGAAGCGGCGGTTCCGGAGGTGCCGAAGGATTGTCATCCCATAACCCCGGGCAAAATCCCCAGCATCGATTTCCCTTACTTCCGTCATCGTCCGCAAACTCTGGTACGTCAACATCAAAGTTTAGCTCCGAAGCCAAGTTCCACCCAACTGGCAAGGATGAACTAACGCAATCGAGAACAGATCAGTCAAACGCTCCAAGCGGCAAAAATGCATCGAAGAGCACAATAAGCTCCAACAATCGAGGCGAACGACGTGGCAGCCTCAACAGTGGAGACTCCCTGACCCGAAAGCATACCCAAGCCCGCCCGGCCCCAGCGGTCACCAGTCAATATCTTATGGGAGCAGCGAGCAGCCAGCCCTTTGATGTCAATGATGCTTTGTTTGCGACAACGACCACGAATGCGCTCGTCTCAGTGCCATCTAGAGCAAGCCTGGTCGCGGGACCGAAATGGCATCCGTTCTGGCTGACGTACAGAGACAACGAGATGGAACTCGAGTACGAAAAATTCATGTTGGAGAAACAGCTCCGGGTGTGGAGACGGACGATTTTCCTAGTGTTTGCTGCCGCGACGCTCCTGTATGGGTATGTCATGATCAGGTCGCCAAAGGATGGGGAAGTCTGGGAGAGCTCGTTTTCGGATGAGGCTAAGGGGTCGGTCACTGTGGATAATATCGATAGCGTCTGTCCGGCCGGCTGGTATTGGTGAGTACATTCGATATCTTATCCATATTCAGCACCTTGCCGTAACATTTCCACGATTTCCCTATCAACTCGCAGCATGCAGTGCAACCCGGATTTTATCTGCAATAAATACCACCTGAGCTGGGATCTTGGATTCTGGATTGGATCGATTTTCAGTCCATGTTTCATCGTCATCATGGCATCGTACAGATTGCGCCTTACCCAACTCGCTGCACTACAGAACTTACTTTCCGTCCTCTTCATCATGGCGTACGCCGGCCTCGGTCTCATTATTCGCTATCGAGTTGTGGAGCCAAATACGCCTGTTTTCCAGACTGCGCTGCTGAGCATCATGCTCATATTCGTCAGCTACCTGTTCATGCGAGTCAGATTCATCTACACCGCGAGCAGCTTGCTCGTCATCTTCGTTGTCTTCACGGCAACTTATGGAGCTGACCTCACCCGAGAGCCACGCTATGCGCCTTCTAGCGTCAAAACGTTCATCATTTCCGTACTCGCATTGCTGGTCACCGTCGTCGTCGTTTGTTTCAACACCTACGACAGTGAAGTGTTCAGCCGATCTCAATTTATGGCAGCGTACATGCTTCAGAAGACGAACGCAAAGTTGACGAATCAGCTAAAGGTGTTGCAGAAATCGTATGGGAAGAAAGTGGCGGATCTCGATTCTCCATTAGAAAAAAGTGTTATGCTCTTGAGGAGCATGATGGCTGATCCAACAAATAGTCCATCGCATCTGATGTCGCTAAATCAAATTGTGGTTTTGCTGGGTTCGAGCAATCTGCTGGCACCGGATTTGGAGAGCCAGGTTGCACAATTGGACAACGAGCAGGAGGTAAGGCGTTAAGGGGAACGTCGCATTCGCAATATCGATGCTATGAAGCTCATGATGTACAATTGTTTTCGGACCCTGTAGAAATGGCTTTTCTCCGAAATCTCCCCACGGCGCAAAGGAACCAGTGGACGAGCTCGCACACGCCGACGATCGATCACCGCCGATGTCTCTGCCAAAATCGATACCCCACTGGTCGAGGCGTCTACCGCCAGCATCTTTGGCAGCCGCTCACTGGTTCCAGAGAAGCCAGGTCAGGGTGGGGACAGCGGATCACGCGCGACCAGCGCCAGTATCGTCAATACCAGCGGGCAGCTCCTGTCGACGCACGAAAGCGCTCCGGGTCTCGTCCTTGCCAATGAAAGCCAGTCCAGTGTCTCTTCGGGAAAGCTCAGTACTCACCGCTACACGGTTGGCGGCCGCGGGTCCGGGCCTGTTGGTGTTGCGGCGTCGATGGGCGCAGTCGACGAGGCCGCTCGAACTCAGAATATTCTCCCGGTGATGGCCTATTCGACATCGGTGCTGCCTAACCGACAGAGCGGCAGCAACGCGACTAGTGAATCTGTGGTCGCGATGCCACTCGAGCCGATATCTGCATTTAATCCATCCCCAGAGGTGATGGCGATGTTGCAGCGCTCGCTGGATTACAACTGGCCGGTGTTCGAGTTCGCCGAGCTTTGTAATGGCCAGCCGCTCACTACATTGAGTTACTACCTCTTCAAAAAAGCGGACTTGTTCAATATCATGAACATACCGTTTGACCTATTTCGGAATTTCATCCTAGCTATTGAATCCGGATACAAATCTGATTTACCATGTAGGTGGCTGGATTGGGACATCGAGGCTTGTTAGCAGCATCCCTTGGTTTCCCGTGTCCGTTTTGAACCCATTGGATGCAGAACTCACTCGTTCCACCTTGTCCCTCCAGATCACAACTCGACACATGCGAGCGACGTCTTACACTGCACAAATCACTTTATGTTTGCGAATGACGTCGTTTCTCATGTTGTGGGCGATTTCGACATATTATCCATATACGTTGCCGCCATTATACATGGTACGGACAAATCTCGAGTGAATATTAAGTTGCCGTTCCAACTCGGGGCCCATTTTGGCGGGTGAAAACTGATGTACATCCCAACACCCGCAGATTACGACCACCCAGGGCTGAATAACAGCTTCCTCATAAACACATACGATTCCAAAGCGATGCTCTACAACGACAGATCGGTACTAGAAAACCACCATCTAGCCTCGGCGTTCCGCGTTATGAACCTACCGGAGAACAACTTCTTGGTTAACTTGTCGAAAAACGACTACAGGAGCGTACGAGAAGCTGTCATCGACATGGTGCTTGCTACGGGTACGTGCGAAAGAATTCTGAGGGAGAGTTCACTGATGCATGTGACGTAAACCAACGGAATTGCTGACCGTGCATTTCGACGCATCTTCTTGCACCCAATAGATCTATCGCAACACTTCCCACTCATCTCGCTCTTCAGATCGAAAGTTCAAGGGAACTTCCAGCCTTTAGAACTACGCGACGACCGGCACCTCCTCTGGAAGATCCTTATCAAATGCGCCGACGTGTCCAACCCGAGCAAATCCTACGGTCTGTACGAAAAATGGGTGCGGGTCATCCTCCAAGAGTTTTTCTTGCAGGGCGATCTCGAGAAGGAGATGGGACTGCCCGTGTCGCCGTTTATGGATCGCGAGTCGTTGAACGTCCCCAGCAGTCAGAGCGGATTCATTGAGTTTGTGGTGTTCCCGTTGTTCGAGGCGTTTGATGTCTTTGCGACCATTCCGTCGATAATGAATGATTTGACCAAGAATAGGGACTTCTGGTAAGTTTCTGCGCCTCGGATGCCAATCTCGAACAGGGAAAGAGATGGCAATGAAGGAGGGCCTTTTGGCATGGATTGCTGACTTATTTCATCACATTCAAGGCAACGACTGAAAGCCCAAGGGATCACGTCCACGATGCCGCTCTCGGGTCCACTGGGGTCCACGAATAGTGTCGGCGGGCATTCCCCACCAGGGCCGTTGTCCAAAGATCACTCTCAGTCACAGTCGCAACCACCGGTGATTGCGACGGCCGTCCTTTCACCTTCCCCAGTGACCGGTAATTCTCCAGCAGTAGCGCCCAGCGTAACTACGGATGAAAGCGAAGCCCGTCCGCCCGCGGCAGCAGCAGTCTCAATGGAGCTTCAAGCACAACCCGCCCCATCGACACCAAGCCTACATGGTCAAAACCAGCCGCACCTTCAACAACAGCAGTTCCATCCCTCCCCAACACCGTCTCATCGATCTAAACACATGTCGACATCCATTTCACAAACGCATAACCAGTCGCAGGTCATCCAGCAGCTGCAGTCCATGGCACTGCAAAGAGAGCTCGCAAGTCAAAGTCACTCACATTCGCTGCCTCATTTGCAGCAGCAGCAGCATAGTCAGGCACAACATCAGCAGCAGGTCGGCTCGTCGTCTGCGAATGTTGTGCTGCCGTCACCTGACCGGGGAGATGGACCGCCGCCGCCAGAGTACTCTGCGAGACGGACGGAATGAGGTTCTTGTTGCGGAGATATCTGCGCCGACAATCATCCCGTTCCTGCTTGTGCTTTGCCGACAGACTCCTTTCCTCGCTGTAACATACCACACCTCATTCTGTCTCCTTTTCCCCTGTGCCTCCCACCTCCGACTTCTGTTCCGCACCACGCAGACCCCCTCACCCTTGGACCGCCACTCCGACTTTTATGTGGCTGCCACTCTTTAGTCAACACGAGCGGACCCGTATCTCCTTCCCCATCCCTTCCTACCTGCGCCGTATAGAGCAAACAATAACATTTCAATTGACACATTTCACCGTTCATTCCTTTCCTCACTCCCAATGGATTGACGCATAAATACAAGTATCTAAACATTAAGGCGCAACATGCGGGCTAGGAGGAGGACGATGTCCGCGGTCTTCCCCTGCGCCGCGGGGGGCCGTGACTCGGTGCTGAAGAAGTGGGTAGCAGGAATGTGGGATCGGGATCTGACCGGTGATTTTGCGGTCGATTGATGGGAGGAGAAGATGATGCGTTTGCAGCTGGAGATTGAAGAAGGCATTCTGCTACCGCGCGGGTGATGGCGGCGGAAGATTGGTTTCGGCCCTGCAAAGGGAGGCACATGAGATGTGATGACCATGCAAGGGAACGATCTGGCGGAAGTCCGCATTGTTCTCGATGCTCCCATAATTGCTCTCGATGCTCCCATACTCACCAGCGAAACAGATCCTCAGCATCATCGTCATCCGCGGCTGCCGCGCTGGAAGGACCTGCTGCTGCATCGCGCTTTGGCGAAACAGCCCTCGCCCCCGTCCCTGTCTGCGATGGCGACAGCGCTCGATTGCTCTTCGCCAGCCGTGGCACACCGGCGGCCGACGGATTTATCGGAGAACTTCCTCCGGCTGGCCCGCCGGCCCCACCACCTCTCAGCTTCACGCCTTTGTACGGCGCCAGCCTCCTGCCGACATCGCCAGCAAAGTCCCCGCCGCCCAATCCCTCTAAATCGACAAACTCCTCCTCGAAGCCAAATTGCCCATCCAGGAGATCATACCCACCCACCGACGACCTCCGTGACCGTGACCACCAAGCCCATGTAAACACATCCCGTACCCCACCGCCGCTTGTGAAAACCGCATACAGTTGTGCTAGCGGATGCGATGGCGTGCCCATGCTGGACGGAGAGCGGGCCTGCCGCCCACGTTTGCGTTGTCTCCACCGCCGTACAATCAGAAGCGCGGCTATCAGTAGGACGGCAAGAATTAGGAAATTGCGCAGGAAGTGCGTCGGAGGCGGCGGTCGTGTTCCTGGTCCTCCCGTTGTCGGTGGTGGTTGGTCGCGGACCGCCATTCCCATTCGCTTTCGGATTCCTGAGAATAAGCATCCTGCTGCCGAACTTCGTGCGCCGCTGTAAAAAGGAGCGGAATGAGCAGTGCATTCTGGCGATTCTACGCCAACACCCACTTACCAGCGTGATGCCATGTTTCGGCGGGTGTTTGTTCCGCAAAAACGGCTGTGGGAATGTTCGCTTCGGCCACGGCGGAGTCAAATGCTCCTAAGGGGCGCTAATGGGCTAATGGGAGCAATGACGCAAATGGCTTTCCGCGCGACATCGCCCCTCTCCTTCCATCCTGCAAACGACATCTTCCATCTTGCAACATTCACCAGTTCGGCACAGTGTGTTGATATAGACCGACAGGCATATTGACGCTATACGTACAGAGTCCTGCTCCATAGTACACTCGCTTTTTGGAAAGCTCTCCTCGTCTAAAAGTGTAGGCAAGTCAAAAGGTTCTGCCTTCTCCTGAGAGCCCGACCTTGACGTGCCGTGCCTGGTACGTAGTGAAAAAATCGACAACGACAGCCCTAAACAAGGAAAGGCCATATACCGCCATCATGCAGTCTATTACGTCTCCCAAGCTGGCGCTGTATGGTTGCAGGTCGTCCTTGCGATGGGCGGCATTTCGGGAACTTAGCACTCTCAAACTGGCGTCGGCATGTCAGGCAGCACAATTACCGTCTTACGCCCAGCGTCGAACAAGCATATCACCACTCCGCAACCATTTTGGGCGTGAGCTTCACGCACGGTTCAACTCATCAGGGACCTCGCCATTATCATCCATACCTTCCCACACATCACCAACGGTGGTCCTGCAACAGGACAACAAAGCAGCGCTGGTGGACGATAAACTCGCCGAGGTGCTGGCAGATTTCCACGCTCCCGTTCGGTATGCGGTTGCGTACGGGTCGGGGGTGTTTCAGCAGAAGGGGTATAAGCGGACGGATGTGGGGGCAAAGGTGCGTCTCGTTGGTGTATGGGAAGGGAAAAGACAGCGGGGATGACCATTTTGGAGGAACCCGTGGCAACTTGATGTTAAGGAATGGTCGGAAGAGTGATTGAGGATGGAGGGTCATGCACTAGGGGTGCACGGAGGACGTATGCGCGGATTGATGTCATAACGCTGGGTGATATAGCACAACACAATTCAGATGCTAATCCCCATCCTGACACCTCTCCACGTTCGCAGGACGCCCCAATGGTAGATTTCCTTTTCGGAGTAACACATCCTGAGCATTGGCACTCCCTCAACATCCGGCAAAACCGGCATCACTACTCCTCATTAGCATTCTGCGGTAGCCGGGTCGTGGCACAGGTGCAGGACAAGATCGGCGCAGGACTGTACTTCAACACGGATGTTGAGGTTGCTGGTGTGGTGCGTTGATCCGTTTGCGAGCTTTGAGGTCCGGCGCATCAAGAAGCCATTGAACTATGCGCCGCTCCCTATGAAAGTTCAACTGACCGTACACTCAAACATGACAGAGGATAAAATACGGAGTGGTATCCATCGACCGCCTCATCAAAGACCTCCTAGACTGGGAAACGCTCTATCTCGCCGGTCGGCTGCACAAACCGGTCAAGGTGCTCCGCGACGACGCACGCGTCAGCCTTGCTAATCGGCGCAACCTCCGTGCTGCGGTCCGTGCCGCATTGCTCACATTGCCGCAGGAACTGACGGAGGAGGATCTGTTTCTTACTATTGCTGGATTGTCGTTCCGAGGTATGTCACTGGGAGCCTTGGAATGAAGGTTCGGTCCGCCTTCGTGAATGCGGCACGCGAGTGGGATCTCACGCCACAACCTTTACTGTAATTTATCCTAGGCGACTTCCGCATGCGCATGGGCGGCGAGAACCCACATAAAGTGTACAACATCGTCTACAGCCAGATGGATGAGTTCCGCGCAATTTACAAGCCCATCGTCGAGGACCTACCCAACGTCAATTACACCTCCGACAACACCATTTTGGTATGTTCAATTGCAAGACCGGACTTCTCTCCTTGGCTGTCGGTACTGACCCATCCTAAACACCACAGCAAGACCCAGACCTCCGCCTACGCGCGACGGCCATCCAGAAACTGCCCAAAACACTACACGACAAGATCTACACCTACTACAAAGCGGACCACCCGCAAGACGGGACTACACTAGAAGAGCCGAAATTCTCGCAGACCGTCGCGAAGAGCGACAAGGTTGCGGCGTATGTCGAGAAGAGTAAGTCCGAAGGATCATCCATGGTGAATCAAGCTTCTACATGTCATCTCACGTCATCACCCGCTTTTTTCTCGTCCCACCCACCCAGGTCTGGCAGATATAGTCCGCCACCCTGCAATTACCCAATCACTCAAAGGCTTCCTTACCGCCGGCCTGAGGCGCGCGGTCATATATGCATGGGCGAAGTTGAAGAAGGGCATGAAGGGAAAGCGAAAGGCATAGATTAGAGAATTACCTGGTAGCATACGTAGGATTCTTGGACATTTGGACATGACCAGGGGCCTTGTGATATAGCAAGCACACCTGGGCCGCTGTGGGTGGTGAATAGAGTGGAAGGAGTTTGGACGGCCTCTGAGAACGAAAACCCTGCTTGGCGACGAGGAGGCCATGTGATGCAAACAGCCAATGGTATCGCTCGGCACACGACCCAGACCCTCTCTCGGTGTCGAGCACCTATGCTTTCGCCATGATATTGTTCGGTGCGACTCTTTGCTGGAGAAGGCCTTAGAAAGTCGCTCTCACCATACTGCTTTCCGCTCTGAGCTCGAGCCCGTGTCGACCGCCCACGCACGACTTGAGACAACAACCCAACTAATACGGCAGCAGAGTTATAGTCCCTCCAGTGTGGTGAGGGTGCCCGTACAGCACATATCGTACCGTACATATATGAGTGTGGCGGGAGGGCTGCTTCCCCTGGGGTGTTCCTTCTCCTTTCCTCCCGTGCAGAGGGTTGCGGGCGTGTGACCGTTTTGCACCTCCGTTCCAAAGGTTCCAACTTTTGCACTACGGACCGACGCAGGGCTCGCTCAACATCGGACAGCCACGGACAGCAGCAACTATATAGAATACGTAGACGCTCAGACGTTCAGCAGGCAGGCCCAGCTCCCATAGCTCACACGCACCGTCTCTCTCACGGGTCGTTCGCATTTTCTGCCCAAACATACCTTGCGCTTTTTTGCAAGTTCCCCGGAGTTGGTCCGCTGAGGGCGAAGTGGAGATCACTCAAAACGAAGAACGATAGTAAAGACGATATACCCATAAACGTCCTTTACCGCATGGTGCTTCCCACCGGGTAGCCGATAGCATAAGCTCCGTCAACCATAATGGATAGCGACTTGGAGCACAGCGAGAGTTCGACCGACGGCAAAGGGGTCGAACACCATGGCTCCGTCGACAGTGCTCCCTACAAGCAGCCGCAGCACCAGCACCAGCAACAACAGCAGCGGCAGATAGAACCCAGCCGAGCGCTGTTCACTTTTTCTTCTCCCTCGGAGCCTCAACAACAACAATACCAGAGTGGGTCGCCTTGGGGAGGAGTGGGGCCGAGCAGTGCCGGTGGCTTCCAACCATCAGCAAACGCCTTCACGACCTGGTCGCCACATGCGCAACAACTACCGCCACACGATCCCTCCGCTGGCGCACCGGTATCACTGTCAGTCGGATTCCTTCCGCCGCCTCCGCCACCATTAGAGTCCTCACATATTCTCTCCGATGCCGAGCAAAAGTCCTTTGCAGAATTTCTCAATGCATTTGAGAACGAGGCGTCTATCGAGCCGCCTCCTCCTCGCCAGCAACAGCAGGGAGATGTGGTTGTTGAACAGCAGCAACACCAACAGCAGCGGCATAAACCGGCACCGCTAGAAATTGGCTCGTCTCAGCAACATCAGCAACAGCAGATGCACTTTGCAACCGTAGCCCAGCATCCCGCGTCCGAGCAACGGCGGTCGTCACTCATTCCGAATGTAGCTGCTCTCCCCTACCTTTCCACAGATCAAACGTCGATCATCATCCCCTCCGGATCGCCGAATCGCATAAAGTCGCCGACCGTGCTCAATCCTCCCCAAATATCACATCAGCAACAACAGCAGCAACCACCAGCGAGGTATACTATGGCAATTTACCAAGAACAGCATCGTTTGCATCAGCAGCAAATGCAGGCGCGTAGTATGCACGCCGGGATGGGAGGACAGGCGCCGCAGGGACAGCAGCATGTGTACGCTCAGTTGCAGCAACAGCAGCAGCAGTCGCCACGGCCAAGCAGTGTCGTGCAATCCATGCATCAGTCCCCGGCACAGCAAAGCCAACAACACCACAACCAACAGCAGCTTATCTCACCGATGGTCGACATGCAGATCCACAGCGCCACGGCGCCAACCACGGATGCCAAGTCAGCCACCCCGTCACAACAACAGCAACCGCCACCCGGCTCGTCACAATCAGCAGGCCCATCACCAGCACCACCAACGAATTCCCGCAAACGCCGCAGCACAGCACAAATCGATACGTCCGCTTTCGTGCAGTACGCCGCCAAACGCCGGCTTTCGGTCGTCTCGCAAGTCTCGTCGAATGCCAACAGCCCGGCGTCGGCTGTCATGTCTCCCGCCACCCCGTTTTCGGCAAACACAGGGGCTGAGGGAGATGCCAGCGGTGAGGCTTCCGCGTCTGCACAATCGCAACCCGCTGTGAGGGCCAAGCAGGAGCGGAATACGGGCACACCGATGACACCCACGGCGTCCAACAGCAGCGATGCGCCCGGCAACACAGCGAACAAAAAAGGTGGTGGCGGCGGAGGAGGAGGGGGTGGCACCGGCACCGGAGGCACAGGTAGCGGCAAACAACTCCTAACCGAATCCGAAAAGCGCGCCAACCACATCGAATCCGAAAAAAAACGACGCCAAAACATCCGCGACGGGTTCGACCAGCTCGTCGAGATCGTACCTGGTCTCGGGCAGTGCCAGCGGTCTGAGAGCGTCATCCTGCAGAAATCCGTCGAGTATGTCGAGTACCTCCTCAGACAGCAGGCGGAGTTGCAGGCGAGGGTGGGGCATGCGCGCGCGATGCTGGGGATGGGTGTGCCCGGGATGCATCAGGGGGGGATGGGGCCGCCAGTGAGGATTGCGGGGGGCGCGATTGCGGTTATGAGGCCGCATGAGGTGCCGATGCAGGGGCATATCGTGCCGCAGCAGCATCAACAACAACAACAACAACATCAGCACCTTCACCACATCCAACAACAGCAACAACAACTGCCACACACACCGATAGATCCTCAGAACTGGAAACAACCCCACCACCCAACGGCCGGAGCCGCATCCTCTGCATCAACCACATCAGCTTCTCCCGCGCCATCCCCTCGTGTAGCCCAACAGCAGCAGCAACAACACCAATCACATACCAACACGCCCCCACCACCACAGCACGCTGACTCCCCTGTTCAAAGATCGCACGAGGCGGAGGGGGAGAGTGTACAAGCTACTGCATGAGATCGTAGCTTTTTCATCGCCAAGTTTTTTACCACCATGTTGGGCCCCACTTTAATCTTTCAACGGGCCGACATGTATCTGTTCCCTTGCAACGCTGATCCGGTGCTGCCCCCATATGTATATATCGTATAACTCTTTAATCTTGGGGCTCTTTTCTCTCTATCATACATATATCTGTATCATTTTTCATCTCGCAATGAGGATCTTTTCTCGCGCGGTGCGTTTGAACCCAAAACTGTTGTACATACTGATGGGGGAACTAGACATCGAGCCATGGGGTCGTGTGTCGCGAAAACACATGCAGCCCAATTGCCCTCTCGCTTTCATTACGATTCCAGCCCCAACCCCAGCCCCAAACCCAACCACCGCTCCAAAAAAATTCGGTGCAACACAGCACCCCAACCCTCAACAAATAGTCCACCGACTATAACAGCTAACTGTCCGACTCCTCCTTCCCCCCAACAGCGCACTCTCGTTCCCACTCCCACTCCCACCCTCCTCCTCCTCCACGCCCCGTAACGTATCCACGACCGCGTTGACACTTCCCTCCGGCACAACCCCCAGCCGACCCAAGGGCGTCGCAATCACCTCCTCCAGCTCCCTCTGGGACGCGACCATGCGGTCGAAGATCTCCTCCACGTCGTAGGAGGCCCATTCGCGCGGGAGGATGAGGGCGCGTTGGTGGGCGCAGAAGAGTGGGGTGGATGAGGAGGTGCCTGCGCAGTTGGTTTGGTGGCATTCGGAGAGGGGGTGGAGGGGTGGTGGTTGGGGTTGGGGTGTGTTGTGGGCGATGAGGGTGGACCAGGTTCCGCCGTAGCGGGCGTAGGCGTCGAGGGTGGAGGAGAAGAGGTTGATGCCGGTGCGGAGGGTGGGGGCTGGGATGGGGGTAGATGGGCCGAAATGCGGGTTTGAGTGCGAGGGAGATGTGGTGCGGGGATGCCAGGATGAGGATGAGGCTCCTGCGGTGCCACTAGATGGGTCGCTGTCGTCGCCGCCTGTCAGGTATGAGTTTGTACCTGCCCCGGATGGATGCTGATGAGAGGGGTGCGGGGGGTGCCCATAATGGGCTGGCATTTTCTCCTCTCGTCTGCTCGGATTTTTTGGACCAAGATAATACGACGCGGGCGGGTACGTGGGACTAGTGGGACCGCTAGCGGGATTGTTGGCAATGTTGACGTTTAGATTCATATTTAGGGATTCCGGATATTGGCGGGGCGAGCTCTCAATCGATGTGGAAATTGAACGTCGCGACGGTCCAGGGACTGCTACCGGATGGGACGACGGTCGCGGTGGTAGGGCTGAGGGAGAAGGCTCGGGTTGCAACTCGGCAGCTGGAGCCGTACAGAAGGACGGAGTCTGACGGCTACTAAGTGGAACAGGCGTTTCGCGCAGGATATTGGCTTTCAGCTCTTCGCATCAAAGGCACTGATGAGCATGACATTGAGGAGGCCGCTTCTGCCGAGACAATACAATAGTACTCACTGTCCATCAACCACGACCCAAATGTAGGAAAAGACCTTCCTAGCTCCCAGAGCCACTCCCGCAACTTGACGTCGTTGGGCACATCGGCCGGGGGACAAGTCGTTCGGAGCCAGTCTGATAATCGTGTGATCAGCTCCGACGGATCGCTTTATCGAAAGTATCTGTGAGCTTATCTTCTTATGGGCCTACGCTTGGTTGAAACGACGCCCTGCTCACCTCACTTCCGACAGTCCCTGAAAGCCGTTTCCCGACCAGCGCTCGAACGCCTAATAATAGAAGCGGCAAGCATCAAAAGGATAACTCCTGCTGCCATTCACCTCCGTCCTACGCGCATTCCATACCTCTAAAACCTTCTCATCCGCGCTCTGCACCGGTTCGACCTGGGACGGCGAGCCCGGCGGCTTCTCCTCAGCGAGCATCTGTTCGTGCACCTACGGTCGGTTCCCTCTTCTGCGGCCGGAGTCTGCGCTGCGAATATGTGCGCACTCCGAGATCGAGCGGCCTGTGTCGAGAGCCCACGAGACGATCGCAGCGAGGGGAAACCGCGTCCCCTTTTTGCAAAAGCGGCTTTCTAGATATCTCTACAGGACTCTCGGCAACGCAGCGACAGGGGGTCAAGGACGACCTCGGAGTACGCACTAGGCAGCTCAGGCAGGGTGGTTCAGCCAGTAGCATAGCAGCGAGGTAGCCTAACTCAGCACAGTGGAAGACGACGACCCAACTTCCGAGAAAACCCCCATTGCGTGCCACAACAATGAGCAACCAACGCTACCACCTCACAGCCAGGCTCATGCGAACATGCACCCGCGCCATTCTCCGCCTCGCCGAGCCGTACCAAGGTCCTCGAAAAAGGGGGATATGTGCCCTTAGCCAACTGAATGGCGCTGGTGCACGGGAGCGGACCTTTTTAGGTGTTTGCAGAGACGGACATTTAGGAACTGGAGCAAGGAGGAGAATGTTCTCGACGAGCCCTGTGGAGGAAGGGGAAAGAGTGGAGGAGGAGGGGAAGGCGCTGCGACCATCTGTGCATCGGAAATTCCTGGGCAAGGTAGCTTTTCACCTCTGTTATGTCTTGTCAAGCGGTTTTCTCTCAACACACATTTTCCCTTTTCTTCCACAGGGCCAACCCTTCGTCGACTTCAAAATCGTGAAAGTAGCAGCCGGCCAAGGCGGGGACGGCGCCATCACATTCTTTAAATCGTCACGCAACCCGATGGGTCCGCCCTCCGGCGGCAACGGAGCGCGCGGGGGTAGCGTATACATCGTGGCTTGCAAGGAGATCACGTCGCTGAATGGTGTGAAGAATCGGTATGCGGCGCCTATGGGGGGCAATGGGCAGGGGAAGCAGATGCATGGCGCTGAGGGAGCGGATGTGGAGATCATGGTGCCACTGGGGACGATGGTGCGGTTTGTGGATGCGCCGACTTCGAGGAATGAGGTGGAGGAGGAAGATTTCGACGAGGAAGAAGAGGATGCTGAGTCTGGGCGACGACGCAGTGAAGATCCAGACTCACAACCCGAAGAACGCGAAGACTACCTCAACGAAAAAGACGAGAAATGGAACCTCGTCAAACAGCACTTCCGCTTCAAAGCCGGCTACACGCCGCAAGCCGACCGCATGCAAATGCTCTACGAACGCATCCCCCACACCACCCCCTACCGCAGCAAAACCCACCCAGACCACCTCTTCGACTCCTTCAACCTCACCACCCACGGCGACCGTCACCTCGTCGCCCGCGGCGGCCGCGGCGGCCACGGCAACCCCCATTTCGTCTCCTCGGACATCCGCGGGCCCGCCATCGCCGGCCGCGGCCAGCCGGGCACAACCGTCTACCTCCAACTCGAGCTCAAAACAATCGCAGACGCAGGCCTGGTCGGTCTCCCCAACGCCGGAAAATCCACCTTCCTCGCCGCCGTCTCCAACGCGCACCCGCGAATCGCGCCGTACCCGTTCACAACCCTCAACCCGTACGTCGGGACCATCGATTTCCCCGACTTCTACACAATGACCGTCGCGGATATCCCCGGCCTGATCGAGGGCGCGCACCGCAACGTCGGGCTCGGGCACCGGTTCCTCCGGCACGTCGAGCAGAGCCGCATGCTCGTCTACGTCATCGACGTGGCAGGCCCGCACCCGTGGCGCGATCTCGAGATCCTGAAAACAGAGCTGGAGACGTACCAGCCAGGGCTGACGGGCAAACCGAGCCTGGTTATTGCGAATAAGGCGGATCTGGGACGCGTGGCGAGGGAGAATGTCGCGAGGTTGAGGGAACAGACCGACGCGCCGATTGTGCCGGTTTCCGCGATGGAGCGGAAGAACATTACGAGGGCGACGGCGTTGATGAGGGAGATGGTGGAGAAGATTAGGAAGAGCGAGGGCGGGGGTGAGGCGTAAGCTCCTTTGTAACATAATATCCCGAAATGTAGAGATAGCTCCCCACAAGATGAAAATGTTTGCAACCCATCTACCACACCAACCAATGCACACAAACAGAGTCAAACCCTCCGGTCGAAAAACGCCATCCATTATTTACATTTTTCGTCCTTTATTCCAAAAACGTGGAAACATGTACATACACACCATTCTCTACCCCCAACAAGTCCCATAAGTCCAGTCCCTCCAATCCGATCTTTCCCCTCCCCCCTGAGTCGTACCCGTAACCGTAACGTAAAGCCCAACAAACCCTCCAGGGGCGTGTCGTTTATGTCCACGCACGAAAACGAAACTCGCCCTCCCATTCCAAAAAACAAAACAAAACAAAGAAAAAGGTTCAAAACAGCGAGGTTCCCACAGGATGTTGACTTCTCCCTTCGCAGCGAGTCGGCAATATGGGACGGGGGTGCTGGTCAGCGGGGTATATATGTTGCATGGTTCGAAGACGGCGAGCGGGAAGTCGGGAGATGACGAACGGAAGTCAGTGATTTTTTCCCCCACTTTTCACGGCGTGTCCTCGGACCGGGATGATTCCGTCGGGATGCTCGAGTCCCCACCCGCAGGTGACACCCGCTCGCCAGTCCCGTCCTCGGCGTCTCCCACACCGGCATGTCCCACACCCAGCGACACCCTCGACGGATCGGGGGTCGGCATCGTCGGCGGTAACGGTGTACCCAGCCCGACACCCGGAGGTCCACCGCCCAAAGCGCTGCCCAAACTCCCTCTCCGTTTCTTCGTGAACGAGTGCGACGGTGGCGCGGCGGTCGGTGGGGTAGCGACGAGGGTGTGTGTGTCGCCGCCAACGGTCGGGTCGGTGGGTGCTGGTATGGCCGAACCGGCGGGGGCAGCAGCGGCATTGGACCCGTCATCGCCCGCGGCTTCCGAGATCATATCCAGACTCACGCTTCCCGCGCGGCGTCGAAACGGGAGTGTTGCAGGTGTCGCGTTCGTTGGTGATGTCCCAGTGGAGACCCCCCCGTCATCGCCCGCCCCGACAGGCGCGTCTTTCAGGGGTACCAGCACCCTGTGCGTCTGCTGCTGCACCGGCGTCGCATGCGTTACGGGAACAGGTGGTGGGAGATGCGAGACGGTGGTCTTCTCCACGGGGTCGAAATTCGGTTGATGGTTGGGTCCGGCGCCCGTGAGGCCCAGGATGGCGTTTGTGAAGGACCACCGGCGGCGGGAGGCTGTACCTGCGGATGTCGGGGTCGGGGGTGCGCTGGATGTTGGGGTTGGTGCGTGGGTTGTTGTGGTGGTGATGTGTGCTGGCGTGGCGGGGTGGAGGTGATGGGCGGATTGCGTTGCGTGTTGTTGTGATTGCTGAGATGCGGTATCCTCACCATCCCCCTCGGGTGAAATAACCGACACAGGGCCAACCACGCCCGCCTCACTCTTGACACCAGCACCAGTGCCAGCATCCCCAACACTCGGATCCGAATTGCCCACCGCCGCCGACAAGCCCCAACTCCCCGCGGACGCCGAAGCAGCCGCAACAGCAGCAGCAGCCGCCATCTCCCTGTTCTGCCGCTCGACGATAGCGTCATGGAGCAACTGCGCGTAGGTGCTGTATTTGTCGTATTCGCGCATGAGCCAGCGCTGTTTGCGCATCCAGTTCGCGAGGGCTTTTTGGCGGTGGGGCGGGTGTGTCACATACTAAAGAGCACAACAATCAAACTGAGGTCAGAGGACAAGACCCTACAAAACACCGGATTTATGAGGGGCTACTCACCAACCGCTCCATTCCCGCCCTATACGCCGAATGCACCTCAATCTCCGCATAGACCATATCCCTCTGCCGTTTCCACACCGCAAACTGCTCCTCCTCGCCCAACACACTCATCACGCGCCCACTCGGCACGGGGGCATTCCACTCCTCGATCTTCATCTTTCTCACACGTTTGGCTTCTTCCTTCGCGGCGCGCGCGTCTCGGGGGATAGGCATGCTGTTGCTGTGCTGCATCACGTGGGCTGAGCTTAGGGGGGGTTTGCCGTGCGCGTGGTAGCCGCCGTGGTAGCCGCCGTGCGGGAGGGTGTTGCTGGTGTACCCCCCACTCAAAGAGGAGAGGTGGGAGCCGAGCGCGGGCATGGTGGCGCTTGACCGGCCGCTTTCGGTGCTGTTGGCGCTGACGAAGCTGCGCATGGAGGCCGCGTACCGTGTGCCTGTCCCTGTGGTTGTCGTTGTCGTTGTCGCGCTGCTGGATGCAGGCGCGGCCGGGGAATCAGGCGACCCGACGACCGCGACGCCCGTTTCGTCCGACAGCGCCGCCGAAACCACCGACTCGCCGCCCGTCGCCACGGGACTGCTGTTGTCATCCAAACTCTGACCCCTAGAGGAAGTCGTCGCCACATCGTCGGCCCCCGGGAGGGTATCCAACGCCTTCCGTTCCAGCTCCCTATCCTTCTCCGCGTCCCTCCGTAACACCCGCTCAGCCTCCAACGGTCCCCACCCGTACTCCGCATTCCCGCCACTGCCCGCCAACGGTTCCTTCGATTTCCTCGCGGCCCAGATGTTGATGGTATGCACCCACTCGCGGACAATGTCGGCGCTGGGCGCGTGGTAGAGGTAGATCTGCCCGTCGGAGAGGCGGAGGGTGAAGACGTGGGGGCGGAGGGGGGAGTAGCCGGGTGGTGGGAGGGGGGTGGCGAGGGAGTGGAGGAGGTTGAAGGGTTGGGTTGTGGAGGGGGACGAGGGGGAGTGGGCTGCGGGGGTTGCTCGGACCTGGGCATCAACAAACAAGTGAACAATCAGTAAACGGACGAGATAAACCACAGCTAATACATCTTTTCGAATTCGCGATTCCGCTCAACACTCACGCTATGCCTCGGCACCTCACTAGTAGCCCTCATCCGCTCCGTGCCCACACTCAACCTCGGATACGTCCCCCCCCATCCCAAACTATCCGCCGTCGCCACGCTCACCATCGGCACCCCTCCCTCAAGCGCATCACTGCTCCCCGACGCCCCCCACTCACTCGCACTGAACCCCGCATTCCCCTCGCGCTCCAGCTTCTGCATCACCATCTCCAACGTGCCCGCGTGAACTTCCAACCGAAGCGCGCAGAGGAATTTTATCCATTGCCGGTTTTTGGCTTTCACGTCGTTGGCTTCGTTGCGGTGTTTGCGGATGAGGATGCCTTCGCAGCGCACGGTTGGGTCGGGTCCTCCACCTAGGGCGGTATCGCTCGCGCTGCCGGGGGAGGAGGAGGTGGCGTGGTCGTCGGCGCTCACCCATCTTCCGTCTTGGAGGAAATGTCCCCCCGTGGCGAGGTGTAATTGGGAGTCGAGGCTGAGCCCGCCGGCGGTGGGGTCGGGTCCAAACACGGTTCTTGAGTCTGATTTTCGGCGGAATGTGAAGGGTGAGTTACCACCACCCCCGAGGCCGCTGGTCATTGTGCGGCGTTTGTCGGAGATGGAGAACATGGTGCCTGTGGAGATTGTGGATGCGAGGGAGAGGGACGAGGCGTCGCGGTGCAGGCGGGGCATGGAGGGGGATTTGTTGAACAGGCCATGGCCCGTGTCGTCCGCGCGGGTGAGTTCGATGGAGGGCTTGGTTGCTTGGCGTTGCGGTAGCGGGGTTTTGGCTATCCGGTCAAACGTCCGCTGCATGAACCCACGATACACATCAGCCACCCTTCTCAAAGAAAGAAACACCCATCGAAATCCCCTACCAACCTTCAAAACCGGCTCGATCACCTTGATCCAAGCCTTCTTGACCACCTTCCCCTCCTCACTGCCAAAAAGGTCCATCCCTTCCCCGTTCTGAACGAGAGTCTCAATGATGAGAGGCACCCATTTAGCTTTCGTCATTCTGTTCCCGCGCCCTCCGGCGTTGGCGACGTGCAGGTCCGTGTTGAGTAGCATCATGCAGTTCGCGTACGTTTCGACAATCACTGTAAATCAGAATTCGGGTCAACGCAAGTCGGATGTCATTTCACACGGGCGATCCGCATCTCAACGGGCCACCATACCAGGATCTAAATAAATCTGCTGCCGGTCCGGGTTACACTCCCACCACCGCCTCGCAAACCCCGTCAAGATCCTCAACAGCACCTGCGAGTCCCCCGCCATCAACACTTTCTCCGCCACAGCCCGTATCCCCTCATCCACCTCCACGCCCCCAAAGCCAAAGCCTTTCATGAACTCCCCCAACACCTTCTCACTCCTCACGCCAGCCTTTCCAATCACCTCGGCCACTTTATCCACAGGTATCTCCCAAAAGTCATCGTCGAACAATAACCGTCCGACTTCCGCCGGGTCCATCGTCTTCCAATCCCTCGGTGGTGGTAATTCGGCCGTGTCGGGTGTCTCGGGGTCGGGGGAATGATGCCGCCGCGTGTCGGGGTTGAGGGGGGAGGAGGAGACGGGGCTGGTGGGTGTGCTTGTTGATTCGGCGGATTTTTGCGGGTCGGTGAGGACCCAGGGGCTTGCAGAGGGGCCGGCGTAGGAGACGGGGCGGGGGGCGCGGCGGGAGGGGTCGAGGTTGCGTATTGTGGGGGAGGGTGGGGAGCCGTTTAGGGGGATGTAGAGGGATGGGCGGGTTGTTGAGGGTGTGGTTGTGGCGAGGTGGCCGGCGGATCCTGGGCGGGCGGCGCTGTCTGTTCGCGGGCCGTGGTCGTTCGTTGCCGGACTGGAGGAGGCTACGTGCGAGCTGCTTCGTTTGCGGAAATCGTGCCCGGTTGTCGTGGCTGATGGGTCCGCATGGCTATTGCTGTTGTCGTTCTGTTCTCCATGGGGCTGCCCTTGGGACGACAACGTTATCGAAGGCGGCTGAGATGTGCTAGACATATGCCGCGGCGGCACCTCAGTCGACGCATCGCGCGGGTGCGTATCGGCCGTTCCAAAAATGCGAGTAATGTTCTCCGACTATTCAAATCAAAAGGAATGTCAGTACACATCAAATAAAGCGAAAACAATTACGTACAGTCAAATTGCTGTGCATGCTGATCTCCTTCGGCCCAGTTTCGCTGTGTTCGCCTGCTACCGCCGAATGCGAACTGGCCACGTTTTTGAAGTCGGCGGTTGATCTGGTCGAGCGTAATTTCGCAATATTTCCGCTGACCGATCTCTGAAAACGAACAAAAGCAACAGCAGAGTGAGTTCCTATTTGAGCCCATCGCCATTCAAAGTTCAAGTCGATGCGTACCTTGAACCCCGACCAAAATTTTGGCTTCCCGCCCTGCCCCGCATCTCCTTTCTGCGCGTCACCTTGCTGTCCACCTATCCCCAACAGCACCGAATTCCTGTGCGAAGCCGTGTCTGACCCCAGTCCAAAAGGCAATGGCGGCTTCTCCTCACCACCCCGCAGCGCATTTTCATCCAGACCAGGCTCAACGCTATCCCCCGCGCGTCCTTCAACCGTTGACGCGTCAACATCCCCCCTCGCCCCGTCATCAGCAAGCGTCTTGACAAACGAACTCTTCTCAAACTCAAACTCCGGCAGATGCACCGACGTCGGGCTATCCAACCCCGCCCCACTCCCACTCGCACCCTCGCTCCGTCTCGGCATCGTGATCGATCTCGGTGGGGAGGACACCCTCATCGCACCTTCGTCCACCGCAGAGTCCGCACTGTTGCGTATACTCCCTGCACTCCCCACATTCCCCGACCCACTCAGACTCCCACTCCGCGACGCAGCCCCCGCCCACAACGCAGCGGGGGCCTCGGCCGCACCCGTCGGACGCGTCAAGCTCAACGACAACCCAAACGTCTGCGACGACACCCTTGGCGAACTCGTATTCGTATTCACGTTCCCCTCCGTCTCCATTTCCTGTTCCACCTTCGCCCCAGAGTCCGACCGGGGCGGTTCGGGGAGGGGTTTATCCACATTGGGCAGTGAACTCGCACTCATAGCCCGTGATGCGCTGCCGGTGGGTGGGAGGGAGGATGCGGATGCTGTGCGTGAGCGGGACGGTGGGGTCATGCGTGGGGGGATGATGACGGGCGGGGTTGGGGGGAGGGGCGGGGATAGTTTTGCGAGTGGTTCGGAGTGGGAGGTGGGTGCGCTGGATTGGCGGGGATGGGATGATGGTGATTGGGATGGGGATGTGGCCGGCTTCCCTGGGATGTTGCCGCTGCTTCCATTATGGCTTCCACCACCACCCCCGCCGTTGTTGTTGTTGTTGTTGTTGGGATTTCCACCCCCACCACCGCTGCTCTTCCTTCGGCCTCTTGCGTGGTTGGTGTGGCCGCGTCCCATCCTGCCCGAGTGCCCGGCTGTATGCTGTTAGCTGTAGTTCCCTCCAACTGTGCAACGCAAGTGTGCTGTGCCTGCGTAGGTATGCTGCGACGACGGATGGCGAGTATGTACTGTAACTGTATTGTATGTAGTGGTGCGTCTCAGTGAGTTCCGCAAGACGCTTCTGCTGAGAGCGACTGGAGAACACGCCCCCGCTCTCCGGCACGCGCTTCTTACTCTCCCTGCACGAGGGAGGGGAGGAACAGCAGACAAAGGGACGGCAACCCACGTCTTCTAAACGCCTCTTCCCATTCTGCATCCATCTCATTGCAAAATGCTATCTACGTCCCCTACGCCACACAGAAGCCCTATTCCCAAAGCCACCTATATATAATAAGTTATCATACGTCCTAAACACGCCCCCGCCGCCGGGACCAGGACCCCAACTTTTTTTCGAAATCCCCTCATATCTCACACCGCACATCAACACCCAACACCAACCCCTCCCCCAACCGCTGCATCTCCGCAACCATCGCCCGGAGGTTGGGCCGCACCATCAGCTCCTTCTTCCCTCCTTTCCTTTCCCGCTCCTTCTCCACCATCGTCCCCTTCTTCTTCTTCCGCGCGGGCTGGGTGAGAAACCATGACGATGAGTGTGACGAACGAACAAAGGCAGATGTGTGTGATGGGGGGGGATACATACCTCATCCACGTCCTCATCGTCCTCATCTCCGCATCTAACGACATTCCACGCATTCTCCACCCTCCACCTGGCGGCCGCCCCGTCCTTGACAGCAGGCCTGACCACAACGCCCACCACACAGCCTCCAAACTCATCCACAAACAGGATCCCCGCCTCGCCCAGCATCCTCCTCAGCTCCGCCACATAGCTCCGCACTGTATCCACCGTCGCCACCACCGCCCGCGTCCTGTCAGCCACGGGGACGAGGTTCTTGTACTTGGGTAGTGTGGCGGTGAGGAGGGAGGCGTTGTAGTGGATGTGTTCGCGGTAGCGCGGGTTGTGCGCGGGGGAGAGGGGGACGAGGATGTCGAAGTGGGTTGGGGTTGGTGTGAAGAGTTTCTAAAAGAAACAACATCACAAGAATATTAGTATGAGATCAGGCGGAACGAATACGCAGCCCCACATACGAACCATAACCGTCCTATCAACCCCCCTACTTCCACCCACTTTTCCGCCAAGCAAGCTTTCCACGATCCCCAGACACGCCCTCGCCAGGTCCCCAATCCGCTCCGCCACAGCCACGCCCGGACTCCCCTCCTTCCACCACGTTCCCTGTATATCCCGTGCATGGGCTACACACATCACCGCCGCGTTGTTTTTCGCGGCCGGGTCCGCGCGGGTTCTCGTGAACGCCGAGTGAATTTCACGGCGGATCGTGAGCGAGACGGCTTCCGGGTCGAGGGAGGCGACTAAGGGTGTCGATCGGAAATCCCAGTGTGCGAGGACGTGGAGGACGCGGAGGAACGCTGTTGATGGTGATGCCGGAACCTCAGCCCCATCGGCCAGAAGCGCGGCGACAACCACGCTTTCCACCCATTCATCGCTGACGTGCGGGGACAGCATGTGAGCGCCCAACCACCGCTTTGTGAGACGGATGGCGTGCGGGAGGAATGTATGCGTCGTGCAGAGGGTCGCGATGTGGTGCGCGTGGTACGGTGTGTTGATATACGTCTTCGTGTGGTATGCCAGGGCTGCTGTGTATGATTCCTGCGTCCATTTTGTTGATACCGTATTGTCGGAGGTGTCGAGACCCAGTGGTACGTTGTTGGTTTTCGGTTTCCGCTGCGCTTCGATGATCTTCTCAAGCAGATGCCTCTCCCGCTCGACATGGATCGTGCATCTGAACGTATACCCCTCGACAGTCGTGACCTCCAAACCCCCGCTCTCCCCCACATGCCCTCCCTTGCCCGTTTCGACAACCGCCCTCGTCCCCGGGTGCTGTTTACACATCTCCTCCGCAATACGCAGGTAGAATGCGCGTTTGCTCAATTGTATAGCGTCCAGGTCGTCCGGCCACCTTCCACTCGACTCAAACGAGATGATACACTCTAACGGCGCATGGAACGGTCTATACGCCTCCAACGCCGCCGCTCCAGAGTCCGCGGGTAAAGGCTGCGGTACAAAAACAGCGGTATGTCTCAACCCGGGGGCGATGGGTGTGACTTGTGTGATACTCAACGGCAAACCGTCTAGACGACGGAGGGTTTTGGCGAAGGTGGTGAATGCGTCCAGGGCGGTTTGAAATGTGTTTGTCTGAAGGCTTATGCCGGGGGCGGTGAGGAAGGTGTTGAATTGGCCAGCCCAGTAGAGGATTTTGGTGGCGGGGAGTGTTATGTGGCGGTGCAGGAGGTATGTGACCATTTTTCCCACAATCAGAGCACGTTCATCCAAAGTGTTGGGGCAGTCGAATAAAACGGATTCGAGGATTTCGCCGTTTTTGAAGCGGCGGAGCTCCGATTTGGGACCCCACAGATTCCTAAACTTCTCCGCAGCCGCAGCATCATCCGGCGACGGGCCATGCTCCACAAACCGGATCGCATGTTCCGCGTCCAGATTCAGACCCACATACACCGCCGCGTTCGCCTCCCCGTACGTCACCGGTAGATTGTCGATGGACCACGCGGGCAGGGCGTCGATCCAGGTTGATACGAGGGTGGCACGGTTGGTGAGTGCTTCTTTGAGGGTGCGGCCAACGACGCGGAGGAGGTAGAGGTGGAGGGATGGGTGGTCTAGTCTTGCGGGGGTGGTGTAGACTGGCGGGGAGTGGGCCGGTGGGATCGTGACCCGGGCGACGTTGTCGTAGCGCAGGTGGGGTGTATCCACTTTCTTTAGGAAGAGGGCGTCGAAGTGGTCGGTGCCCGTGGGGTCGGTGAGCATCGCCATTGATTTTTTAGCCTCGTGTTGGAGTTCAGCCAGGTCGGCTGAGGACATGGATGCGGCCATGTTGATTGTGCCGGAGGGGTCGACGATCACAACGTCGTAGGCGGCTTTAAACGCGGGGGCGGAGAAATCGGCGTCGGAACCCAGCGGTTTGCCATCGGGGGTCATGAAGACGGGCTCGGCTAAAAAGTCGTGGGTTGCGATGTACGCGATGGTTACCTTGAACAGCTGGTAGGAGCTGAAATTGTTTCCCAGAAGCCGGTTCCCATTCTTGTCGTTCGTGCGGAGGAGGTATCCCATGATCATGGAGAAGAGGAAACCGTTGAACCCCGCTTTCGAGGTGTTGCCGCTGAACCCGCGTTGGGCGAGCCAGACTTTTGCGAGGATGGAGGCTTCGCGGAACCCAGCGCAGGTGGTTGTGTGGTGATGCAGGAGGTTCATGTGGGCTACCAGTGGAGTGTCTTTTAGGAGGGCGGCGTTGTAGTGCGGGGTGGGTGTGTTTGCGGATTCGGGGAGGTCGCCTCCTCCGGCTAGGAAATTGGCACGCACGCTGTTGCGGCCTGGGGCGAGTCTGCGGGGCGGGAACACGTTTTGCGGGATGACGGGGAACACGCGGATGGAGAATGCGAATTTGGATTTAAAGTCGTATTCGCTGTTCTTTCCCGTTGACGTCAGGACGAGAACCGGTCGCCGCCTGTCGCCCTGGAACGCCTGGAACTCCATCTCGACCGCCAAATCCTTCGGTCCAGCGTGCTTCTTCACCTCCGCGGCGAGCATTGCGAGGTAGTACGCCCGTTTGTAAAAGTAGCGGTAGTTGACATTATCCTTGTCCTGAAACAGCGACTCTGGCATCTGCACAGCAACGTCCACATTCGTTCCCGAGGGGGTCTTTGCCACCGTCTTCAACAAGTAACTGCCCACCACAAACACCTTTGTCGGTTTCTTGAACCCCAGTTTGTATTGCGCGTCGGCAGGTGGTGACGGATCCGGGAACGGCACCACCACGCCCTCCTTTTCCAAATCCTTCGTCGCCTGCGCTACGCTCTTTTCCGCCACCTCTGCGTTCATGCGGTCAAATACATCCTTCAGCCTCCTCAGCGCGCGTTCCAGACCCGCAGCGCTGCTGCTTTTGAGGAAATCGACGCGGACTTCTTTGAGAAGTTCTTCGATCTGCAGTTTGAAGAGGTTGGATTGGAAGAGGTCGCTGGTTTCCTTCAGTTGTTGGATTTCGGTGGAGGTGGGTGCTGCGTAGAGTTTGTTGGTGTTTTGTTTCGTGGGTTTTGTTGGGAATGGCTTTCCTCCCTTTCCCTCCTCGTCGTCTACGTCTGCACCTCCGTCCTCTTCTCCGTTGTCCTCATCGTCCTCCTCCTCCTCGTCGTCACTGCCACCCTCTATGAGGTCCTCTACCATATCTTCCATTTCCAGTGTCTCCGCGTCCACTTTGTCCTCCTCGTCGTCGTCGTCGTCTTCGTCGTCGTCTGAGGGGTCAATGTAAGGGTCGACAAAGGTCTCAGCTTGAGCCTCTGCCTCAGCCTTTGCATTCGAAGTGGACTTTTTTCTCTTTACAGCGACCATGATGTGTTCTCTTCCACTTTTCGCAGTGCTGTGGCAAAAGGGGGCCCGAAGGTCGAAGAGAGGGAGAGAGAGAGAGAATGACGGGCCACATGAAGTCACATGATCCGTCTTTAAACTTGGCGGGTGAGTCATTGTGAGTCATTGTGAGTCATGGAGCGCAGTTTCGGACGCGTCGCTCTCTCGGCCTCCCGCACGCGTGAATGGAAAGTGAGAAGGAACTCCCGGCTTTTTCCAAAACGGATTCTTGTCCTGTATATGTAGATGGCATTCGATAACGGCCACTGGTCTTTGCCAATATTTCTTTCTGATTTGAAAATACATCCAGTTTACATAAACATCTTGCTCCTCATCTTCATCCAGCTCTCATCATTGCATATCCTCCTCGCGGTGGTCGGGTCTGTTCCAAGCGTTCATAGATCTCAAGACCACTCCAATGTTTGTCTATCTCAGCAAGAAGGTAACTGATGTCAACCATCTCCCCCAATCATATACTGTCACACTCACTCATCCATCCTCCCCACATTAATCTAGATCGCAATCCCAAACGGCATCAAACTACGCACGGTCGCTTGGGATAACGACCAAGGATGGATCGCTTGTGGCGGTGAAGATGGATTGCTTAAAGTGCTGAAGCTGGAGGATGCATCAGCAAAGAAGGAGATTGCCGCGGTTGCGACGGCGCCGGATCATGCCACTGGGAAGCAGGCGGCAGCGGCAGCAGCACCCTCCACGGCGGCAAATTTGTCTATGAACCAGACATTGCAGGGGCATTCTGGTAGGTAAAGCGAGGTCGAGCGAAGCGACGTTCGCGCGAAAGAAGCGAGGAGAACGAGAGTGCTTGAGAGTTCCGAGCGAGAGCGACGAGAATGCTTGAGGTTTCGAACGAAAAGAGGAGTTCGCGAGCGACAGCGAGCTCAAACTGGGCCGTAGATCCAGGATTGCGAATCACACTAGCCCAACATCCTTGTTGCGAGCGGAGCGAGCAGGATGTCGTTCAACCAACTATCCAATCGCTTCGCTTTGCTTCATGTTATTTCATCGCATCAACCAACATCAACTCGCCCAACTCACCCCTCCTCTCTCTCTCATTACATAGGCTCGGTGGTAGTCTCAACCTGGAACCTGCACCACCGCAAGCTCACGACGTCCGACTCGAGCGGCCTGATCATCGTCTGGATCCTCTACAAAGGCACATGGTACGAAGAGATGATCAACAACCGCAACAAATCCACCGTCGCCTCCATGCACTGGAACCGCGACGGGTCCCAGATCTGTATCGTCTACAAGGACGGCGCGGTCATCGTCGGGAGCGTCGACGGGAACCGATTATGGGGGAAGGAACTCAAAACGACCCTCGCGCACGTCCAGTGGAGCCCGGACGCCCAGCGGCTGTTGTTTGCGACTGTGGGTGGGGAGTTGCAGCTGTACGACTCCACAGGCACATTTTTGACGAAAGTCGCCTCGTACTGCTCCTCCCCAAACACCCCGACAACAGTGTCCAAGATCGACTGGTACAACGGCACCTCCAACTCGTCGGACCCACGCACCCCCAGCCTTGCCATCCTCTTCGACAACGGGAAATTGCAGCTGATGCGGGACGAGATGGATACCCAGCCGCTCGTGGTGGACACCAACATGCGGCACGTGGATGCGCGGTGGAACACGAACGGGAGCGTGCTTGCCGTTTCGGGCGTGCAAGTCGTTAAAGCCGCCGGAGGGGAGGAGAGGGAGGTTGCAGTTGTGCAATTCTTTGATCCGTGGGGGCATGTACGTATCTCCCCCAATCACCATTCACAAAAATATGTATCAACACCCCGGGACTAACACCCCGTATTTACTGACTGGTTTACCCAGTTCCTCCGCTCCCTAAAAGTCCCCGGCCGGCTCATCTCCTCCCTCTCGTGGGAACACACCTCGCTGCGGATCGCGCTGGCCGTCGACTCCTTCATCTACTTCGCCCACGTGCGGCCGACCTACACCCACGCCTATTTCGCCGACACGCTGCTCTACCTCCCGCCTTCGTCTCCCTCCACATTGGTGTTCTGGAACACCAAGACCAACGATCGATATACCAAGAGTGTGGGGAAGGTGGTGAGGGTTGCTGCTGGGGGGGAGGTAGCGGTTGTTGTGAGTAAGAGGGAAGAGGAAGGGGAGGAGGAAGGGTGGTGTGTGAGTGTGGTGAATGCGATTGGGAAAGAGCAGGAGTGCAAGTATGTGGGGTTTGAGCCCGGGTTTGCGGCGGTGAGGGGCAATGTCGTGGTTGTGGCGAGTGGGGATGTGGTCTGTGTGTGGATGTTTAGACAGGGCGGGGCAGGGAGGTTGACCGCGCTTGATGGTACGTATAAGGAGTTTTGCACTTTTTCTTGGGAGCATCGAAAGCGGAGCCGGCCAACGAATTACCTTTTTTTTCCATGGATAGTGCTAAGAAGAACAGAAACCCGCGAACGCCTCTTCCATATCGACGACCTATCCCTCATCGGTTCCTCGGCTCCCTCCGCCTCCCTGTCCGACCTGCGTTCTCGCCCACCCACCACCGACCCAATCACATCCCTCTCCCTCACCCCATCCACCCTCCTCCTCGCCCGGCACTCCGGCGCCCTCCTGCACCTCTCCCTGCCCTCCCTCACCCTCGAGGCCAAATACACGCTCCCCGGACGCGTGAGCTTGATGGCGGTGAATTGTGATGAAAGCAGGGTCGGGGTGGTGGATTCGGCGGGGGTGGGGAGGGTTTTGGGGTTGGAGAGACGGGGTGGGAAGACTACTGGAGGAGGGAATGGGAGTGTTGGGGGGATGGTTGGGGGGAAGGATGTGGTGAGTGTTTTGTGGATTTGAGGGATGGCCCCATGTGGGGGGCGAGGACTGATTGTTTGCGATGCAGAATGGTGGACAGATGTTGGCGTTTGAGCGGAAAGATGTTTGGGATCTCAAATGGTAACGTCCCACCCTATCGATATCTCAGCTTGATTTCAATGTTTGAGATAGCGATTGAGTTTGTGAATGTTTTAGGGCAGACGATAACCCCGAACTCCTGGCGGTGATGGAGAAGACGCGCATGTATGTGTTTCGCGGGTTGGAGCCGGAGGAGCCGATCGCTTGTAATGGATGTACGTTCCGCCACCCCCCTTCCCTCTGCTTCTGCCTGGTGAAGAGCGAACGTGTATTGATGTTTTGCGATGTTTCGTAGATATATGCAGCTTCAAAGACCTCCAGATCAGCGCCGCGCTCCTAGACGAAATCATGCAGACGCCAGATAAACCGAGCCGGGACTGGATCCTCAACCTCGAGACCAAATCCCTCCGTGACACCCGCAGTACGTCCTTCTTCCCCGTCCTCATCACCCCTCCTCACCCCTTCATCCCACCATCTCACCCATCTCACCCTCTCCAGACATCATAGCCCGCGTAGGCCTCCCGGACGCGTACCAATTCGTCGAAGACAACCCGCACCCGCGCCTCTGGAAACTCGTCGGCGACGCCGCCCTGGAACAGCTGGAGTTTGGGATCGCGCGGAAGACGATGGTGAAGCGGATGGATTGGGGCGGGTTGGTGTGGTTGAAGCGGTTGGAGAGGTTGGACGTGCGTATCTCACCGCCTCACTTTGAGAATCGCCGAAAAGAGGGGATGTAAACCCACGAAAACATGACATTAACTCACTCCCATGACACCCCCCCGCAGGACCCTCAAAAGCAACGCGCAGAGCTCCTCCTCGCGCTCTCCCAACCCGACGCCGCCGAAAAGCTGTACCTGGACATGGATCGCAAAGACCTCGCGATCGAGATGCGGGAGCGGATCGGGGACTATTTCCGGGTCGTGCAGCTGATCAAGAGCGGGGGCGGTTGGGACGACGTGTTGTTGGAGCGGGCGTGGGATCGGGTTGGGGATTGGTATTTTGAGCGGATGAAGTGGTGGGTCTTTTTTGGGGGAGACAGGGCAGCGCGTGTGGTTTTCGGAGCGTTGCGGGGCTGATGTTTTTGGTTTGGTTTGGGGTAGGGCGCAGGCGGCGAGTTATTATGCCCAGGGACGCAATGTCGAGCGGCTCGCTGAGTGTCGATACCTGATTGAAGACTATGACGGCCTGGAGGCGCTTGTGGGCACGTTGCCTGAGAATAGTTTGCTGCTCAAGGTGAGCGGAGATTTCTCATCCAAATCCTAACGAATATAAGTGCCAACTGACATTTATGTGGATGGATGTAGGACATTGCCGAGATGTTCGTCAAAGTCGGCTTAGTAGAAGCGGCCGTGACGGCGTACACCAAGATCGGGGACGTCAAGTCAGCTATCGATACCTGTGTGCAGATGAACCAGGTAACACGCACCCCAACCATGCCCTCACAATCCTAACCACCATGCTGACTTTTTCGCATCCCCCAGTGGAATACAGCGATAACCCTCGCTAACAAACACGCGCACCCGGGCATTGAGGCCCTGCTGACTCAGTACGCAGACCACTTGCTCGATTCAGGCCGCACGCTGGATGCGATCGAGTTGTTTCGGGGGGCGAATTATTGTCAGCGGTCGGCGGCGTTGTTGTATGAGGTTTTGTGTATACGTGTTTTGAACCCCCCCCCCCCTATGCGTCATGCAAGGAACCCTTCGACACTGACTTTTGGAATGGTTGGATTTGCAGATGGCGGAGGAAGCAGCGAAGGCAGGCAAGAACCCACTGACGATCAAGAAGATGTATGTGCTGGCCGCGCTCGAGGTCGAGCGGTACCATACGCTCACGCGGAACGAGACGCATCGGAGCTCTGCTGGGGCTGGTCGTAGTGGGAGTGCTGGTGGACAGGTATGTTATGGGGCCGTCCTGCGTGCCTGATTCTTTACAAGCGGAAGGATGAGCCCGCATAGACCCCGTCGCATGCATCCCCAAAGAAACTGCCATCTCATGCATTCCCGAACAAACTGCCAAATAACATCTCCCATGGTTCTCATAGACGGAATCAGCGACCCTCCAAGCCCTCCTCGCCGAAGACGCGCAATCAACAACGACCTCCGCGGCCTCCTCCAAGTTCCTCGACAAGGCCTGGCGCGGCGCCGAGGCGTACCATTTCTACATACTAGCGCAGAGACAGTTTTATGCGGGGAACGTGGATGGGGCTGTCAAAACCGTAAGTCTCACACCAAAGCGCTGTGTTCCGCTTTCTCCGCAACCCTTCTCTGAGAATGCAAATATGTTAATTCGAACTTTGTTAAAGGCCCTCCACCTTCGCGACTACGAAGACCTCCTCCCCGCCCGCACCATCTTCACCCTCCTCGCGCTCGTCAGCTTCTACGCGCGGCGCTTCGGTGCCTGCTCGAAAGCGTTCATCAAGCTCGAATCGCTACCCGGTGCGAACGAGGAGGAGATACGGGCGTATGAGGCGTTGGCGTTGCAGATATTTGTCAAGTGAGTCGGTTGGCGGGAGGGAATGTGGGCTGGGGGTCGGGATTGATTTTTTGATTGAGTAGGTTCCCGCCGCATGAGCCGAAGGGACATCATGTTGCGTGCACGAATTGTGGCGGGGCTATTCGGGATACGTAAGTGCCCTCACTCCCCATCCGCCACATGCCCGCTCGTATCCACCCCCTCATGACACCGATCTTGTGCACAGAGACACCTACTGCACCCACTGCCACATCACCTTCCCAACCTGCATCGCCTCAGGGCAGCCCATCCTCGACGGCCTGCATTTCATGTGCCATGTGTGTAAACATCGCGCGATCGAGAGCGAGATTGCGGCTTTGAAGTGCTGTCCGTTGGTGAGTTAGCGTGTCGGTTGCTGAGCGGGCGCTGCGTGGAGGGAAGGGATACCAAGGCGAGAGGAACTAACCCCGCCTTTTCCTTCTCCGTACTTCAGTGTCATACGGCTTTGTGAGCACTTTAGTCCATCCTCATCAGAATCCTGCCAGCAAGATTGGTTGCCGTGAACGCGACGGTGGTGCGATCGTAGCACTGTCCGTCGGCGGGCGGGCGGAGACTCTTCGTGTGTACCATATCATGTAAATATGTACCAGTTTTTTTTTTTGGAAATCATGCAGCATTGACAGAGAGATGTTCTATATGTGCTGTGGATAGCCGGTTGCCATGGTTGCCGGTCTCACCCCACAAATCAGTTGCGATCTCGTCCCCGAATGTTGCCGTCTTTCTCGCCTGCGGTTTCACGATATTTTGTGCGCCACAAACAGACGAGGATCGACAGCTATCCCATCCGAAACATCCCATCGGACTGTTGAACACCTAGCACTGTTCCGCGTCCTGCGTGTATTTCATTATTTGACTCCAAAGGCGATGTGCTGGCGAATAAGCGTTCTACGAGTCGTTTCCCATTTATACGCAAATCTCATTGAAATATAAATGAGCGAGCAATTTCAGTGTGAAACCAGCATCTGCAAGCGGTCGTTTGTATGTCGCAGTACTCTTTGACTCAGCTCCATGCCGCACCTCTAGAATGCAACAGGTTCCTGAGTCGCTGGAACTTTGAGCGGTGATGTGTATTTACTGCCATTCGTGCGTAGTTCATTTTCTGCCATCCCAGTTCTAACGGTTTTCGTATCCTCTTTCAATTTATGGCGACCTACTTCTCGGACTTGCGTTCCTGGGATGGTTGATGAAGGAAGGCACAATTGCAGAGCGCAATGCTGCCAATGCAGATGTTGCCGGATGTTGGGTATGGGATCTGGACTTGAAAGGCGCGCTGTCAAATACCGTCAAAAGTCAAAGATGCCTCACCAGGCAAGCGCTGCGCAGTCGTCGGTTCGTTCGATTCCCAAAGTGCGAAGAAGGCCGAGCAAGGCGAGGTGGAGGTATATATCTTGACCGCTGTTGCTGCTGCAAGGTAAGTACAGTATATGTGTGTACATCGCTCTTTTCGACTGCTCGGCCATGTCGATGTAGTGTACAGTACATACAGTACATATCCGAGTCCTGACATCTCTGGGCTATATGTGCGGGTGGGTACGGAAATGTGACTCGTGTTCGAGTTGCGCAACATCCCTGGCGACCGCCGGCCTGTCTGGGATTCGTGGCACCTCCCAGGGATCAGTGGATGGTTCCACCAAAGGCATTGTATTACAACAGCCATCCGGTACCGTCCAAGCCCTTCAATACTTCCGAAAAACTGCAGGACATTGCAGGCAGCGTTTAAACTCCATCGATCTTCGGCGGAGGTCTGCGGGAAAGCAGTTCAGAAGAGCCTCAGTCGATATTGCCTGCCTCTTGTTCAGGACGCTTGGGAAGGGCACTCTCCGAAGGGACAATCGTAGGCACGCCTCAAAAGAATCGATTTCCGTCGATCCTTCCTTAGGGGGCTTTGCAAAGGGGTGATTCAGAACATCCTTCTGATACCGTGCTGGTCCTGTAGCGGTACCCATTCTCTGCAGGTGCTCTTGACCGAAGGTAGGTCCCGAGTCTTGACTCTCCAGGTTTCCGGAGATATACCTTTTTCTTCATTTAAAGCCTAAGGTACCATACCGCTACGATCGCACAGGGACACTGTCGACTGCGGTCAATCAGCTCCTGTCTACTCGCAGAACGCACTGTAGACGTAGTTTGTTGTACAGTACATACTGTATACATAGTGTAGGTCTTCTTCTCTGCAAGCTCAACGGACCCAAAGCCCTCTCCTCATCTTGCAAGCGGACGCGCCATCTCGCGCAAGAGGGGGCATACGTTGACACAAACCCACACACGAAAGGAGGTACGCAACCCAGCCGGGAGTCTTGAGTGTTGTTTGGACGGTTGAAGCCAGACCACCAGCTGTTGGGGTCTGCTATTGCGTTGCCAGTGGTCCTATATACAGGATATATAGTATTGGCACTCTATCTGACGCGTTTGCGAAGGAGCCCGCGGGTCAAAAGCGCACCAGGAGGGAGGCCTTCGCTTTTTTCTTCCCCTTCCAACCCCAGCGCTGAACCCATTGCTTTCACGGCAGTGGTGGATCGTCTATATATTCGCACTCGCTCCCACTCCCAGTCGCAGCCACTCACCCATCCGCTCATTCAGCCCTGCCGGTGCACCCGTTGCACCAAGTGTCCTTTCCGTTTTCAACCAACTGCCAACCATTTCAGCAGTGCCGACGAGCAGCATGCGAACGACCTTGTCGTCCGCTAGCAACCCATAAGTCACTCATCCTGCATCGCCATACCGCACGCAGGCATAACTCTCTCGGTGTTCTGTCAACACCACCCACCCGCCACCGCTATATCGGTGATAGAAAGAAAAACGCAAACGTGGCGCCACCCCGTCATCTGCGCTAGATTCTGCGAGATGCAATGCTGCCTAACGACAACGCAAACATATACCCACCCCCAGGGGGTCGAAGCGGCAATGGTATGTTAATGGCACTGGCCGCATGGGTTGTGCGTCCATTTTCCTCCCACTCGAGTATTGGTGGCTGAGTGTCACGCACCATGCAGCATGCCCGACCAGCTCTCACCAACCATCTCCGTTACATGTTTATCAAACAGCACCCCCTGGTTTTCCACCATACGATACCCAAATGCTGCAGGATTACTCGGCACGGGTATGAATGTCGTTTTTTGTCTGCCTGTTGTGGGTTTGTGCCTCCAAAATTCGACCGTGGGTTTAATCGTGTTTCTTTCGTGATGCTCAGAACCGAGACTTGCTCGATATACAAATGCCCCTAGCTACGGCTGGGAGTTCGAGCACAGCGGTGCCAGCAACGTTGCGATCATACCCTCATTACTACCAATCGCAACCGTATGCAAATGCGTACCGCTCATACACATACATGGAGTATCCTTCAATGCATGGTCTGCCTCGACAACCGCAGACTCATCGTGTGCAACAGCATCAAGAGCAGCAGCAGCAGCAGCAGCATCAGATGCAACAACAGCAGCAGCAACAGGCTCAGTCAACATATCCATTTGCATCCCGTACTGATCCTCTGTCGCAAGCGTTCTCGCAAGAGCGCCCGCAAATGCCGCATTTCATTCCATCATCGGGATCAGGCGAGGGACCATCTGTCCCTCAAGTAAGAGAACCTTCGGAGTCCGTCCCGTCTCCGCCTCGGCGGAAAGTCAAAAAACCACGCGTATCGAAGAAGAAATCTTCGGACAAGCAGGCAGCCAGCAGTAGTGACAGTAAGGAGGCAGTTCTACCCTTTTGACCTTCTTTGTTTTGAATATTGTGCTCAATGGACGATCCTTTCTTTCCTTCCGCAGGTCGGTTCGATAGTTCCCTTGGAATTCTGACGAAGAAGTTCATCAGCGTTCTGAGCGCTTGCGGTGATGGCATATTGGATCTGAATCACGCCGCCACCCAATTGAATGTGCAGAAACGTCGTATCTACGACATCACGAACGTGCTGGAGGGCATTAATGTGATTGAAAAGACTACAAAGAATCACATTCGTTGGAAGTGAGCATGGGACAGCTTCTTGGTGGCCAGAACTTTTCGGGAATACTGGAAGGTTGGTGACTTACACTGTGAACTTTTTCTTAGGGGAGGTCCAGCATATCTGCGAAATCGAGAGGAGGACTACCGAATGGACGTCCTGAAAGCAGAGTGCGACACGTTGGAGAAGGAGCTGGCGGAACTGAGGACTGCCATGCAGGATGTTCAAGGGGATCAGGAAGCTCTGCTGGCAAAAGATTATGTCAAGAGGTGACAGCGCCATCCTTATAAAAAATAGGTTGGTGGGGATTCGCAGATTGCTCATACGCGTATGTCATTCCAGCTTGCTGTACGTAACGAAAGACGAGGTCCGGAACTTGACGGCCAATCATGCTGAGAAAGTAGTGACCATTCAGTACGCGATTGGGTCTACGGTCACTATCCAGCAAGATGACCAGGTATGTTCGATCGCAGATCTGCACAGGCAAGGTAAATGCGCGAACGAAACTCATAATAAAGGTGAACGTAGGGTCGACCCACCGAGCCACTCACCATACAAATTGTGAACGAGGAGGGAGGGATAGGGAACGTCGAAGTATCCGATCTCGGGAAGGGAAAAGGAGGGGAGACGGGGAGGACTCTTGAGATGCCCCGCAAGTTCTCTCCCGCGGGATATCCCACGGGGCGGGACGAAGTGTCTTGGGCACAAGATGCCCAAAGCACGGAGAAAGGCGTCGGCAGCGGACAGCAACGATACCCCTTACAGCATGCTATGTCCCACACCGCCATGCCCGCGGAGCTGTACACCCATCCCTCCGCTGCCGGGTCTGGGTCCGCCCCTTGGGGGAGTGGGTACGCGCTGAAAACCCAGCCTCGGTATGCCGGCGGGCAGAGTAGTGAGAGTCAGGGCAGCACAGGGGGTCTGGGCGCGCAACAATCGCAACAGCAACCCCGTCCCCGCCAACCCACCTTCCAGCAGCAGCATCAACAACAACCCTCAGGAGGATCCTTCACCGACATGACCGCCCCGCAACCCTTCACCTACTCACAGCCCTTCCCGACCCAACAACAACAACAACCAGCCATCCTCCGCCGCGGCGGCACATCATCCTCGTCCCGTAAAGGCAGCCTAGCCTCCTCCCTTGGCATCGAGGCATCCGCTGATCCACCTTCCGGCAATTACCAGCACCATCAATATACCCAAGCGCCGAGAGGAGGAGGTGCTACCAACACCCCTACGGGCGTCCTGTCGTCGTGGCTCGTGGGGCTGGGGAAAGATAGTGGCGCGGAAATGATTCTTGGGAGGCCTGGGGGAAATATCTCGGGTGCTTCTGGTGATGCTGTGGCCGCCTCGCCCCCGGCGGCGGCGAGAGACACATTGACGATGGAGGAGCAGTGGTCTGCGCCCGCGGGGTGGGGTGTCGGTGGCCAGGCTCAGGGACAAGGGCAGCCCGAGGATCCGGCTGGTGGTGGTGGAGGTGGTGGGCAGTAGCGCCCGGATGTCCACCCACGGCAATCCCTTCTTTTCTCGGTTCATTCTTTGTCATTTTTCCTTGGTCGAACGACAACTCTTTCATGCTCGGATCATACCCCCTTCCCCCTTTCCCCTTCCCTCCCACCCTTGGTAGGGGCTTTCGGACACCATTCTTTCGAAACCCCTCTCCCTTCCTTGTGCGCATCGTCAGGACGGGGCTGGGCTAGTTATGCTGCTTCCCCCATTTCTGCTGTTTCCCGTCGCTTTTTTGCTTCTTTCTTTTTTATTTCGTAGGTGATACCCAAAGGTCCTTTGCAGAGGACGAACCCATACACACTACTACTACTCGCTACAAATGTTGAAAATCTTATGAGAAAAATGATTCCTTTATGGCTTCCTTTTCCTTTCCGCAATTTGATGGTATGACAGATAAGGGGACGTTGCCAAGGACCCCGCAAGGGCAAACGGAAAAGCGAAACTAAACGTCGTCATCGTTTTGAGAACGTTGGGAGGATGATATTCCAATGTCTTGACAACTGATCATTATGACTTCTGCTACCGGCCGCCCATAGTGCCTGAACGTCCATATCCCATCCCCACTGTTCGCATCTAGCTCTTCACCATCCACATCCCCATCCGCTCCTGCACATGAACGAAAACTCCCCGATACCCAGCACGCCCAGCGCACCCCATCTCCCCTCACGCCACCACCATCTCCTCCTCTCCCGCACCTCCCCGTCCGCCCCGCACCTGCTCCGCGCGTTCCCTCGCCGCCTTGTACCCCGCATCCGCGTCCCTGAGCAGCTCCTCCAGCGCGCCATGCACGTGCTGGTGGCAGTCGAACGCGGCGATGAGGGCGCGGGCCATGTCGTTGAGTTGGCGTTCGCGGGTGGTTGTTGTTTGGCGGGAAACCTGTTCGTACCTGGAATGGGAGATTGAAGGGGTTTTAAGATATGAAGGAGGGTGGGGGATGAGGAGGGATGGCGGGACGGTTTTTTTTTTCTCTTTTGGATGAACGTACTCGACGACCGCCTTCTGCATCAACTGCTGCGACTGGATCAGCGCGCCGTTGGACTCAATCTTCATCCGCTGCAGGTTGCGTTCGTATTGCTGGATCTCTTCCGTTGATGCCGTGTTTTCCATGCCGATTTGCTAGAAAAAAAAAAAGGTATCAGACACGAGATATGGCCGAGCGGCAACGAATGTCCCACACCCGCCGCCATGAATAGATAAACATACCTCCTGCTCCTCCCGATACCGCTCTCCCAACATCCGGATCTTCTCCTCCATCTCCAACAACTCCTCCTTCTTCTGCGTATGCGCCCAGTTGAGGTTGTCGAGTGTTTCTTGCAAGGCGATGGACTCGTTTTGGGCTTTGTGCAGGTGCGTGTTGAAACGGGTGCGGAGGGTCGCTAGGCCGGGCTGTGGGATGAAATATGGTGAGATTATGTTCGGGGGCCCGGGCTGCGAAGCAAAATACCAACCTTAGCTTTGTTGCGCAGATCAAGGGATACCATCTGGTCGGGCCGCGATGCATGAGCACGCAGCTCGAGCTCTACAGCGAGCTCTGCGTCAACAGGGTCAGAGCCCAAGATGCCCAGTTTGTATGCAAAGGCGTTGTACTCTTGTATGAGGCGCTCAAGCTGTAGTTTCAACAAGTCAGCATCACCATACCCAATTCCACCTCGATCTCATATCAACAGCAGGACATACCTGATCCATCCTCTTCTGCAACGCAATCTCCTTCTCCCACACGTTCGTATTCGCCTCCTCCATCTTCTGGGCAACACTCTCCAACGTCTGGCTCAACTGCTCCCTCTCCGCCGTCATGCGATCCACATCCGCCGGCGAGATCTCCTGCGCGTCAACGGTCCGCTGCAAGCCGGCTTTCTCCGCGGTGAGCTGGTCCGTTTCCTTTTCTTTTGCGTCGAGATCCTCTTGGAGGGCTAGGATCGAGTCTTGGAATTTTTGGATTTTGGATTCGACGTGCAGGATGTATTGCTTGAATTTTTCTTTGTCGGATTGGAGGAGCTTGCCTTCTTTTTCGAGGGTTACGACAGGCGCCTGGCGGATGGAAGGGATGTGGATGTCAGCGGGGGGTTCCATCCATGGTGGGGTATCGACGCCGAACGGTCGAATCGAACGGATACCTCGCCTTCAGTCAACTGCTTCCACTCTTCGTCCAAAGCCGTACGCTCTGCCTCAAGCTTCTCCACAGTAACAAGATCATGCTCCTGTTTCCGATCTGGAATGTCACGAATCGGCGAATCAGCAGGTGCACGACACTTATATCCCTCGCAGGTCTCCCGGTCCTTCCGTACCGAAAATATCCATAAGCTGCGTATCCATGGCCGCATAGTTGTCGTCTCCCTTCATGAACTGCTTGTATGCTTCCTTCACAAAGTCAAAGAAGATCTTTTCAGGCACCAAGTCGTCTGCGAAATCGACGTCGTCGCCCATTTCCCTTTCGTCGTTCATCTCGCAGCACTGACGGTGAATAGAGGCAAATGAATGGTCAATTCGAAGCATTCAAAGGGAACGAGGTGTAACCCACCTCAATCAACTCAACCATCCACGTCAACGTCGCCAAAAGCGTCGGCCAAGTGTGCATCGACCCAACGGCCCCAAAATGCGACGGCTTAATCGCGTCCGCAAACGGGTATCTTAACGCATTCAAGATCGCGGGCACCTCCTCCTCGAACTTCTTCTGAAACACATAATCCGGATCCAACTGCGCGTACAGAAATTTGAACATGCTTTGATATAACGCGAACGAGGGAGCCTGTAGGATCTTTGTCCCCAGCGGCTGGTTGAATCCGCGGTCGAGCAGGAACGGCATGACGGTTTTGATGGCGTTCGCTTGCCATGCTTTGTCGCGGATTGGACGTGGGTCTTTAAGCGGTTTGTTGGTGACGGCGCCGCCGATCGTTGAGGGGCGGCCTGCGTACTGGCTTGACCTCCTACATGTGGCGCGTCTATTAGAAAATCTGTCTGCACTGAAGGAACGCACATTCGAGAAAGCTCGTACCTCGACATTGACCCCATATTCCTCCCAACCCCAGACATGCGCGCGTCAGACATGCGACCGCCACCGAATCCGTCTGCGAATCCGCCCGCCATCCCGCCGATCCCACCACCTCCGGGACCTCCTCGCGGCGCGAGTGACATGCGTTGAGCACCCATTGACGGTCTCGCCCCACCGGCACCGCCGTATCCCATAGACATTGCGGAAGGAAACGGAAGTGGCGTCTTGCGGCCACTTGAGGACTGGTTTATTGGCTTACTGCTGCAAGGGTAAGGTGTTGGAGGGCAGTGGCAGGGCGATAACCTGTGTCGTCCGATTCGCGTACTGTGTGGGTGACTTTCGCAATCGTGACGAGAAGACTACGGTAGCAAATGTAAGGTAGCGAAGTAGACCGTCGAAGGAGAGGGACGAACTGAACCGGAATGCCGAATGACCCTCCGGTAGTATCTTCTGTGACTTGTGTTCTAGGCGCTGGGTTCTGTTCTGTCGGTCGCTTTTGTCGGCCGAGAACGTTGGGAACGTTGGGAAAGGTCACACTCTTTGCCGGTCACCGTTCGGACACGCTCTTTCGGACATCCCCGTCGGTTGCGAGACATCCCATCTCCTTCGTTTTCCATGTCCATACGATAACGGGCGACATCCAGAAATAGCCTTTTGAAGGAAAGCAGTTTCTGTAAGAGCCGATATCATAAGCACACAAAATGCGTAATAGTCCCAGTAACACCTCTGAAAACCATTGGATAAACACTGTTCCAACAACGACAAATCGAAAACTACAAAGCGCCCGCTTAACTGACTACGTTCGATACCATTTTCAGCTCTGCCTCTCCAGCACATTTGCCCTTCCGTGCGATCCAGCCCAATACATGTGTCCATTCATTTTCGAAGCTCGTAAAAGTCCTTCTGTGGAATTGTGCGAGATCGAGAGAAAGGGGGAAGCAGATATGCTATCGCCACACCCATCCCAAATACTGTCATTTTCACCTCCACCGTCGAGTATCCCACATCTTCAACCTTCCCTTGGCCCTTAGGGACAAAGCGCTACTAATCCAGCCAGTAAAGTGGTTGTATGCAACGTCCAGCGTCCTGCCTCATTCCATGTCCCGCTGTCCGGCATCAAGCCCGGTGCAAAGTGTGAAAGAAAGGACAATCCGTTTCTTTGCCTTTGACGGTTGAGTTTCTGAATGCACGCGCTCCCAAGCTTTCGGAAGCTCGGAACAATGGACATGAAGGTCATATTGCGCATACAGAATGGACCTCAGGAGTTCCAGCGCTTGTCGACCTTCCCATCCTTCTTTGGCATAGCCTGACGAGCGGCTGCCACCCCTGGTTCTTGGCGTCTCACTTGAATTGACGGCATCTGGTATGAAATTATCGGGCTGCACTATTCGTGCTTTAAAATGGTGACACTTTGATAAGTTATACAGGCAGAATCAAGCGACGATGTCCCTATGGTATACCTAGGCACACGCACAGCGAAAACATAACGATGGGTCTTTAGCTCCAATGGGGAAGGGTATCAAAGACCTATCTTCCGAAACTCCAAAATCCAAAAATGACCGCGAAATGAAGTGAAAAAAACTTGCGAGACCTGATCTTAGAACCCGCCGGAGGGGTTCTTCGTGGTCGGGCTCGGCGGTCCCATTATCATGTGTTTGGTACTTGCGTTAATAGTTCCTCCGGCTCCCGGCAAATTCTTAGTGCTGGCGTTAACGCCGGATCTGGTGCTAGATACTGCTCCTCCGTTTTGAGCAGACTTGTTGACCAACGCACGGTTCTTCTTGATGGCGCCAGCGAATGCCTGTTTAGAAAACATTAATTGATTGTTCAGCATCATACAAACACAACCGTCGCTACGTACCTTGACCATCGTAGCGAAGGTAGTCTGCACTTTACTCAACTCCCAAATCAAACTGCGGCGCTCCAACGATCCAGACGCCTCGAGAGATCCAAAGTCTAGCTTGGTCAGCTTCTCCATCTCCCGCGCAAGCGTCAAGAGCGGAAGCGCGACAACGATAAAGACAGCCGCTACAAAGGCAGTCACGGCGATGGCGATTCCAATGACAACGCCCGTGCTGCGTTTCTTGGCAGCTTCGATCTTGCCGTAGATCTGCATGGAAGAAGATCTGGTAAGGGTGGAAGGCCAAAATCTGATACTGTATCCTTCGAATTGTACCTTTTCACGAGGAATCGCAGCAACGAGAAGAAGCGGGTACGAGGGGTATGTCTGGGCGCCGGCCAAATCGATTCCAACGATCTAACACAAAAATAGAGAATCAGCCTCCTGTCATTTCGTATGCCCGACAGCGCGCAACAGCAAAACGACGAAAACACATACATAGTGGGTACCAGCAATTTCGACTTCAAACGTGGTTTGCGCCTTTCCGGCTGCGACTGCACCAGCGAGAGTATATTTCGACTTGATGAAGGTCTGGAACGCAAGCGCGTCCTCGTTGGGGTAAGCAGTATCGTACGTGGTCGAGCTCGCCGTCGCGTTCATGACCATCCCGGTGGAAGCGAGGATGTTGAATTGCGGGTCGAAGAGGGTGAGCACTGGAATCGGCGTGGGTGAAGGTTAGAGCGCAAGTACATGTAGGTCCTCTGGGACCGGTCGCTAGCAGCCCAGTCTCAACGAACCTGAGTCCTCGGTTGGTCTCGCCTTCAATAGGGCAGTGTTCCACGATGTGGCAGTCTTGATACCCGCGGCACAAGTGTACGCTGGGGTTTTGTCGGTCGGGTTGAGGAAGACGCTCTTTACAGCGTACGAAATCTGCTGCTTGGTGACTGAGTCCTTATACACTGTTACATAGAAGATGATGAGGAAAGATGGATAGAAAAAACATTATCGGAATGCAAGCCATACCGATGAAACTAGTCGTAGGGACGAGACCCAAGTTGATGTACACTAACGAAAGTTATTCGCGTATTAGGAATACTTCCGACCGAGGAGAGGAAATAACGGCGTTCTAACCTGAACTCGGAATGGTAAGAGGAAAAGTACCGTTCGGCAGTGGAACCTTCGGCAACCAAGCTGCGTTAAATACGGCAGTGTCAGTCCTGTGTCAATCCTAGTTCTCTACGACCTTTCACGAAACTCTTGTCACTTACTGGTCTGGTCGACGACAATGCCACGCTGTTGAAAGGGTGCTGAGGCCATGACGAATCTCGATGAGTATGTCAGTTTTGACAGATATATCGCATATCGGACTTACTATCATTGTCCGTGATCGCTGCAACGGTGTCGGGATAACCCGGAGGCACAATCAGCTGGATGATGCCCAGGTTAACCGTGGTTTTGTTGACGTCGCGGATTCCTAACCCGAGGTTCCTGATACGAACGCATGTAGTCAGTGAGGCGGTTTCAAGGTACAGAGCGATTGAAAGACCATGCATACTCGTAGCCAGCTCTCCATGATGCACGCAAGCAGACCACTCCATCCAGGCTAAGAGCGGCCTTTGTGGCGCCATAAGTGGAGATTGTTTCGGCGAAGGCCTCGAGATTGGTATAGTTGTCCTTTTGGGCTATGGATGGACGGATGAGACTTTTGAAATGCATAGTGAGCGGGGCTGAAGAACAACGGTCGTTACCGGAAAGGAGCCAGTTCGTGCTCGCAGGGATTCCTGCCAAGATAGTAGCTACCGGCTTTAAAGGGTTGACGACCGTTTCCACTTGGTATCTGACCTACAGGGATCGTTGGGAATGAGCATTCGGTAAAACACGTCGTCATCATGCGCCGCGAGAAAAAATTATACATACGTTGGAAAGCAGCGAGGACAGATATTTGTTGGTCACATCCTGCGTGGAGTCCTGACTGGCGTTTTGCAAGATGTAGGTATTCTAGAGCAGATGAAACCCAAACGGTCAGCTCGTTGCAAAGTCAGCCTTGCACCCCACAGTGGAGGCATACCGGAAGAATGACACCAATGAGCGCTAAAGCGACCAACACAGGCGCCAAGATGGTGAGAGGGACGCCTGGGAAGAGTTTCTTCGTCTCAGTATGGCGCGACTCTTGAGCGAGCTCAGCGACGTTGGCTTCTCGGCCTTCCTCCATGTTTGTCGACGATTGTTAGTGAAGACAAAGTACTGTAAAATGCTTCAATTAGCAGGGAATGCAGCAAAGCGGTGGATTGAAGGTGGATCAAGGGTTTAGGATAGTGTATGAAAATCGCAAGACGGGACCCGGCCCTTCCGCAAGGTTTTTAAGGAGGTGGGCGAGCGAAGGGTTGCTGTTGATCCCCTGTCAGACGTAACCTCGCCCAAGGTGCATGGGCGGTGGACGGGTCATGCATGCCTCCTCGACAATTCATCCCAATGAAGCTATGAATTAGGTTTGTTGGACGCCAACGTTTACGAGACGCGGGCTAATGGAAATGATTGCCAAGTCGCTGGTGCCAAATATAGGGCTATTCTCGGCTAAACCCGGCGAAAGGTGGCCATTCCTGGCTTTCGCCGAATGGGTGAGCTTAACTAACGCTTGTGGGAGACAGCCGGCGGTGATCCAACCTTGAGCGGTTTTTTCTTCTCAGCCCCTGCAAACTCGTCGACTTCTAGATGCTTCCATTGTTATCATGGGTCGTCATTCGAGCTGTGGTGCTTTTTGCGTCGAGTCGGAGCCGCGCTGTCAAAAACCGTCAGTGGAATTAGTAATCATGCCTGTTCCAAGTCCACGACAAAATCGAACGAAAGGTACATGTTCTACGTATATGTGTATAATGACCATCATTGCTCGCTATACTTTTGGCTGCGCCCTGCCATTCCCCATGCTCTTTTCCGGTTCGTACATCCTGAACGCCTATGAAATCGACGTATTACCGTGGACGTACATCGTTTGAGGCGAGAAAAAAGCTATTGACAGCAGTGCACATGCATGCTATCCATACATTCCACAATATTTCTGGAAGACGGTCAAAGCTCGAAGGAATGCGTTCTTGACACGTCTTGACGTCGTCCAAGAGATAGCCGATTTCATTAAAGGAGTAAAGGACGATGATTCATAGACAACAGAAATGGGAAGGGCCTCGGGTAGTGTTCGCCAAATTGGGACAGAGGGAGGCTTCAAGGAAATCAATGATGTTCTCCTGACTCGCAACGCAAGGAAGAAAGCGGGTTGGAGGGGGGGAAGAGTAGGCGAGTAGGCGCCAACATCAACCTTCCACGCCGGCTCTGGATTCTATCCGAGGGATTACCCCTCACCCCTCAATGGAACGCCCCCCAATCGTCCCCCAATCCACCGAGCGCACCCACCGGATTCGCCGCCGCGGCCCCCGCTTTCGTCGGCGAAACCGCACTACCCGTCGCCGTCCCGAACCCTACAAAATCCGCAATGCCCGACGACTGCAATTTCTGCTGCTGCTGCTGTGGCTGTAGTGGTTGTTGTACAAACATGTTTTGGAAGGGTTGTTGTTGAGGTTGGGGTTGTTGATTGGGGGTTGTGAAGAGGTCTTGGAATTGGTTGGGTTGTTGCTGCTGTTGTTGTTGGGAGAGGGCGGGAGAGGCGGGTTGTTGAAATTGGCTAAATGGTTGGGGTTGTCGGGGTTGTTGGGGCTGCGGCTGGGCGCCGAACCCTGCGAATGAGGATGCGCCGCCGAAAGGTTGAGGGGACCCAGCGGACGGTTGTCCAAACGCGCCGAAGGAGGCGGGGAATCCACCACCCTGCTGCTGCTGCTGCTGCGGCTGCTGCTGTTGTAGTTGCGCAGGCTGGCCGAACCCGCCCCCAAATTGCGGGAGACCGCCCAAAGCGCCTAGGCCGTTCATTTGCGGTGAGGTATTGCTGGTCGGGGTGGGCTGCTGCTGCCCGTACAAAGACAGAATGGAGTTTTTGACATCTTTCGCGGGGGATGCGTTTGTGGATGTAGCCGGTGCAGAGCCTGAGGACGGACCAGAGAAGACGTCAAACAACTGCTGAGCGGCGGATTGAGGTGCCTGCTGCTGCTGTTGTTGTTCTTGAGGCTGTTGTTGGGCGGCAGAAACACTCGGCTTCGGAGCCGCCGCGCCGGGCGGAGGGGCAAAGTTTGCAAACGAGGGCTGGTTGGCGACGGGACCCGGTTTGGCGAGACGCGCCATGGGAGGCGAGGTTCGCGTAGTCTGCACGGCTGTGGTGGTGGGTGCGACGCCTTCCACGGCTTTGAGAGTGGATGGGTCGGGCACGGGACCTTTCATGGCGTACTGTTTGCGCTCGTATTTTGCGCGAATGAATTGGTCGATGCTGCTTTCGGGAGGTGTGAAGTCTGGAGGCAGCTGTTGTTCCCAGTATTGACTTGGGGAACGAGGAGTGTAAGTATGAAATAATTCAGATAATGACATGCATGTTACGATGAGCAGCTTACTTTGCCTTGCCGTTGCCCCAGCGAACCATGTTCGCAATCTGCTCTTCCGTCCATGTATCCAAATCTGCTGACTTGACTGTGTGGGAAAGAAAAAAAGGCAGTAAGAAAATCGCAATGAAAATTGTTCATGAATGACGGCAGAATCCTGCTCGTCCGCTCGCGGATGTTGGGCGGGGGTGGGGGAAGCGTAGCTCGCTTCGCTCGCCAAAGATACGACGCCTCTCTCAGGGTCGTGGGAAAATGGGAATTGCCGACGTTTGCCGCCGAGAACTCGCGCCGATCGCCGCTTATCGCTCGCGAGAGGGCGTTCACTCTGGTCGGCCTCGCTCCGCTCCCAGACCGAACCAAACCTCGCTGGGCTCGAGGCTCAAGCATCTCTGCGCCTCCGGCACACTCCTTAAGCATCCCCTACTCCTCTCTTCGCTCGCCGCAATCTCACTACCGCTCCGCTGGGCCCCATTCCCCCATCGCTCCTCCCGGCTTACCCTTCGATATATGAGTCCCCATATTCCTGTGGTGCCCCGAACATCTGATGCAAAAGAAGATGCCCAAGTTCCAAGAAGCCCATCTCGGGTCCTTCTTCCTGCAGTCAGCACATTTTCTGTTATCAGGCCTCGCCATGAGTTCCTTAAGTATTTTAGCGTTCCTGTCGTTTCCCGCCTTGTCGTTCATGCGTTCTGTGCGGGTGGACATTGTGAACGGTTGTTGCTGGTGCAGTTAGGGAGGCTGAGATTGGCGTGGGAAAATTGGGGATTGGCTGGCGGATGCTTTCAAGAATAACGCCGCTTTGGGGTCGTTCGAAGCAGCTGTTACGAATGGTTAGGAACGTTGGGGCGTAGGGGGGTGAGTCACCCTCACGTCGCGGTGTGTCATTCGTGCAGGCGAAACTCCGCTGCAAAGAAACTCTCAGTATCAGAGAGCTGTTTATTGGGACCCAACGTTAAGTCAAACGAGGACACCCTATCAGAAGAATAAACATCGTCGCGCGCTTATAAGCAGCTCCGCTCGCAACAGAAGTGCGAGAGTCGCCCTGTCAGGGCCAAAGTAGTTGTCATACCAGCGACTCCAGCGAGGATCTTGACCTCCCTTTCAACCGCCAAAGCGAGTAACATCTAGTTGAGTCGTTCCCAACGTCTTCCCTCCAAACGCTACAAACCCCAATACTGCGCCGCTTTTTTATGCGAAAATGCTACATGCCTGGCCACCTCCATCACCCCTCACCAACAACGACCACCATGTCCGCCCACCAAGACCCTCAGACCGCAGCACGTCTGCGTCAATGTCGAATGCCATCCGCAGCCTGGTAGAGCAGTTCTCGAATCAGGCAATCTCCGCACAGCAGCAGGCGGCATCAACCAAGATTCTCTCCCGCTCACCAGCTTCCGCTCCGCAACTGCCCACATTGGTCCTCAACGATGGGACAGTTCCGATGCGTGGGGACGGCGATTTAGGGATAGTCTTGAACGCGGGGAGAATCGGAGACACACCACGTCCTAGGTCAGCGACGGAGCCGACGTTCCTTATTCCACCCACCTCCCAGACCCATGCTGGACAAGCAGTCCACACAGCCCCAGCAGCGGAATCCCCAACCTCCCTCACACCCCGTCTCCCGACCACCCTCCACCCGCCATCCACCACCGCCGAACCCACAGCCACCCGCCGCAACTCCCGCTCCCTCACCCCGCAAAACTGGTACACCACCTCCGGCACCCCAGGCTACAAAGGCCACCGTCGTGTCAGCGGTCACGGCCACGGGCACGGTAAGCACCATGGCAGACGGGAACGCCCTCAAGAGGAAGAAACCCTGAACCCTTTCCAGCTGTTGGAGCGTAGTGGCGCTGTGCGCAGACGAAGGGGACGGGCTTGTGTGCGGGATACGGACGTGACGTGGGGTGTGGGTGGTCGGCACAGGAAGGGGGATGATGCGCAAATGCAAACGCAAACGCAAACGCAACAAGCCCTCGTCGTCTCACCCAAACCCTCCTCCCCTCCTTCTATTCCGATCCGTGTCCGAAGCCTCATCGAGACAATTGAGGAGCGCACGGGTGGGTTCAAGCGGTCGAACTCCACGGTGAGGCTTGAGGATGCGCGGGAGGTGCATGCCGGTGTGGAAGGTGACAGTGTGGCGGAGGGATTGAATGAAGCGATGGATGTGCCGTCTCTGCCGCCGCTGCCGCACCCGCCGTTGGGTAGCGCTTCCTCGTCTTGTGCGAATCTTACGCATATCACCGCCCCGCCAACCCACTCGACCAGCACCGACCCGCCTGCCACATCCAGCATGCAATCATCCCACACAACCACCAACGGAACGCATGGCATCTCGGAACCAGCGACAAATTCGACCACCCCCACAATCCCGTTCGCGACGTTATTAAGACATTGGCGCACAATCGACGGCGGCCACGGCGTCGATGTCTCGCATGAGCAGCGGCCGGTGACGGAGCATGACCATGGGTTCACTGGTAAGTCATCAAACCTCCCGAATTCACACCGCGCACGTTACATCCGGACTAACATCTGTTGTGATCTTTTTAGTGATCAGCCACCCACCCATGGAAATCAACCACAGCACCATCCACGAGCTCAACCTGCACTGTCGGGATTGCAAGTCGATGTTTTTGTTCAGGGCTGCGCATGATTGTCTGCACACGCCTTCCCCACAACTATCACCAGCTGGTGGGGGTGTGAGGGATGTCCTGATCGAGCGATGTGATCATGGGCACGGAGAGACGGAGAGAGGGCAGGAGGAGGGGATGGGGTTGGAGTGGTTGCGGGGGACGCGGGGGGAGTACATCAACATTGCTTGTTGATTAATGTTTACTCCATGTGGGCAGAGCTGTATTGACTTTTTTGGGGGGTGTTGTGTCCTTGGTTATGGTCGTGAAAATGTATACGTGATCTGTTTCTGTATGTGTTGCCAAATAGAAAAGTCTCTCTGAGCCTTATCACACCCGGTATCACGAAAAGAAATATCGCACCCAATGGTGTTTGCGGGCTGTATAGATAAATCAGGATCAGGTTGTGCCATCAACGACCATGCATTCGCTCGACTAGTGCCCCCATCCCGCTCGACCCGCGGGCATCGTTGTAACCACCACCAGCCCCGTGGCTCATTTGTAGCATTGAGATCTACTCTGGAAGCTGTGGAAGTGGCAGGCTTTGGCAGTCACAGTGAAGCAGTGCCACTCTTATCGGGGTCCACTGTCCCGTGTCTGTCCGAACGTCCATGTCCCAGCCGGGTCCCTTTCTGACGCGAGGCCATTTTGACGCGTCCCATACACCCTGCATTGATGCACAAAAGCCCATGTCTGGCTCTCCCGACCCTAGCACCCAGAGCAGGCTCCAAGCATCTGCACAGAAGCTCAAACCCCTCCCTATTGCCCAGGACCCGCACCGCACGATGATGCAAGGCTCCGACATGTCCCTGACCCGCATCAAAGCGGCCAGCGAGGCCCGATTAGCAGTTGAGTTTGAGTCCGTCTCCGCTTTCGGGATGAATCCCACCTAGGGGCCGGCGGTTCTGACGCTCCACTGTCGTTCTGCAGGAGGAGACGCGGACGCAGCAACGGCAGCGGAACTTGATGGTGCTTATACTGGATCATCTGGAGGTGCATGGGTGCGTACTCACACCCTTTGGTTGGGAGCGCACGGCACGTCCCGGGGGGCGAATCGAATGGACCTCACGGAGAGACGAGGGGAGCATCCAACCGCGAACGGCGCATTAACAGTGGGCGAACATATGGTGTGGGTTTTAGGTATATGGAGACGGTCGAGAAACTACAAGCGGAATCAAACGTCTCCCTCCGCAAAGTGCAGGTGGCGGATAACGTCGATCTGCTGCATGTGTTGCAGGTGCCGTTGCGTTTTGCCATCGTATATAGGGGGATCCGGCTAACGTTGTGGGTGTGAAATGAAACTCACCGTTGGAATCGTGGGGGCGTAGGAGTATGAGAATTACTACAACATCAAATTCGGCAAACCGCCCAAACTGACCCGCAGTGCGGCTGGGAAGGACGGTACGGTCTGGCTGCAGGCATGGGGGAGTCAACCCAGAGCCCACACTCACCCACTCCACTCGGCATTGCATATGGATAGAAGGAACAGCGAAACCAAAACGCCGCACGCCCCGCTCCCAACCCGACCTCACCCGCACCGACGACACACCGGTGGAGCAGTACCACCCCTCTCTCGCGAAAGTGACGCGCGGACCACGGGCGGCGATTTCGAGGGCTGTTGAGGGGGATGGAGGTGGTAGGGCGAAGGCGAAGCGACCCACGTCGGCGGGGCGGAAAGAGGATGCCGAGGGAGGTGGTGAGGGGTGGAGTGGGATTGTAGGGACCAAGGTCTCTGAGAAGCCTGTTGCAGTAGCCCTAGATGAGGTAAGGTTTTACATCCCCCACTCATTCCACGCCACATCCCAACCCTCACCCAACTTTTACCAACAGCCACCCAACCCCACCCCCGAGATGCCCACCCACCCCCGCCTCCTCAAACCCCTCCCCCACCTCTACACCCACCCGGACCTCTCCGCCCTCGCCGCCACCATCTCCCGCGACATCTTCACCACCAACCCCTCGATCCCTTTCACCGCCATCGCCGGGCTCGCCCGGTCCAAGCGGCTGCTCAAGGAAGCCGTGGTGTACCCGTTGAAATTCCCGCAGCTGTTTAGCGGGATCTTGACGCCGTGGAAGGGGATCTTGCTGTATGGCCCGCCGGGGACGGGGAAGACGATGTTGGCGAAGGCGGTTGCGACCGAATGTGAGACTACCTTTTTCAACGTTAGTGCCAGTAGTATTGTTAGCAAGTGGAGAGGTGGGTAGTTGAGCGAGGCGTGCGTTCTTTTGGGGGTGCGGGAGAGGTGGACGGTGAGGCTGAATGGATCCCGCCTCTATTCGATTTGCTTCACAGGCGACTCGGAAAAGCTGGTCCGGGTCCTGTTCGAACTGGCGCGGTATCATGCGCCGAGCACCATCTTCCTCGACGAGTTGGAGGTGATCTTCTCTCATCGTATTGGGCTCCTGTTTACGCCATCTATTGGTTGGCTTACTCTAAGCTATGCCTACGCATTCTACGCCTCAAACAGTCGATCATGTCCCACCGCACCTCCGACGGCGCCGAACACGAAGGCAGTCGACGGATGAAGACCGAGTTGTTGATACAGGTAGGGGGGGAACGAATACACCGTAGGACTCATCACGCTTCTTGAAATCTCAAAACTACCGCTAATCGCTCACTTCCGTCGAACAGATGGACGGCCTCTCCAAAACCAACGAGCACGTCTTCCTCCTCGCCGCGTCCAATCTGCCGTGGGACCTCGATATGGCTATGTTGAGGCGGTTGGAGAAGCGGGTACGCGTCTTTAGTTGTCACTCATTCACCAATCTGCCGTTTGTCTACTTCGCTGACGGAATAAACCTGGGCAGATTCTGATAGATGTCCCCGACGCACCGGCGCGAACTGCAATGTTTCGCAACAATCTGCCTGCGTGCGCGTCTGAAGCGGCGGTTAGCGCACCAGGGGCGGATGCGTTCTCGGCGTCGTTACCGGTGGGCAAGTTGGATTACGATAGGTTGGCGGCGTTGACCGAAGGTAAGTTGCGGAGCCACGATGTGAACGAGGGTTGTGGAAAATGTGAGGCGGGCTAACGAGCAGGTGTTTCGTATGTAGGGTATTCTGGGTCGGACATCAAACTGGTGTGCAAGGAAGCGGCGATGCGGCCGATTCGGAAATTCTTTGATGCGTTGGATGCTATGGACGGTGACCTAGGCGGTGGGATCGATAGGGAGGCCGCTGATGCAGGTAATTACTTGGTCTTGTATCCGCAAATCATGTTGTTTTCTGATTATTACCGTGTCATGTAGGTGGATTGCAAAGAGACCCGGTTGAACAAGCGGATGTTGAGGCGGCGATAGGGAGCACGCGGCCGTCATCGAATCAGGCGCTTGGGGACAAGTATCGGGAGTGGCAGGAGTCGTTTGGGTCGGCTTAAAAATGCGGCGTTTGCTGTGAATCAGGTGCGGCGTGTTTGGGGGGCGAAGGAAATTGGGAAGCAGGGACCAAGCGCCGGCGCTAGCGTCCACGTTGTATTTTTCCGTCGAGGCATCTCCGTTTACGTATCTCCTCCCCTTCTGTATATGCTTCTCGCCGTATGGATGTATACCACCTTCGGACCTAGATCCAATCCATCTCTCCACGCTCAATCATCCTCGCGGCCGCCTCGCACAATATTGGCACAAACACCCGACTTCCCAACTCATGCGTTTTACTGTTCGAATAGTCCACGAATCCTAACATGATGGTGTCGGGCGTCATGTATCGTTCCGTCACATTACCGACTATGGTATTCGTTGCATTGCCAGGACCCTCCACGACGCTTAGGTACAAACGATAGTCAATCCCGGGATGCTGGTATCGAAAGACGACGGAAGCGCTATCGGGCCGCTGTTCGAGGACCAAGTTGCCGAATTTCACGCCAATGTCGTCGACGTTGACGTCTTTGGCGTTTTCCTCAGGGCGTGAGAGAGAGACTTCAAGGTCGTAAGGGCGGGAAGTGAGTACGCCCGTTGTAAGCTTTTGGATGGCGGAGGTGTTCTTTCTGTGCTGATTGTCACCGTTGGCAGGCTTGCCAAGGGTGGTGGTGCTCTCGTCGCCGCCAGTCGTGCTTGTGAGGACAACCGGCCTGTTGAGACGACGCTTGTAGAGACCCCAGGAGGCGGTTGGGGTGATGAGCGAGCGGAAGGTAGCCGGTAGTTGGGCGGCGGCGGGGAGAGTCTCGAGACGACGGTAGTGGTAGGCGGTGATGAGGCCGACAGAGGCGGTTGTCAGGGTCAGGATGGCGAACGGTGTGCGCAGGCGGCTGGCCGACCGGAGGGGTTGCTGTTGCTGCATATCCACTACACCTATACATATACACCACCACTGAATTACCTACAGATACCACCCCTGCTGCTGCTGCTGCTGCTGCCGAAGTTGCAATGGGGTCGCTCCCAAAGAGGGAAGCCGCCGCTCCTTCTAATTGAATTGAATTCAATGACCGTGTCACGTGGCAGAGAGTGCAGATCGCAACAGCAAGGCTGAGCGCAACCGCATAACGACCCTCGACGGCGCCTTACCGCGCAATCGGCTGCAATGTCTGGAGACAACCCGCGTCCATCAACAAACGCGTTGGTCTAGAAAGCGCTGTCCTGGAGGTTAGAAACCTACGGATCGCAAAAGAGCGTCGATAGCGCGACCCGAGAGATACTCGGACCCCGCACTTGAGACGCACCTTTCCGCACGTTCAACGACCCCATTTGGACGGGTCAAGTCGCGGGATACGAAGACCTGGAAGGAGGGTCAAAATTCCGATTCGCCGACCGAGGGACTAACGTTTGCGAACCCGCGTTATCTCCGGACGGACTTGCCATGAAGTTCACCAATGGCGTGCTGAAGAAATGTTTGTTGGGTGCATTTGGAAAGAGCAGCTCGGAACTTGCCTGCTTGCAGGCATGAAACCCGTGTTACGGTTGTTCAGGGATCTTGATCACTTTTTCGGATGATGGAAGTGCAGGTCGTGAACAATCTGACAATCAAAGTAGCTCTGCTGGCCATGCCGTGGCTACGGCCGATTGGATACACCTTGGACAAACCGCGGACCGCCCAAAGCGCAAACCAAGCGATCGTTGCAGGATCGCATTGGTCTACCAGAGATGGTTAAGAGGGGAAATGAAGAGCGAGGTCAGCATGGCGCACCAGTTCGGCGAGCGCGCGTAGCGTCTTCGCATCAAGCTACCCGCGCAGCTGCTGATCACAGCAAACGAATGAACGCTAAAGGGTCTCGACGCAACGCCAAAGGACTTCTGCAGAAAGCTTCCAGAGGCAATGAACGGGTATCTATGCGAGTCCGTGCTTGTACCTCGTGCAGCTTCTGGATGATGAGATCCACACTTCGGATTCTGAGGTTGTCGAGATGGACGAGATGCGAGCCAGAGCAGACGCTTTAGCGTGGCTCGAGCCCGAAAGCTGGGGCAAGGAAAGTAAAGGCACGATTTGCGAACGGCAAAGAAGGCAGGGGACGGTCTTGCAGGATCGCAGCGCCCGGGTATACGGAAAGCGGACTTTAGGGTCTCGTTCAACGCAGAACGCGGGTGCGCGGGGGCTGCCCGACCGGAGTCGTCCCGGCCGGCCGTACATTTTGCTCGTGGAATGCTCCCTCAACTGAAACATCTTTATGAGCTCCGGCGAGGTTTGGCCGCGACTCCGGGCAGGGTCCCGACCGCAAAGCCTGCGCCCAATTATGACCGAATGCGTGGTTCCGCAAAGCGGAACCCGTTATGTTTGTCGCTAGCGATGAAACTAGGAACTGCCGGCTTCCGCAAAACTCGACCCGTATCAGGTATCGAGCGCAGCGAGACACCATTCGCCATGTGTCATCCGCCATCCATCCACAGCCCAGTATCCTTGTCAAGAGCGAAGAGAGAAGCATCTCACACCATACTTCCTGTATCACCCCCTTCCTGGATGTCGCTCGAGCGCCTAGCATGCTCATGTTCGCCACCGAACAAGGAAAGAGCCAGACATCTGCGGAAAACGGACAACAGGTTGGCGCATACATGCAGCGGTGTCGACTACCCCGCAATTCTGATTCGGACGCACTGCGCACGAGTAGGCCCGAATCTGTCCGGGAACTACTTGAGACCTGCGCCGTGGAGTCCACGAGGATGCGCTGCCGAAGATACGGTGATACATGAGGTAGGCGATGGGATTTGTGCTTTCCTCGCATCATCTTCTGTGCCCTCAGTACCCCAGACCCGTAAACTCGCACTTTCCGGTATCTTTTGATAGCCACCGTTCTAGTGTACTCTCTTTGCGCTGAGTGCTCGATTTTGCTGCTGTGGTACATGTACATGTTCACGACACGAGGATCCTAGGCACTCATATCCTGGGCTTGAGCCAAAGTCGCATGGGGAAATTCACCGATGAACGCAAGCAGGAGCTGTGGGGGCAGTTTCTCAATGTGAATGTAAGTCTGTATCCTTTTGCGCTTATTTCAATCACCTCGCTGAATGACGGATTGTAGGACAAGGTCTTTATTCACGGTGCAGAGCTACATGCCTAGCGTAGCGCAGACCGGAGGGAAAGCGTCGACGCGTTTTACACTTGGAGATGTGTCGGCGTAGTCTTTCCGGATATCACAACCGGGAATAATGGCAACGGAGGCTCTCTCACATCGCATCTTGGGTATGTTTTGTGTGCGCACCGCTTCGCTCTCCTAGCTTCTATGTGTACCGAAGTGTCTGGAGTCAGGTAAGTGTGGCGCGGCACTCTGTTTCTTTGTGGACTCCGCATCCCCTCCTTAGGAAACACTGTTTGATAGGTGGGGAGATGCTTATGAAACGCGACCGACATTGCTGGTATGTTCCTTTGATGGATCATGAACCCGTCTCTTCGTTGCCCGGAGTAAGTACGGCGGGCGAAGGTTTGGTTTCATTGTAAAACTATTCTGTGAGTGGACGTGACCCTTACTTACCCCACGATTTGGCGGATCAGCCTCCATGGTCCCCTTCGGCAGCTGGTCGGAATATGCAAAATGGCATGCAACCGGGAGTGCGGGAGGATCGGAAATGCTAGAGGAAGCTGGGGAGGCCCGAGAATGCAAATGGCATGCAACGAGGAGCTGGGGTGGAAGCCGGGGCTGCCGAGGAAATCATTGCGAATGCAACTTTAGAGCTCTCGAATATTTTTTCGACTCTGTGTCTTGAGGGATGATGGATGCTCTCTAGCGCGCGGATCGGGACGCACATCTCCTTGAGGGCGTGTGTAAGGAGGGAGTGAATCAACGTACGATTCCTCGTCGTTAGTGTGTCTCTTGGACGCCACAGCAGATATCCGACCCGCCTAACATCAGAGATTTCGATGAGGGGATGGAATCTGGGCTCTGGGAGTGTACCGGTGATAAGGCATCGAGTAGCATGGAGTGCGGAGCGCGAAAAGGACACCCAGTTGGCCGCGGCGGTCTCCCGGATTTCTCGCGAAAATCTGTCGGGCATCAGGAAGCACGTACCCCCGCGTGCTCGAGCAGAGTACGCCACTGTCGCGGGTGTAAAGGCGTGGAAAGACTATTCTCCGCCAATACGACTGAATTACCACGTCTGCACAGGTAAGACTGATCGCACTTTCGTTCAGGACGATCCACCACCACAGCCGTCCTTACTTGACTCAGGTGCACCACTCATATCAGTTTTGCCACAGGGCCCTCTGGAGTCTTTCCCGAAGAACCCGGGCGCGAGGATCAGTGAAGCTTCAAAACAGGTCGAAGCAATGAAATACGCAACCAGAGTGTGACGCGTATTCAATTCAAAAGAGATTAAAGGAACGGGAGCGCAAGCCAACATGCAGAGGAGCGTACGCATGATGCAACCGTCAAACTCGCTGACGAGCAAACTGGAACAGATCGATTCCGCACCTTCCTCGTCATCTGAGGTGTCCGGAAGAGTCCTGAGAACCGTCGCGGAGTTCTCAGGACTCTTCCGAAAAGGAGGAAACTCGGCCTGGGCTGCGTCGTCCAGTTCCCCGAGGACGGCTTCCCGCATCATGCTGTACAGGGCGGAGGCGGACGGGCGGGCGCGAGGATCTGTGGAGAGGCAGGCGGAGGTGATGTCGCATAGCTTGCCTGCAAGGTTTGGCTGGCGTAGGTGCTCGATGTACGCGCCCACCACGTTGAGGTGTCCGGCGAAAGAGTCGTCCCCCTGCCCATCCTCAAAGTGCACGATTCGGTACTTGGGGTCCCGCTCCCATTTATCTCCCACCCGCACGCGGTTTTCCTTGCGGTAGTTTCTGAATTTGGCGGAATCCTTGCCCTGGGCTTTCCCTAAGACCTCGAGGAGTACGCAGCCAAGAGCGAAAACATCGCTCTTACGATTGGTGATCTTGTCGCGACCGTATTCCGGGGAAGCGCACGTCGCCGTCGCCCCTGCGGCGTACGCGGTGGTTCCGTCTCCGCAGATACGCGCCACTCCGAAAGTCGATGTAGATGATGGCGTGGGTGTCCGGATGGAACAAGATGTTGGATGGCTTGATGTCATGGTGGATGATCGGCTCCGGGAGCGAATGGAAAAGAGCGAGCGCATGGCAAAGCTGCAGGAAGATGGTGCAGTATCGCACCCACTTCTCTTGGCTCGAGAGCGCCAAAAACCAGCGGACTTTGGTGGTGGGATCCGAATCCCCAAAAAGCAGATCGGCTAGGGAGTTGTTGCACCACGGGAACAAGTAGGTCTCCAAGACAGGGGGGCCTCGCTTCTTTTGTCGCTGTGCCCCTCCCAGGAACTCCAGCGTATAGGGGTGCCCTCGCAAGGCCGCGTATATCTCTATCTCGATGTTGATGACGGGTTCCCCCTTGGGAGTCGTCGGTATCTTGAAGTACGTTTTCCTAGCCGCTCTTTCTCCGTACGGACCGGTGACTGCCTTCACTTCCCCTTCGCGGCCTTTGAGCTGGCGGGTCCCGCGAATGAAGCCGGGTACAACCCAGCGCAGGGACTCGTTTTGCTGCACGATGATGACATCGTTGGGATTGAGCTCGCGCAACCTCATGGTGCTGTGGATATGTTATAAACCAAGTGAATTGTTCTGCTCATCAAAAGGAGGCGTTTACAGTATGTACATGCAACAGGTTTCCTTACATATGTATGTGGACGAGTGGGTACTAAAAATGGACACGATCGTTTTGGCAGCGAGGGGAAGTGAGGCGTCCAAGCACATCTGCGGCGATAAAGGAAAGAGAGGGCTAGAAGAAGGTGGAAGGCTATTTAAACCAGGTCGTGGCTCACGTGACTCCAGCCCACTTCGGGACCTTCGAGCTCGTCTACGGTCAATCCGACGATCGCCGCCCGCCGAGACCGCATGTCCAAACCATCATCTCGAAAAGATTGAAGCCGATTCCCGTTGTTAGATTCCTCATTGTACGGCGGCGTCCTCGCGTGCCAATCAGATTGTTTGGTCCAGTACAATCTGATCGTCTGGCTCCATATTATTATGATGTATTCCCTTCGAGTTGTTCATTCATGGAAGCGTATAATACGCGCGATTGACGTTTGAGTGCGGGAACGCGTCGCTCATTCCGCTGGGCAAAAACCCTCTGTCAAAACGGCACTGCTTTGCTTGGCTGTCAAGAATACAGGTGTCGGGAAGTTGCGCAGATGTGTGTCTACTGCTGCTACTCTTCCTAACCCTCCCACGCTCAAAGTCCAACCAACCTATGTACCGTACATATGCGAAAAAGGCGCCACAGCCAAGAACAACTCCAACCTTCGCCAAAAACGCAAAAAGACTACGTACTGGCCACCCCATCTCCGCTCCCCCCGCTCCCATCAACATCCCTCCTAAACCCCTCCAAAGCCTCCTCCACCGTTCCCCCAAACACCTTCTTGACAAGCTCATACCGTCGTCCCTCGCCCACCCCCGCTCGGCTCCGCCTCGCTCTCCTTCCCTCAACAACCCGCTCAAGCTCCCTGGCTTTCTCACCGGCCTGCGCGACGATCTGCGCCGGCAAGTTTGCCAGCCGCGCGACGTTGAGGCCGTACGAGCGGTGCGCGAGGCCGGCGGTGAGTTTGTAGAGGAAGACGATGGTGGGTTGTTGGCCTGTATGCATCGCGTGGGCCCGTGAGTTAACACCCACCCACATCCGGGCAGAAAAAAAACACGTATACACCGCAATAAGAAATGAACACCTACCCTCCCCCTGGTCAACCTCACAGAACCCCATATGACAACACCTCATCCCCCCAAACTCCGCCGCCATATTCCCCAGCACCGGGTAATGCGTCACGAAAAGCGTCGCGCAGTTCACCACCGTCAGAAAATGGGCCAGCACCGCGTACGCAATCGCCGTGCCGTCGTGGGTGGAGGTGCCGCGGCCGAGTTCGTCGAGGATGACGAGGGAGCGTGGCGTGGCGGTGCGGAGGATGTCGGAGGTTTCTTGGAGCTCGCGCATGAAGGTGGATTGGCCGGTGGCGAGGGAGTCTGAGGCGCCCATTCTGGGGCGGGGCGGGGGGGAATCAGAATCGGGTGTTTAGGGATGAAAGCCCAGGGAGAGGGGGATTTATCTCAAACTCCGACATCCTGAAAACGCACCTAGTGTAAACAGCATCAAAGATCCCCAACCGCGCTGACTTTGCAGGCACATACGACCCGATCTGCGCCATGATCGCAATCAGCGCCACCTGCCGCACATACGACGACTTGCCGCCCATGTTCGGGCCTGTGATCAGTAGACATCGGCTGTCCTTCTATCCCCGTATCCGTATCCATATCCGTAGAGTGTGCTTCGTTAGCCAAAGTACCTACGCGGGGGAGAAAGAGATCCCCAACATACCGTCAACACAACATCATTGTCCACAAACCCCTCCACAAGCCCCTCCACCATCGGATGGCGTCCCCCAACAACCTCGACCCCTTCCCCAAACACCGGCCTTACATACCCCGGTTGCCCCGCCACCACCACAAGCGCCCCAAGACAATCCAACACCGCCAACCCGCCCACCACAGACCGCAACCCCTCATAGCACCCCGCAACCTCCGCGAGGAAACTTAGGTAGGCCTTCTCGCAGGCGGCGACCAGGGACTCCCGTGCGCGATCGCGGGCACGCATGAGGGAGATGATGCCGGGTGTGTGGAAACGGGCGAGGGATTTCGTGGAGGAGATCTTGACCCAGTCGTGGGGGACCTTGGATGTTTGGGAGATGGGGAGTTCGACGAGGTATTCTATCCCGGCGACGGTGGTATAGTTCAACGTCGGTTTTTTGAGCGTTTTGCGGAGGGTGTGGAGATGCTCTGTGAGGTCGGATTCGACCTTTGTGATGGTTTGTTGGTGGTGGGTGATTTCGGGCCATTTCGTTCGTGGTGGTGTCGCTTCCCCCTCTGCAGCGTCGTCTCCTTCCCCGTCATCGTCCACACCATCCCCGCCATCATCGACAAAAAGCCCAACCTTATCCCCCCTCCTCGCGGCCTCCTCGTCCAACACGCCTTTGAACCGCTCCACCTCCCTCCTCAACACCGGCAAGCTCCTATACACATTCTGCAACAACTCCGACTTGAACGTCGTGTATGCGTCCCGGGGGACGCAGGTGGTGATTTTCTCGAAGGCGAGGAGGGTCGTAAAGAGCTCTGCGGGGGAGATGCGGGCGTAGTGGATGCGGGCTATGCTGCGTTCTAGGTCTGGGGGGTAGGGGTGGGGTTAGGCGAGGGCACGGGGGGATGTGGGTGTGGGTGTGACGGGAAGATTGAGAATGGGGCACCTGGGAGTTGGTGGAGGAGTCCTTTGCCACGCATGACGTAGGGATCCTCGTCGCGGGTTTTTTCAAGGAGCTCCTCTACTGCGTCTGTGCGTTTTTGCAACTCCCTACAAAAGAAAAAATTACACATCCCAATTCAGCTCATACTTATTAACTGATGGGAGTTGGGCTGGGAAACGCGAAACCACTACTCACCCAACATCAACCAACGGCATCCCCACCCACCTCCTCATCAACCTCGCCCCAAACCTCGTCCTCGTCTGATCCAACACCCACCACAGACTCCCCCTGCGCCCTCCATCGTCCCCATTCTCAAACACCTCCAGTGACCGCAACGTATTCGCATTCAGGACCATATGCGCGACGTTACTGAACGGCGTGAAATTCGTGGTGAGGTACAGGGCCGACTGCAGGTTGAATTGGGTGAGGTAGGTTAGGAGATGGGCGAGGGCGATGATGACCCGTTTGGGGAGGGAGAGGGCTTGGCTGTACTGTTGCGCTCCCGATGCGGGTTCATGTTCCTTTCCGCCGTCCTGGGAGATTTTCTTATCGTAGAACGCAGCCAACGCCCGCCGCGCCTCGATATGCTCAACCATCCCGCCGCCCTTGATCCGCTCCACGCGCACGCCGTCGTCGCCGGACCCGCAGAGGTACCGCACCAGCTTCTCGGTGACGCTGCTAAGTGTCTCCGGGAGGATGATTTCGGTCGGGCGGATATGCAGCATGCGGGTCTCGAGCTCGTTGCGCATATGGTTATCCTCAAACTCGTCGAACACGATGTCGCCCGTCTGCAGCTGGATGGCGACGAGTCCGAAATGGACCGCGCCGGATTGGGTCGTGGGCACGTCTTCTACGACACACATCAGGTAGCTGGAGGCGCGGGAGTCGAACCCGGCCGATGCGTCGGCGTCGATGTCTAGGTCGTCGACAAAGGTGCCCTTTGTGTACACGTTCGTCAGCTGGCGCACGAACGGCGCGTTCTTGTTGTCTCCCGCGGCTTTCAGGGCCGCAGTCTCCATCTGCCGGACGATCCCGACTTTGTATCCCAGCTGCACCAACTTCTGGACATGCACGTGTAACCGATGGGTGGGGATCCCGGCGGTGAACATGCTGTGGTCCTTGTATGCGACGATGTTGAGCTCTTTTGCGGCGATCTTGGCGTCGTCGCCGAAGAAACGGAACTTGTAGCCAACTTCGACGACGAGGAGGCAGTCGGGGTTGGCGCGCTTGATGTCGAGGAATTGCTGCTCTAGGGGTGTGTACTTTGTGGCGGTGGCTGCTTTACTTTTTGCTGTTGCGCCTTTTTTTGTGGCCTTACCTAGCGGTTTGAACCGCTCCGTGATGGCTGATGATGGTTGTGGGGATTCGGCGTCGTCGTCGCCTTCGTCCGGGGTGCCAAGTGCCGGTTCTGATTCCGACAGTGCCCGCTCATCTACTGTAAACTTTTCCAGGAATCTGCTGCGGACCCGTTCGCGCTCGGGATTGGATGATGGTGGTGGTGCGGACGTTTCATGTCCGTCTGCAGATGCTAGGCCAGAAGCAGGGGCAGTCCCATTGGTATGCAGCACCCGCTTGTCAAATCGGTAATTCTCCCTCCGCAGCCGGTGCACGCCTCCATTCGTCGCAGACGAGGTGGCTGCCACTTGCCCACCATCGCTGCGTGATTCTGGTGTCTGCGTCGGTGCTACAGCGGTCGGCTGTACATCTTCCGCGGCCGCGTCGGCAAAGTCCTCGTCGTCCTCGTCATCAGAATATATAAACCGCCTCGTCAAACGGCCCTTTCTTTGTTTTGGCAATGGCGACTCCATATCTTCGCTAATGGCTGCAACAGAATTCCTACTATCCTCTGGCTCCGGCGTAGCCGACCTCCGCCGCTTCACTCCCCGGTTCTCGTCATTCTCATGAACGTCATCATTCTGCAAGCTGGCGGAGAAATGCAGACTCTTGGTCGGCGTCGGTATTGTTGGCGTCGAGGTGGTTGTAGTGACGGCTGGCGTGGGAGCAACAGTGTCTGGTTTGGGCCGAAAGAAGCTGGAGATGGTGGGTTGTTGGAGGAGTGTTTTGGCTTTCTTCTTCGCGGCGGAGGAGCCTAGGCCGGCGTCTGACTTTCGTTTGGACATGATACTTCAAGTTCGGGCGTGAGCAGGCTGAAGTGGACTATGGTATGGAGAGTGGGTATATCTGTACAAAAGCCTCTATAGCCTCTAAGTTATAGCGAAGGAAGCCGTTGAAATCCACGCCGAAAGGGAAGATGCGGAAACGGAGAGTGTGACGCAGCGAGTGTGACGCAGGGAAAGTGCGCCGCGTGTCCGATGGGCCAGACACTTTTTCTCAACACAACACTCAGAGAGAGTTCAACAAGAACACCGCACAGAGGACCGTAAGGACAGAGCACAGAAATGCGCCAATGGCCGGAAACGCAGGTGCTGCTGATACAGTAGATGCGCAGTATGCGATAGCCCCATAGAGGTTTGTCTCGCTAAGCCCACCTTCACGATACATACATTTACAGGATACAGGGTACGCCAGCGTTCCATTATACTGTTTCCACCCTCCCGCCACTCTCCTTTTGTCTTCCTTCTTTCTCTACTCAAAATCTACATCTACGCCTTCAAATGCACGGCGTCCAATCCCTGTTCCCTGTGTGATTCCCTGTCGAGCCGCCTTTGCCTCCGCTGCCGGAGCCGATGACACCCATAGCAGACCGCAGCGAGAAACCTCACACATCCAATAATGGGCAGCACCACATACACGATCCAGAATACAGGGTCGCTAAGGTACGCAGCTTCATTGTGACTCGGTCCTCCTCCTCCCGCAAACGGAACGCAGGTCTTTGTTCGCGTGTCGCAATAATAGCCGTGGGTCCATTGCGAGCGGTCTGTGGTGAGGCTGTCGTGGGGTAAGAGGTCGCATTCGTGGCCGTCGGGGAGCGTGCAGGGATAGATTGGGCGGGTGTATTTGGGGATGGAGGAGTTTGCGGTCGCTATTGCTATTGCTGTTGCTGTTGCCGTTGCCGTCGGAAAGTAAAGTTGGGTGGTGTTGGACATGGTTAGGTCTGAATTGGTGGGAGGGCGGAGCGGAGACAACATGCGCTATACTGTATATACCGTTCCAACCTCCCTGTCGGAACTCTTGTGTATACGGCAGAGGCTGCAGAGGTCTTCACCGAGGACGAGAGCGGCATGGAGTCCAATCTTCATACACACCGCTGCTGCCTGTGATCAGGGTTGCCAACTCGCCGTCGTCGCCGCTTGGCATCTTTGGCAGTTTGATGACAACACGTGTCCCGACTCCCGGGTCTTAGGAAGCTCTTAAGCTTTCTTCACACGCGTCTCCCGGAGTCCCGGCTTCCGGTATCAATGTTGTCGTTGGAGGCCGTCAACTCCAAATCCCGTCGTTTCCGGCAAGACCCCGAGCTTGCCTGGAGGGAAGAGATTCGTCCAAAAGATCGCTCACTAGGACGCTCCATGCGTGCAAGCGAAGCGAGCTCCCCTTGTGCTCGAAATTCCATTTGTTGATGGAAAGAGATGAAATTCTGCGAAAATGAATGAAGCGACACTGCAGAGCCTATTTGGTTTCGACCACTCGGACAGTGTCTCATGAAGTCAAAAGGAACATTACATCTGTCAATGTACAGTACGTATCCCACTACCTCGCCCCAATCGCCGTTTCGTCTTGGTCGCCTTCGCTATCGCTCAGGCTCCCAGAACGAACCAAAACGGATCGGTGGGCACTATCAAAACCCGCTTTCAGTGACTTTGCGCGCTTTGTGAATCAGCAGGACCTGCCCCTCGCCCGGACGAGGCATCAGCAGTCAATGTCCTATCCGCATGCTATTGCACCGTAAAGTGAGACACGATGTGTTGCACCCTTTGTCAAGAGCCATAGGGTTCATGCTCCGGAACGCAAACATGTGGGCAATTCCCGCCCAAATAATGGAAAGAAGAATAGCCTGCTCCTAAACAATGGACAGTGCTCGGAGCCCAGGTCCCAGTTTCTAGCCCATGCCATGGCAATGGATTCACATTTAACACGTTTTGCTTCTTCTGACACGGCGGGACTTTGGGAGACTATCTGGGCTGAGGGTCTAGATTTGTGCCAAACACCGAGGGCTGAGCTTTCAGGAACCCTACTCCGGCGAGCACCAACTTTGAGGACTCTACGCTTTCAGGGACGCGTCAGCGTTCCGTCAGCACACTCAGCAGCTCCGACCGAAGAACTCCCGCCCGCGTTGCAACCAAAACCCCGCCTATCCACCCCCGTATTGTTCGGTTCTCAGCTTGGGTTTAGCTTAACCTTACATTCGACTCTCGTCGGCGGAGCCGCGGAGATGGGCTGGCTGCCAAATCAAAAAAATGGGGATGCATGCCTCCACACTGCGGGCCCAAGCCCGTGGGGAGCAAAAAATGACGGGTTAGCGGGGATGTGCGCCGGCATAAAAGCCAGCACTCGTTTTGTATGCCCTTCAGATGTGAGATCTTGCAAAAGTCCAGGACGAGCGTTTTGAAAAGGCATTCATTCGCTTGTCACCGCTCGCCCCCGCAATCCATTCCCTCTTTCTTGATTCCCTACAAAACTCCGTCAGTTATGGCCGAAGTCGCCGCGCGCCTCAGCGCACACATCTCCCCCAACGTGTCCTCCGAGATCGACACCTCAATCACCCCTCGCCGCTCCATCAATGGCGTCAGCGGCACCACCAATGGCATCGCCAGCGGCAAAGAGCCGCCGACGTTGCTTTCTGCACTTCGCGGCTCCCGCGCTGCGTTGGCGCGATCTCAGTCGGAACTGCAGGAGTTGGAGGGCAAGGCGACACAGTTTGATCGGAATGATGAGCAGGAGCAGGAGCAGGATGCGGAGGACGACGGGATTGTTACGAATGGCGATGACGAGGATTTTAGTCAGGCGTTTAAAGATAAGATGAAGAAATCGTCGAAGAAAATGTTTGGTACGTGTTGATGGATGAAAGAGAGCGTTGCTCTGCGCTGACATCGCTGACAATGCCCGGCCATCGTTTGTAGACATGTTGCGAAATGAAGCAAGCATCATCGAAGAAGGCGTCCAGGTAACTGATCCAACTCCGCATACGTATTTGAACTACCATGTCCTCGAATCCTAACTCTCCCATCTGGATCCCCCCGCACCGCATAGAGAGCGGAAGGTGAAGTAATCCGCCGCATGCGTGAAGCCTTCCAACTCTCCCAAAACGACCGCTTGATCATGCGCGAGATGGAACTCCAGGCCTCAGAGCTCAACACGAAGGACGCGGCGTTCAAGAACCAAATGAATTCGCGGGCCGAGCGCAAGGTGGGCAAGATCGCCCAGCGCAAGATCATGCGCGACACCAAGGCGAGGGACACGCAGATCATCGCGCTCGAGTTGGCCAATTCGCAGTTGGATATTGTGAATGAAACCTTGAAGACGAAGAGGAAGTTGTATGATGCTAGGATTGAGCAGATTGAGGTGGGTTGTGTGGATCTGGTCCTTGGCCCATGGTAGGGAATGCTAACGGGGAAGCTCCGCCATGGAAAACGACATGTCATTGTAGAGCACGCACAGCAAGCAGCTTCGCCAGCTCCCGCAGGCCCAGCAACGCCGCCTTGCATGCGACAAAGAACTGCTGCAGATGGAGATGCTGAACATCAAGGTGATTACCCATCTTGGCCCCGTCCTCATTCGCGCCCAATGAACCTGCTAACCTCACCATCCCCCTTCCCCTTGCCCCTCAACCTAGGACGAAGTTATCCGGCAAAGCATGCTCAAGAAGTTCCGCATGCGCACCGTGCATCAAAAAGGTAAACGCCTCCCTCCATTCCCAACACCACCCACGCCCCATCGTCCTCAAACCACATCCTCACAAAACCCGCTCCCCCCCACCCAGCCACCGACAAACGCGTAACCGACCAACTCCTCGCCTTCCAAGCCGTCGAGCTCCGGCAAGCCAAAGAACGATTCGAGCTCGGAGTCCAACAGTTCGAAGCCGAGCAGGAGATCGTGGCCAAGGATCTGCACAGCGTGAGCCAGTTGCAGGTGCAGCAGACCAGGGAGCTCAATGCTGAGAAGGAGAGGTATGTGGGTGTATTTGAGCGGTTTTGGGGTTGTGAGGGGCGATGTGGACTGATGGGTTATGGTGATGGCGTAGGTTGTTGGTGTTGCGCGAGACCACGAAGCTGAAGGTGATGAAGATGCATCATGATGAGTATATGAAGCGCACGGGGCACAATAATCGGTTGAAGCTCCGGAAGATGAAGTCGGCTTTTGATAAAGAGTAAGTTCGCAATACCTGCAAACTTCGCTTGGGACCATGTCACTTCCACCCACAACCCATCATCTAACGACCTTCTGTTTTATCGCTTCCAGCATCAAAGCAGCCGCCGAAATGGCCGGCGTAACAACAACCGGCTCCTCGGTCGGAGGCACCTCCAGCAACAGCCAAGCGCAAAGCGCCTTCCACAGCACGCTCCACAGCACGCTCCATTCCGGGATCGCCACCCCCACCAAATCCCGCGGAATGTCCCGCTCAGGCTCCGAGGACTCCATCGCAACCGGCGACTCGCTCGTCTCCACGGACACGGCCAACACCGAGGACCTCAACGAGCTCAACGTCGACGCAGACGAAGACATCGTCGCGCTGGTCGGGAGCATCGCCACCATGGTCACCGCGCAACGCCTCGCTCGGAGGGAGTTACGGAAGCTCAACAAGGCCGCCGCGACGAAAACGATCATGATCGCTGAGGAACGCCGGAAGCAGCTGGCGATGCAGCATGGACCCGAGCTGGAGCAGCTGGTGAGGGCGCAGCAGCTGGAGTTGTCGACGGCGAGGGCCGTGCAGGAGAAGGAGATTGCGATGGAGGAGAGCGTGCATGATGCGGAGGCGAATGCGCTTTTGGAGAGGAAGACGTTGAATTATGTGCTTAATGCTGTCGGTGATGGTATGTATCCGCCTTTTCCTCTTCTCACCTACTGTCGCTCCCCACGTCCTCGCAAACCCGCTTCCGAGACGTGGAACACTGACATACATCATCGCCCTCCCACCCATCAGGAATCGTCAACATGTCCCCCACGGGCCGCATCACCCGCGTCAACCAAGCCACAGAGCTCATGTTCGGCTACGACACCGACGACGTCATCGGCCGCGACATCCGCATGCTGGTCCCCGTCGCATGCCGCAAGAACGGGAAGGGAGTCGTCGTGGAGGGAAAGAGGAAGGACGGCAAGACGTTCCCGTGCCATGTGGCGGTGTCGGAGGTGGTGGCGGATGGTGTGCATCTGTTTACGGGCATTTTGAGGGATGTGACGCAGGAGCGTACGGAACAAGCTCATGCACAAGCCGTCGAGCGCGCTAGACAGGTCGAGCTCATGGCCGCCAAGAACCAGGTACACCCCACTCCCCGTTACCTCTTCCTTCCCTCCTTTCCCTTCCACCCATGCTAACCCTGCCACCCCCCCACCTTAGGCCGACGAACTTCTCCAACGCATGTTCCCCCCCACCGTCGCGCAACAACTCCTCTCCGGCGTCGTCGTCGACCCCGAAAACTTCGCCGGCGCTACCGTCTTCTTCTCCGACGTGGTCGGCTTCACCGAGATCGCGTCGCGGTGCAGCGCGATCCAGATGGTGGATTTCTTGAACGATCTGTATTCGGCGTTCGATGGGATCATCAGTCTTTATGATGCTTACAAGGTTGAGACCATCGGTGAGTGTGCGCTGACAAAACATTCAGATATTCCCCCCACCGCCGAGCCGGCATAACTCCATTGTTTGTCCTATAGGTGACTGCTACATGGTAGTCTCGGGTTGCCCCAAACCCAACGGAGACCTGCACGCGGGCGAAATCGCGCGCATGGCTCTCCACCTGGTGTCAGCGGTGCAGAACATCAAGTTCAAAGGGCAGCCGGACCTGAAGATCCAGATCCGGGTGGGGATCTGCACGGGCCCTGTGGCGGCGGGGGTGGTGGGGAGCAAGATGCCGCGGTATTGTTTGTTTGGGAATACGGTGAATGTGGCGAGTCGGATGGAGAGTAATGGGAAAGGTTTGTTCTTGTCACCTTTCTTCACATCGTTTCTTTCTGGGTTCACTTGGGGCTGATATTTCCTGTGATGACCCCCCCCCCCCCCCCCCTCAGCGATGCACATCCACTGCACAGAGTCAACATTCACGGCCCTGCAACGGCTCGGCGGGTACAATATGCAGCTGCGCGGGTCGGTGGATATCAAGGGCAAGGGCAAGATGCAGACGTATTGGTTGACGGGGAAGGAGGGGTTTGAGCATGGTGCGCCGACACCGACTGCGGATTGAATTGTGCGTCTTTATGGCTTTTTTGGGACATTTTCTCGTGACTTCTTCAGGTCTCTATGGTTCTTTGCTTTTACCAAATACATCAAACTTTCATAACTTCTCATCGACCATGTCTGGCTGAACTCCTCCCGAAAACGTTATACCAACGCCGTCCCTTCGAGCGTGTGCTGTCACTGTCAACCCTGATCAGGAACGCGTACGGGTGGCTGGCATATCCATAACTAAATCAAGTTTCCACGTTTGTTCGCTGCCGTGCACCTTTCGTCCCTCCGTCCATCCGTCTATAAAAGCAGCGACAGGGGACGCTCGTTTCCTTCCTCCAGGATATGCAGCATCTCAAGACATCGCATCAAAAACTCAAAACATCATCATCAAGTCAAGCGTTTCTTCAAACATGTCACCGTCCGGAACCACCACCACCAAGACTCCCTCCACCACCCCCCAAAAGCGCTCGCGCCCCACCATGGAGACCGAGCCCGGAACAGACGTCAACACCCAGGCCAAGAAGCCCGCATTGGAAAACACCGGTGAGACGGTGGACCTCCGCGTCGAGACGCAGTTCGGTGTCCCCGCGGACGTGCTGTTTGACGTGTTGGTGGATGGCGGGAAGCAAGCTGAGGCCATTGGGGCGGCTTGTTGGGATGGTGAGTACTGCACCCAACGAGTCATCCGCCGCCTGAACGTGTATGCGACGGTATGGCATGCTCATCCCTTCTCCCGGATGGATGTACGATAGGCAAATTGACGGTCGGCAAGGCCTGGACCGCAGCGGACAACTACTGCTCCGGCACCGTCCTCCACATGATCCCCTCCAAGCTGCTTGTCCAAACCTGGCGCGCATCCGCCTGGCCGTCGACCACGCCCTCCAGCACTGTCATCACGCAGCTCCTCCCGCGTTACCAGAGCCCCAACGAAACCCGGGTCATCCTCACCCACTACGGCGTCCCCGCGGGCGAAATCGCCGAGCGCATCGAGAGCGGGTGGATGGAGTACGTGTTTGAGCCTATCCGGGTGTATCTGAAGGATGAGAAGAGCAAGAGGGCGAAGAGGAGTGGGAGGAACATGGCGCATGTGGAGATTCCGGCGGTTGATCCGGAGCGGGCGGGAGCGTTTTATAAGGAGGTGTTTGGATGGGATGTGAGTAAGTGGGCGGAGGGTTATTGGGGGTTTACGTCGGGGCCGAGGGATCATGAGTGGGGCTTTGGTGAGTATATATAAGCAATGGCTGGTCGCGTCTGTCTTCTCCATTCCAAATACTTACTCAATCCTCATAGTCGACGGCGGCTTCCCCCAAGCCACCCCCACCAAACCCATCGTCGACCACACCAAGTACGCCGCCCTGACGCCCTACTACGACGCCTACCCCGTCGAAGAATTCGAAGAGAAAGTGAAGAAAGCAGGCGGCAAAGTGTTGAAGCCCAAGAGCGCGACGCCGTATGGCGTTATTGCTGAGTGCGAGGATACGGAGGGCAATGCGTTCGTTTTGTATCAAATGAAGGCGGAGTAGGAGTGGGAGTGATGCCCATCTCGCCCGTCATCACCAATGCCATGTACGTGGGACTGTCATGTCGAAGAACGCAACGTCTTCCTCCAACGTCTATATGAATTCTCTGAACGCACCAACATACGTATAACGTTTATATCTGGTGATGTTCATTGTACTGCGTGGACTTTCCGTACATGTTGGATCTTCTGTGTGCATCTCCTTTTGCTTTAGCCCTTGATGTGTTGTGGCAGTTACTTTTCCTGACTTGTGTAAATTCCTTTTCCTTCTTGTTTCTTTGTTCAATTCAATGAGTTCTCTCGTCGAGCATTTGTCGCTCAAGAAAAAGCGCTGCCTGTTGGAAGGCTGTCAATCCACGACTCGCTGTCAATGAGTCACGCGTGTGCGACTTGAAACAAACGGGCGTTCGGGGAGTGACTCCAGAGTCCAAACAAACAAGAGGACGCCAACCCTAACCCTAACCCGCAGTCGCCCGTGCTCTCCGCTTGGCTTTCCGCTGGGTATCGCAAACGGCAACCAACCCTGATCTCTGCAGGCATTACCCTTCCAATTAACGCTCATTGAAAGGGCACAGCACAGGATAGTCAGCAATACAGCTTTCCGCTTCACTCAGCTGTCCTCCTTCCATCCTCTCCAACACTCCACTCAAACCAACAAACGCAAACAAACCATGACCATCGGAAATTTCGACTGGTACCCGTGGGCCCGCTACCAAGGCATAGGCGCCGCTTTCTGTACGTACTCGGACCTATCCTATTCCCAGCTCTAATTACGATAGTTCGGTTTGTTCGACGGTCAGGGAACTTACTCTGTGTTTCTCTTTCTCAGTCATTCTTACCGGTGGCGTCATTTCGCTGTTCTACCCTTCGAAAATCCTAGCGGCAGTCAACATGTAAGTCGTCCAGCAAAAAGACCCTCTTGTTCAGCGAAATTCCGAGACTCACCCTGCTTCATATACACAGCGTCATCGGCCTCCTAATAATAGCCTGGGACTACCCCCTGCACCCCTTCACCCTCCTCGGCCCGCTCTCCACCAACATGTACATCCGTTTCGCCGGCCACCTGCTCGCCATCGCTCCCACGGTATTCCAAGCACCGACAACGACGGGCGGGCTGTGCATGCTGTTTGCGGCGTTGTGCTGTTTGAGGGCGGCGATTAATGGCGAGGATTTGACGCCGAAGAAGAGTGCGAGGGGTGCGCCGAGGGGTGGGGCGGGGAAGGATATGACGGCTATCAAGGTGCCGGAGAATTAGGGGCTTTGCAGAGTGGGGAGGTGGAATGGGGCATTTGAACTTGAGAGATGCGAACGTTTGATGGAACTTTCCATGAGGGGCCTGGTCCCCCTCCTACGGCGTATATCTATCTTGTATGCGACGGCGATTTTATTTGTACATAGTGAGCTATGTGGATTTCCTCCCTTCTGTTTTTGGTTGGGGAAAACTCGGATATCGAACTCCCCTTACACCCTTGTCTTTTGTACATACATTACATACATGGTAAATACATGCTATACACACCACATTCGCCCCCATAAAAAAGGACTATGCACAGAGGAACATATATATTGCCATGGTGGTTCGAATATTCCCGCCCAAGCGTTGTAAACTTCCCGACATGACAGCATCGCTGAGTGTGTTGCCGAGTGGTACGCACCAGGCCCCTCTCTGCGCCGCACGGACCGCCGGAGGCGGCAGATGCACAAGAGGCCGTGACGGCGCTGGGGCGGGTGCATTCTGGTGGGGCACTTCACGAATAATCCAGTGACGACCGAGTCGAGACCACCGTCGGTGCGCTGCAGACATAACCGATCCCCCATCGTTCCAGCCTCCGTCGTCGACCCTTAGCGGAAGGGTCCGGGCAACACAATTGGCAAAACGGATGAGCTACCCGGGGTCCACCGCATGCTTGCCGGGTTGCTGTTGCCTCTTGTCCTTGGGGACGAAAACAGGGGCTTGTGCCGTGGGCTTTCCTCATCATTTTGCACCCGCTTCGATCGACTCGTTTCGTAGCAGGCGTTCCCAAAAATTCCCCCCCCCCAATTCATTCAACTTATCCCGCTTACATCACTTCGCCTTCCCTCCACCTCCACCTCCATCCCCGCCTCCACTCTTCCCCTCCTTCCCGCCCCCCCGAACCCTCCTCCGCGCATCCTCCCTCTCCCTCTCCAACGCGCCCGGTCTGCTCGCTTTCACCGGATCCCTCGCGACCATCGCGGAAAACAGCGTCGCGTTGGATGCGTGTTTGGCGTGTGCGGTGCGGGACGTGCGGGTGGTGCAGATTTGCGCATGGGTTTCAGGGAGGCGGTGGGCTGCGATGAAGCATGAAGGTATCCCGAGCAATGAATATCATGAATACGAGCTGGGGGGGGATTCCCACCGTTCTTTTGCGAAAGTACACCACCATGATAAACCCTTACCTAGACAGAATCGCCGTTTACAGAACCCACAGTCGACACCAGCGATATGCGTTTTGGCTTTACACCCTGCGGCCGCACACTGGTTTGGCGGGGCGGGTGGGATATCTGCGCTGGAAAGGAACAACGTGGGGATGAGCTTCCAGCCATCGCATTCGTATAGAGTTGGACGTGAGAGGTGATGGGGCATACTTTTCTATCTGACGGACTAGCGCGTCTAGATCATCTTCCCCGGCGGAGGCGGAGTTCTTGGGTGTTTTTTTCATTGGTGTGGAGGCTATGGATCGTTTTCCAAGCCAGAAGGCGGGTTGGTATACTTTTGTAGAACAGATCACTTGCGTCGTGGTAAGCGGGAAGCGACCCGACACCCGCCGTAATTCTTTCCGGCCCTGCTCTTGCGCGCTGACGGCAGATGTTGTGGATCTTGTGATGCCAACCTATGTCTGACCATGACGTTCCAGGACAAATTCCCACGAGAACCACGCGCGCAGGTTCCAACTGGGTTCCAACAACATATGAACAACACGGCAAGCGTAGACATCCTAGGGCATCGAGCATTGTAACAACGAGGACATGGTTCGCAAGCACATATGAGAAGATGCGACTTTTATTGTATTGCAATGAACGGTGTAGTACATACAAAGAAAGAAGAAAGAAGAAAGCAGAGACGATGATACGAAACTGCAGTACAGTATGTTTGTAGTGGGACCGTTGGTTTCGCCAGCAAAAGGCCAGCTACTACAACCGCAACCGCCACGCGCAGGCTGTCCGGTCTGGGGTTCCCACGCAGGTTCCCACGAAAGAGGGCCGAGAGTTGAGAGCGACGGACACCAACACGGGTTATAACGTTTAAACGGCGCTCACGTGATGCCGCTCGCCTGTTTAAGTGACGGTTTGCGCTTCCTTTCCCAGCTCTCACTCTCTCTCTCTCTCTCACTCTCGCTCTCACTCTCCGGCGCCATAGAACGTTCCACATTCCACACCCCATACACACACCAAAGGGCATGGGAGGGGCCATGACGCTACCACCGCCGACGAGGGATCACCCGTCAGCGACATGGAGAAAGGAACAAGGTTGGAGGGGATCCCATGCGGCAACAAACGTTGGGATCATGGTTGGACTGAGGAAAAAAGTGGGCCGAAGAAGGCTTCTCTGTGGGGCTTGGGTCCAGATCGGGGCATTGGCCAGAAAGCAAAAGGGACATGGAAAATTGGAGCGTTTCAGGTTGCATGCGCGTCACGAACGCGTTGACTGTCAAACCGAATGGGACTGGCTCCATCGCTGTCAAACCAGGAAGCAAAAGACGATTTTGGATTGTGTGACAACCCGTCTGTTCCACCCCATTCCTCGTTGGTGGAACGTTATACCCTGCATGTATCCCTGGTATCCCTTCGGACCGAGCAACAACTCCAACTTCAATTGTTTTCCGTTGGTTTAACTATCCTTTTGCGTCCACTACAAAAAAAAGTTGTAGGCAAAAAGTTTGGCATTCTCTTCCTAGTCCGCCTTTTCCGACCCGTGGGTTTAACCCCTAGCGGTATACCGTTGCCGGCGGCTTTGAAGTGAAGCTGGGGAGTCGCACGGGCAAAGAGGAGGTAAGGAGTACGCAGGTAGGTACATAAGGAGGGAGCATCCGCCACGGTATAAAAGCCGTCGGGCATACATCGGCAGTCCCACCACCCAATCCCACATCCAACGCTACCCACACGACACCCCAAACATGTTCGCCTTCAGCACCCTCAAGGCCCTCGCGGCAACCGCAACCGCCACCGCCCTCCTCGTCACCCTCCCCGCCACCGACGCCGCAACCCTCACCGGCCAATGGGACACGCTCCAAACCAACGCGGGCCGCTACACGTACCAACAAAACCTCTGGGGCGCGCACTCCCCGGGCGCGTCGGGGTTCCAATCCTCCACCCTCCCAGACCGCATCCTCACCTCCAACACCAAATCGCCAAAGCCGGCGACATCCGTCTCCTGGACCACGACGTACAGCTGGACGGGCGGACCGTACCAAGTCAAATCGTACGCCAACGCCGCGCGCAACCTGCACAAACTCCCCCTGACCCAGATCAAGGCCATCCCCTCCTTCTGGACCTGGCACTACGCCGCGGCTTCCGCAAACCTCGTCGCTGACGTCTCCTACGACCTCTGGCTGTCCCCCTCCGCCTCCGGCTCCGGCGCAGACGCTTCCTCCTCGTTCGAGATCATGGTCTGGCTGTCCACCCGCGGCGGCGCCGGCCCCGCCGGCACGCGCGTCGGCGGGATGACGTATAACGGCGTCAAGTGGGGATTGTGGAAGGGGAATGTCGGGACGTGGGTGGTGTACTCGTTTGTGGCGGAGAGGGAGATCACGCGGTGGAGTGGGGACATGTTGGCGTTTGTGAACTATCTGGTGAAGAAGCAGGGTTTGCCGAGGAACCACTATTTGGTGCAGGCGCAGGCGGGCACCGAGCCGTTTGTGGGGAGTGCGACGCTTGTTACCGAGGCGTATGCGTTGAATGTGAAGCGCAAGTAGAGGGACATACGCGGGCGATGGTGATTCATACATAGACCGATACACTCTTTAGACGTAGAATACTGAAATTGAAGACACAAATATACCAGCATGGCTCAAACATCTGTTTATCGGCATTTATGGAGGTCGTAACCCGGGGCCGGATTGCGCATCACTCGGGTCCTATAACTTGTATGACTGGCCATTCGGCGATCCAGAGAGCACTTCTTCTCCCCCATTTCGTTCCTACAATAAGAACGCCTTGCGCGCGGTCGAGATATGGTACTGGTCCCCTGTCTTTATACACCGCACCATCCCATTGTTTTGCAGTGCCGCTTCCGCCAGTGACTAAACAAGCAAGGCGAGACAGAGTAAGAGAGAGGGAGAGTAGAGGCGTTAGTATTCCCCACACAGCCACACGCCTCGACCCACGGTTGGAAGCGCATAAACATTGAGTGTGCACACCCACCTTGGTACTATACACAAACCCATTCGGCAGCACAAGCGGCAAATTATCCTCCCCCATCAACCCGCCCGTCACCCGATCCACCAGACAACTATTCACATGATGCGCATTGGGCAGATCCTCGGCCAGTCGTCCAAACGTATCGGCCGAGCACACGGGGCAGTTGATCGTTCGGTCGTCGTCGTTGTAGCAGGCGGGGGTCTTGAGGGCGGAAAGCCCGGCTTGGAGGGTCATTGTGAGGAGCGGTTGGGAGGTGAGGTTGTGGAGGGCGTGGTTGGAGGAGCGGAATTGGTCGATTAGGGAGGTCCAGCGGTGGGGGGAGTAGAGGTCCTGTGTGGGGGAAACACGGTGGTTAGTTGGTGATGGGGATGGGGAGGTTTATGTAGGGGTTACCTTGTACGGCTCACACCAGGTATCCGGACTGAAAGCGAGCAGTGCCATGGCCTGCTGGATCTCGGACATGTGGGCCGCTTGCCAGGTGATGAGGTATTTGCGGCAGTACTTTATTGCTTCTTCCTTTTTTTGGGCGCGGACGAGCTCGATGTATTCTTGGAAGCGGAGATTGAATTCTAGCGTGCTCTGTGCGTTGTGAGGTGGGCCGTCAGAGGATGTACGAGAGAGAGAGTGTGGGGACAGGTGGGATTATGACTGACATAACTCACCTGAATCTTCTCGAGACTAGATCGATTGTCCGCACACCATTTCAGACATTCCGCACAGTTCTGATTCCTCAGCGCTTCTTCGACCTGTCCCGACTCCGCAAACAGCTCAATATCCACCAAGTCCTGTACCAACAATAACGCTCAGTGCAAGTCCCCCCAATTCCACTCCACCACTGAAACGCGCTCATACCCCAATCTTCAGCTCCGAGGCTATCGCCTGCGCCGTCCTGCTGTACCCGTTCCTAAGCATGTAATCCACAAGCAGCCGCTCCATGCGCGTCTGGCACCAGCGATTGAACGCTGGCGATTCAGAGGAGGTGACGGACATGACGTCGGTGAGGTGGTTGAGGCGCGTTTTGGTGCGCTCGACGGATGTGAATTCTTCGGCCTTTGTCTCCGCGATCTGCGAAAGCAAGGTCGAGGAGGACGATGAAAGGTAAGGATTCGGCCAAGAGCTCAGAGTTGTAGTGGGCAGAAATCTATAGGTCTATAGGGCAGAGGTCTATAGCCCAAAGTGTCGGAGGGCGGGGCGCTCGCCGGTGCTCGCTGAGAACCGTAATGAGGGGACTATTGCGCCTTTGGGTTTTCGCTCACTGTCACTCGCCAGCCTCATCCCAAAAAATCCACCAAATCCCTTACCCCACCCACCCAATCGAATCAAATCAACCCCCTACCTTCCTCTTCAACTTAACCAACCGCTCAACCATTTCATCCAACGTCTTCACCGCCTGGCTCGCATCAACACTCCCGCCCGCATTCTTCCCCAGTTTGGTCACATCCGCGTTGATCTCCTTCATAAAGTAGTCGATGTAGCGTTGTGTTGTTCGTGCGGCTTTTTTGAGTTGTTCTGCTGGGACCTGGAATAAATATCAGTGGAGGGTTACAACTTGAGAGAAGGGATTGCGGTGTAGTGGGTGATATGGACCTTGAGGAGGGGCTGCTCGATGTTGAACAGCCCGTCGTGGTTTACTTTGCCCTTTTCCATTTCTGAGGTGTGTTTTGGGGGCGAGTGTCAGTCAATCTTCGCGGCGGGTAGATCACGAGACGAGAGACGAGTTTCGCTGAGGTGCCAGGAGACGTTCCCGACAGTAAGATATGGAGAGGCCGTATTATAAGCGGAGGAGCGGGGGGAAGGGTCTTAGTACAGAGCGAGCGTATGTTGCGTGTGGGATTGGGGGATTGTTGAGGAAAGGGGTTATCTCACGCGTGCAGGAGGAGGAGGAAAGGAACACCTCTGGGACTCTCCACTTTCGCACTTTCGCTATCCTCCCCCCAGGGCGGCCCAAATGTCCCTCCCCAACCCAGCTTCCCCAACCACCCTCCTACTCCTCACCGCCCTCCTCTCCCGACTCACCACCACCCTCCTCCTCCTCCTCTCCTCCCGCCTCTCGCCCTACGACGCTTCCTCAACGGCCTTCTTCAGCGCCGACTTCACACCCCCGTCATCACCATCACCAACATCAAAAGCCACGACGCACTTGAGCACGCACCTCCTCCCCTTCGTGCGATGGGACGCCGTGTATTTTTTGGGGATTGCGGAGCGGGGGTATCGGTATGAGCAGGAGTTTGCATTTTTTCCGGGATTGATGATTGGAATGAGGGGGTTTGCTGGTAAGGAACAAAGTGGGGGGAGGGGTGGTGGACGCCAGTGGGGGTTATGGGAGAGAGAGGATGCGGGAGGACGGAGGGTGACGGATGAAGGGGGTGAAGAGAGAGTTGGAGGGATTGGGGAGATGGGCGAGCGAAGCGAGCAGGATACCGTCTCGATCCGTGTTGTGCACTGCTCGCTTCGCTCACCCGGACTCGCCCACGTATCGCAGGTGCCATACCCTTCGGGAACCTCAGGGACCGGCTAGTCATCACAGGAGTACTCATCTCGAATGCGAGCTTCGTTGCTGCCGCAGTACTTTTGTACAAGTATGTTCAATGATCTTTCACCTTCAACTCACTTCTTATCCTTCGGACTAACGTAACATTGGTTGCATCAGACTAGGCCTAACAGTCCTAGGCCCCAGCCACCACCGCACATCCCTCACGGCCGCCCTCCTCTTCTGCATCACCCCCGCCGGCGCATTCATGTCGGCGCCATACACAGAGTCCCTCTTCGCAGCGACCTCCTTCCTGGGTATGCTGTGCGTGGCTAGGAAGCGGTATTTGAGCGCCGCGGTCAGTTTCGCGGCTGCGTCCGCGGTGCGTGCGAATGGGATCGTGCATATGGGGTTCTTTGTGTGGGAGTTTGTGGTTGTGCCGGGGATGTTGATGTTGAGGAGGGTTGGGGGGAAGGTGAACGTTCCGCTCTTCGTTTTCCGTGTATGTCTGATCTCGACGCTAACCCATTACCTAATCTGCAGACCAGCATTGCCGCACTCATCAGAAACATCCTCCGCGCAACATTCTACTCCCTCATCGTCATATCCCCCTTCATCGCATTCCAAACCTACGCCTACACCCTCTTCTGTCCCGCCGCCGACTCGTCGCTCAGACCTTGGTGTAATGCAACCTCACCCCTGATCTACTCCTTCGTGCAAAAAGAGTACTGGTAAGGGACTCAATCGCTTTCCCTCACTTCTTTCCTTCCTTCACTGCCACTCATTATGACACTTTCCATCCATTGCACAGGAACAACGGCTTCCTCACCTACTACCGTCTCCACCAACTCCCCAACTTCCTCCTCGCCCTCCCCATCTTCACCCTCCTCTTCACCGGTCTCCTACAATGTATCACCCACGACCCGCTCGCCTTCTTCACCCTCGGCCGCCTCACACAACCCAAATCTCAACCCCCACCCCTCCTAATCATCACAAACCCCGCCCTAGCGCCACATATCTACCTCATGACCGCGTTGACGATCTACTGCGCGACGATGATGCATGTGCAGGTTGTGGTGAGGTTTTCGACTAGTTTGCCGGGGCTGTATTGGGTTGCTGGGGGACTGATGGGCGGTGATGCACGGAGAGGGAAGTGGGGGAGGCTGGTGGTGGGGTATTTTTTGGGGTATGCGGGGGCGACGACGGTGCTATTTGGGGGGTTTTTGCCGCCTGCTTAGGGGTTGGTAGCATCAGAATCTACAAGTAGAGTTGGACCATGCATGAAAGGCAGAGAGCACGCTTCTGTGCGATGTGCGGGTCCTCCCGAGTCCTTGTGGGGATGTCGCCTTCTCCGCGAGAGCTGCGCGAGGGCCAAAAACGCGTCCCCCTCGTCTTTCCAAATCGCACTCCGTCACACCCAAATCCTGCGCTCTTTCTCCCAGCCCCATTTTTCCACCTGAATCATCCCCATCCCGCACAGCAGCAACCCTCTCCCCATCCTCCTCTCCACCCTCCTCTCCACCACCGCAACCATGCCGCCCCCACCCCGGCCCCTCACAATCCACATCCTCCGGCACGGCACGCGCCAAGACTTCCTAACCCCTAACTGGACATCCCCCACCAACCTCCCCAAGGACCCGCCGATCGCGCCGATCGGCCACCACCAAGCACAGGAAGTCAGCGCGCACCTCCTCGGGCAATCCCCGCATTCGCGCTCTCCCCCGCCGATAACGCACATCTTCTCCTCCCCGTTCACGCGATGCATCCAAACCGTCGCCCCCTACGCGCGCGCCCGCGACCTCAGGGTCAAGATCGAGGACGGCCTCGGGGAATGGTTCAACGAGGCCAACTCCATCCTCCCGGCCGCCGCCGACACACTACCTTCCAATCACACCGAGGCAAAACCCTGCCCGCGCGCACCCACCGTGGCGGAATTGGAGGCATTGTTCCCCGGGCTGGTGGATCTGGGGTACGAGATGCGCATGCGGGGGACGCGGTGGGAGAGTAAAGCGGAGGTGCATGAGCGGCTGCGGGTTGTGTTGGGGCGGATTATTGGGTTTGTTGAGGGGGAGGAGGATCAGAAGGGTGGAGGAGAGGGGGGGGAAACGCATATCCTCCTCGTGACCCACGCCGCCGCGCAGATTGCGTTGGTGCGCGCGTTGGTGGGGGATGAGCGGAGGAAGGTGACGTGCGGGGTCGCGACGTTGAGTCGGTTTCGGAGGAGGATACAACAGACGACTGCTGCTGGAGTTGGGGGTGGGAAGACGAGTACGAGTACGAGTACGAGTACGAATACGAATACGAATGCGAATGCGAATGCGAATGCGAATGAGGACTCCGGGATTGATCCCAGTGAATGGGTAATGGAAGCGGACGGCGACGCGCGGCATTTGAGTGGGGGATTGCAGTATAACTGGGCGTTTGCCGAGTGAAGGAGGGAGAAATGGACCCAGGGCATCGAAAGAGAGAACAGCACGCTCCATCTACAGCAGATGGGTGTCCGTTGTGGGGAGGGGCCAGTTCAGAACACCCCCCGGCTGTACTCGTGGGGCAGCTGTACAACCGGAACTGTATCAGTAGATATGTATCTGTCCGCTCCCCCAGGTATCTGCTGGCGTATATAGCAAGACCCCGTAATATATAACACTACCGTACCCTATTTACAAACTAAAAGCGAAAACCCATCACCCCCAACCCGCTTTCAGGCTACATATGCGATGCAGTTTCTCGATCATACGCCGACGAAAGGGGGTATGATGTGTCGCCGGCCGCATCCAACAGCCCATCTCGTACGCGCGCGCCAATCCTCCCCATGTTTTCGCCCTAATCTCCTGATTCTCCCTCTTCGCCCCTCACGATAATCCCACACCCTCACAAATCAACCCCAAACCCAACAACCTCAACCTCCAGCGTCCTCAAATTCACCACGACGATCTCTTTCGTTTCCGCAAACGAAGGAACGAGAATGACGCGGGTCCTGTTGGTTGTTTTCGCATCTACCCAAAAAAAAAACCGTTGAGGGTGTTAAGGGTGAACAATGGGCCAAAGCGGTGGGAGAGCATGAGGGGGTCGATGGGCGTACCTTTGACGAGTGTAGTCTCGAACGCTGGTTGGTTGCCGATGATGTACACGTGTGGTTGCTGGGTCATTATGAAGGGGTCTGTGTCTTTGTATGGATGGCACCCTAGATTCGCAAAAACAACTTCCCATGTCAGCCTACTTCCACCCCCAAACACCAGACGGTGAAAACGATGGAAACGTACATAATGTGTCAGGCGCGGTCGGCGCCACATGCGCCCATTCGACGGTGCGTCTCGCCATCGCTAGCCGGTCATCGTCCATGGTGTATTTGAAGATGTCGTCGAGTGTTTGGCCGGACGTTGCTAGGATGCTGTGCACTCGCATCACCACTCATAAGACTCCACCTTCCGCCCGCATATCCACACCGGCACACACGAAAGTATCAAAACCACCCGTACATACCCAACCCCCCCAACCTCACACCCCCACGGATTCGTCACGCTCGCAAACCCACTCCACCTCGCCGCTTTCGGGAACAACGCCTGATGGATGGACTGCTGGGGCAGCGCAAAATTCGACGGGTCGGTTTCGCCGGGTAAGATGTCGACGTGGATGTTTTCACTGAGCTCGGCGAGGAGGGTGTCGAGGGCTTGCACGGGCTCGCTGTTGTAGACGGCCTGGTCGGCGCCGTAGCGTTGGCGGGCCTAAGTCGAGAGGGAGAGGGGGCTGTGAGTGGTTTGGGGAAAGTTGGGACGAGGGTGAGGAAATGGTACGTACGGGCCGTTTCTCGTCTTCAGCGGGTTTGGGCTTTGCGATACTGTTGCCTGCGAGGATGAAGCGCGTGATGGATGCACTCTTGCTTTGGTCCTACAACATAGGGCTATCAATTCAGCCATCAACCACGCCAAATGCCTCTTCCACCATCGAAAGTACCTCAGGCGTGCCCAACTCTCCCGTAAGGTAATCCACCATCATCCCCAGCTCCATGTCAAAATTCCGGTCGCCCAAACTCAGCCCCGACGCGACGGCGATGTATTGATCACCATTCCCTGCCGACGCGGCTTCTGCTAGTGGTTGTGGTTTGTATGCGGGATAGCAAATGTCCACGACATCGAATTCGCCGTTCGCGTTTTCGCAGCCTAGGACGCCTATTACGATTCCTGTCGGGGCACAATACGGAGTTGAGTAATTGGACAGGAGCTGAGGCACGTCAAGTGTGCCAATTCCGCCTTACCAGTGACGAGCTTCGAATCTTTCAGTACGGACCCGGTCAGCTTCACACGACCAGTGTCATCTTCTAAGATGACCGTGTCTTCCTCAGAAGCGTATGTCTCCCTTGGTGGCGGCATAATCACCCAGTGCTAGACTCCACGCGTCCAGGTCAAAGACACATTCTCCACGAAAGGTCACCATAAGGCTATCCACATTCGCATGCCCATCTCACCTCTGCAGAAACCTCCTCCAGCACATTGGGCTTCAAAGGCATGTCGACATACACGGTCCCGACAACATAGCACACCTGGCCCATCTGCACGTCAAGGAGCTTCGGTACATGTGCTGGCGAGGCTATCCTTCCCACACAGAATGGCGCGATCAGCATTCTCAGCCACAAGTTTCCCCACTCTCCGACATTTTCCCATCCACCACATACCATGCGCCCTCGACCACCTCTCCCTCGCATTCTGCAAAACGCGCGGCCGGAGCATACTGAGACGGGTGAAATAGATGCCGGCGTACTGCTGGGTGTAGTTACGCTCTTTGACGAGGAAGCGGGTTGGGTCGGTCGTTGTTTTTGGGGGGTGGCGGGTGTATTGTGTGGGGTTGTTGTTTGGTGAGTACGAGAGGAGAGAGCTCGTGCAGCTGGTGGGTGAATTCGGCGACAAGGAGATAGTCAGACACCATGCCATTTACTGAACTGTGAGGGACCCTACATACCCCTCAGCGTCCTGTTCTTCAGCGAACATCGTAGGCCCCACAGCGGTCAGCATTGGGAGATTCCACGGGAAAAGTCGTTGAATATCCGCCGCTTCCTCAAAAATTCCCTTCGGGCCCCCGTCCTTGCCGCTCGTTCCACTCCTTCCGTTGTCACTGCTTGCTTTCTCTGAAACCTAGCGGCGAAATTCTCACGACCCGGTGTGCAAGATCACTCGTCCTATTAGTCTCGATTAGTCGATGTTGCGAGCGACTGGAGTAGAGAGCCTCGTTGCTCTTAGACGGAACGAGAAGGTCTGCCTTGTGGGTACTTTGTGGTTTCCTGTCCTGGGGGCTGCCAGTTGTGGGAAACGAGTGGGCTTGTTGCCTGAAAGTCATGGCGTGCGGTGTCCCTTCTCGGTCTGTGCTCATGTCCGAAAGTTGGGATGCGCGTCGACATTGCGGGGACGACTCCGTTTTCCCGTTCTGTTTCCTAACTAGACTTCTCCGTGAAAAAGGACCTTTTACACCATCACACCTCATTCATTTCAGTCACCCAGAGTATCTTCAAGTATCTAGAATAATGTACATGGTCCGAGTAAGGACAACTGGCTTCATCAGTCTATCGCTACTCCGCTACGCCGTTATGATCTCTGGTCGGGCGTGTACGTCAAGAAACCTCTCGGGCGTGCGTCTACTTAGCCTTTCGCCCCCTACCCACCTGGTAGCATCCATCACCATTACCTTCACGCTCGAAGGTTGATTCGCGGGCTGTACCCTCGCCGATTGTCATCTCAGGCACTCATTGATCGTTCGTTTCAAAACTATGTGGTTTTGTACGTCCCAGCGCCATTGGATGTCTAACCCTTCATATTCGATACTCCTTCGATGCGTCGGCGTGGCTTGAAGTCGCATTATCATCATCAGCTGTGAAACAACATCGTCTTGTTTCATGGGGAGCCGCGCACCGTGCTGTCATCCGCATCTCCGTTGCCCTTCCACAGTCCAGCACTGATTCCGTGTCGCAGACTTCACTTTAAGAGGAGATCCTCCTGCTCGCAGGTGCAGCTCCAGCTTCGCATCTCGCCTCCTCCGTGCTTAAGTTTTCTGTCCCCTTGGTATTGGCCTGCAGGCGCGCCACACGTCAAAAAGTCACCAAAAGTCATCAAACCTCTAAAACATACCGCACCTCCCTCAAATCCATCGTCCCAACCGTCTCAACCTTCACATCCTTCGTAACCCTCCACCCCTCCCTCTCATAAAACCTCCGCGCACGCTCATTCGTGTCCAACACCCACAACGTCGCGTGATGCATGCCCAGGTGTCGAATCTCATTTTTGATGACGTCCATAAGTGCTCGTCCAATGCCCTGGCCAGCGGCGTGAAGGTGGAGGTAGAGGCTTGTGAGCTCCATTTCTGCGGTGGTAAAGATTTTGTCGCGGGGGGGATCGAGGGAGGCAAAGGCGACCACTTCATTGTCAAGCTCGGGGACTAGTGTCACTGTCGGGTTGTTGCTCGCAGGCGCGGAAAGACGGTCCAGCCATCGCTGCGTGCGCCGCTCCAATGACGGAGCGAGATTGTCGAGGTATGAGGCGGGCATGAGGCCGGCGTAAGCCCATTGCCAGGAGCGGATGTGGACGTTGGCGATTGAGGCGGCGCCTGAGGGTAACGCGGGGCGGACGCTGACGCCGGTATGGGAGCAGACCGTCAGCCCAACTGACTTGGTTGGAGAGTGGATGGGTTCATCGTTTGGTGAGGTCGTTGGCATCGGGTCAAGAGTCGTGCTTGAGAAGGTGCAGGCGAACGCGAACGGCTATGCTCTCTGATGCTCTTACGCTCGGTGTTCATGCTCAGCGCCAGCGTAACAGTCATCTTGCAAGTCTTTCCCACGCAGTCAGCGGCAGAATAACTGCAAGAGCAGCACACTCCACTCAGCACTACTGGTTCGACTAGACCTTTTTGGGCCCACCGTCAACGGACTCAAACGGACACTAACAACTCGTCGCCCCCGTTTTTGGACGCCAAGATGGAGGCGCTCTTCTTCAACGTGGAAGATGGGTTCCTCGAGGCAATGGTGCGCGGCTACAAGGCCGGTATCCTCACGAACAGCAACTACATCAACTTGACCCAATGCGAAACCCTCGATGGTCTGTTCACTCCCGCTACCGCCTGTCACTCCTAATAGAGTCGCAAGAGTTCACAGTCCTAACACGTCTTTCCCTACCCCAGACCTCAAATTGCAATTGGCCGCGACGGACTATGGGAACTTTCTGCAGAACGAGCCGTCACCGTTGGCCACGACGACGATAGCGGATAAAGCTCGCGAAACTCTTGTTTCGCATTTCATGTACTTGAGGGCTAACGCGGTCAAGCCGTTGTCGACCTTTTTGGACTTCATAACGTGAGTGGGTGACAGAGAGGGAGGTTCAACGAATACCGGATGTTTCACTCACGCATACCATATTTCTCGTTCGCAGCTATTCGTACATGATTGATAACACCATCCTTCTGATAACTGGCACTCTGCATGAGCGGGACACAAACGAACTCCTAGAAAGGTGTCACCCACTGGGGATGTTCGATGGCATAGCAGCACTCTGCGTTGCGACGAATGTGGCGGAGCTCTTCAACACAGTTATGGTGGAGTCGCCTCTTGGTGAGCCGCTTCCCCTTTTGACTTGGTCCATGACTTCCACAGTACTGACTGGCGTGCACCATCAGCACCATACTTTGAGAAATGTCTTTCTGCTCAAGACCTCGACGAAATGAACATCGAAATCATCCGCAACACACTGTACAAGGCGTACTTGGAAGACTTCTATAACTACTGTCAAGGAATGGGCGGTCCGACGGGAGAGGTCATGGGGGAGATCCTGCAGGTAGGGGGATTCTTCCGAATTTCTACTTCATTGAGGACATGATGTGCTGATATGAATCAACAGTTCGAAGCGGATCGACGTGTGATAAACATCACTTTGAACTCGATGAACACGGAGCTGTCAAAGGATGATCGGGCGAAGCTGTTCCCAACGTGTGGAAAGCTGTATCCGGAGGGAACCATGAAGCTGGCGCGAGCGGATGATTCGGACCAAGTGCGCATTGCGTTGGACAGTTACCCGGTGAGTGTCTTCAATGCTCTCTTCACCCGGAAGTTTTGTCTGTGCGCTGACTCCTCTCCTACCAAACAGGAATACCGCCAATTCTTTGACATCCCCGTCGGCGCCGAAAAGTCCCTCGAAGACAAATTCTTCGAGTACGAGGTCCATCTCAACAAACGCTGCTTCACCCGCCAGTTCCAGTACGGCGTGTTTTACTCGTACATCAAGCTCAAAGAACAGGAGATTAGGAATATCGTGTGGATTGCGGAGTGTATTGCTCAGCAGCAGAAGGAGAGGATTACGAACTATATCACTATCTTTTAGAGTTTGGCAGCTTGGGATTCAATCAGATGTTCATTATTTTCGATTCGTGACGTTCTTGGGCATTGTATGTGGATACGGACTGCCTGTCTGTCTCGGTGTCTGTAGGAACTTTCACATCTCGGACCCGCCAAACCTGTTCCTACAAGTGAGTTGCGACTGCACATCCTTTTGAGGAAAGAAGCAACCGAACATGAATAACGTGTGCTGCATGCCGCTCTCGCGAGAAAATGATTGTGTATGTGCACTCTATTCGCCGGATGCCCGGGAAGCAGGTTAGACTCATACCCAGTCCACCGCATGGGGAGTAGAGCACATGACCAAAAGGAAGAAGTTCTAAGTCGCTTTTGCAAGTCACCTTGGTACACAGTGTGCACCAATAGGATACGCCCGGCATCTCAAAACTCTATTATCGCCTCCGCTTGAAATCACCCACCCCAGCTCCACTAACCCCAACCCGACCCGGCCCCGTAAACTTCCGCTTCCTACTCATCTCATCCTGTATAATCTGCTCTACCGCTGACAACTTCTTCGGTTGCGCTATCGTCGATGTCGATGACGGTAATGTCATTGGTGATGCCGGTGCCGAATCCGCTGCCTTGACTTTAGCCAAAGAGGAAAGGGATTTCAGCGGGTTGACTTTCCGCATTTCGGGCTTCTTCATTGCGAATCCTCCTCCTGTTGTTGTAGAGGTGTTTGTTGTGGTGGCGGGTTTGAGTTGAAGTTTGATGGGTTCAGAGCTGGTTGTGCGTTTGAGTTCTGACGCTTGCTGTGGGTGGACAGGGCTGCATTAGCAATGCAACAGACTTGAAGGAGAGGTGAGATCGAGCGCCTTTTTCGCACTCACATTTACGAGCTCCTTCCCGCTCTCCTCCTGCGCTCTCCTAATCTGGTCCTCCAGCTCCTTCTGAGCCCTCTCCTCATCCGTCTTCTCCAACCTCTCCTTCTTCAATATGGCCTCCTGTTTCGCCAAAGTCGCGGGACTCCGATCTACCCATTTAATAAACCACCCCTTCTCGGTCTCATCGACCTCACACAAGCCTTCTTTGCCCAAATGTTTGACGAAATCCGTAAGCGATGTCCAATGTGTCGCGTTCATGTGGATATGCTCCCTATCCGAGATATACTCCTGGTAAACGAGATTCGCATGGACACGTCGAGTCCCGTACCGCCGCGAGAGAAGTTTCATGAACTCGTTTGAAAAGTCTTTGGAGTGGTTGTTGAGGTACGAGTCTGAGGACTCGGAGAAGAGTGCCATTTGGCGCAGGTGGGATTCGGAGGTACAGTGGCATTTGAAGCCGTTTTCGTCACGGCATTGCTTTTCGCACATTTGGCAGTACCAGCGTAGCTTTTGGAGGCCTTTTGCTTTTATGCGGTTGGCTATTGCCTGTCATTGGGGTAGAAACATAGGAATTAGTAACGTTACCTTTGACGGAAAAGCGACGGTCTCACCTTTGGAGTCATGAAGTCTCCACCCATGGCGCAGAATATGCAGTCGCAAAAGAAAGTGAGCTAGAGGTGGGCTCAAGTGCGGCCACGTCCAATGTCCAGAATCCCCTTGCCAAGGAATTTAGAGTACAGTCTCGTTTATTTCAACGCCGTCGAAGCCGTCGACCCTTGAAATAAGCGAACGTTGAAATATCTGAACTCCTCCTACGTACTGTACACTACGCGTACGCAACTAGAACCGTAAGTGGCCGTTGACCGTTGAAATAAGCGAAAGTTGAAGTAACCGGAATTGAAATAAACGAGACATGACTGTAGCTTTTCAATGAGGCGGAGTGGGCTTTGGAAGGACTGACGACGAGGTGAAGCACGGAAGTAACCAAGTAACCACGGAGCCTTTCAAAGAGGCATAAGTCGATCAGGAGGGGCAGCCGCCGGACCGCACCGGCCTCAAACAAACCAGCGCGGACGGTGTGTCGGGGGAACCACTTCTCAAAATTAGCAAGGCCCTATGATGGCCGACCCGTCGTCCCTTAGACCGCCGGCAGAGTCTTCCGGCCTCCGGCACTCGCCGTCCATAGACGCCGCACTGGACCTAGCTGATATCAACGGAGGTAGTCTCCGCCAAACCGTATGATATAGACTAAGCATGGAGTGCGATGTTCATGCATTCCCTCTAACAGAAATAAGCCGGGACCCAAAATACCGCCGCTACGCCCAAGCCGTCGACAAAATCCTTCAATCCTTCGACACAATCAGCGAATGGGCGGACGTTATCGGGTTCCTCACGCGGCTCGCGAAGGTAGGTGATCTTCCCGTGACATCTTAGAGGCTTTACTGTTTGTTGACCGTTTTGACAATGCAGGTCCTACAAGCGCATGCGACGTACCCCGTGGTACCCCGACGGCTGGTCATATCGAAGCGGCTGGCGCAGTGTCTGAATCCGGCGCTGCCGGCGGGGGTGCATCAGAAGGCGTTGGAGATTTATACGCTGATTTTGGAGGCGTCTGGGGTGGGTTGGATGGGTCATTCGTTCACGGGATTGGAGGGAAGAGACTTATCGGTGGTTTTGGGTTCATAGGCACATCAGCTTGGAGAGGATCTGCCGTTATGGTCGCATGGCCTGTTCCCGTTCTTGCAGAATGCGACGACTAGTGTCAAGGTGCGGGAGGGATGATTGCAGAACGTGAGATGATTGGCGGCAGCCGAGCAGCCCTAGTCTGATAGCTACCATTTCGCAGCCGCTCGTTCTGACGATCTACGAGAAGTACTACCTACCAATTGGAGGGAGGCTGAAGCCATGTCTGAAAGGGATGATCCTAGCGGTGCTTCCGGTTCTGGAGGAGGAGAATGGGGACTTGTTTCAACGCGTGAGTTCGGACGCAGTGGGAGTTCCCTTTCCTGGCCGCATGATGCATTGACTCTTTTCGGTTGAAAGGGAGTTGCCCTATTGGACGCGATGTCGGGAGCTGTTGGGCAAGGCTACTTCTTCCATTGTTTTTGGTTGTCTGTGATGGCGGTGCCACATTGCCGACTGGCGGCGACGAACTACCTGCTGAAACGAATGCCGAAAATGACATCGGCCGAAGGTTCGTTTCGCTTGTTTTTTCCCCATACAAAAGCCATTTGGGGAAATGCTGACGATAGTACCGCAGATGTCGCTGTGGTCCTAGGCAACAAAACAAGCCTGCTTGCCAGAGCACTATCCACCGTCCTCCGAGACGAGAAGGTCCTAGTACAAAGAGCTGGTCTCGAGATCCTCCTCGTTCACTTCCCACTAGATTACGGGTGAGGAGATGAGACCGCCATTTGTCATGTTCAGTCAGGCCGACTCATTTATCTGAACAGTCTGTTTCAAGGGGATGACCTGACGCTGCTGCTGATTGCAGCCGTCTCGGTGGTTATGAGGAAGGACATGTCGCTGAACCGGAGGCTGTATGCGTGGCTGCTGGGGTCTGCGGATGTCAAGGTGTTCAATGAGCGGAACTGTGAGAGTCTCGGGGTTGCGTTGAAGGTGAGCACGCGCAACGATACATACGCTCATATTGCATCATTGTTCTGATCGGCCGACGACCCGCACCTCACTCAGTCCATGTTTTCGTCAGCCGGCAACGATTCGGCTGATCTGGCGAAACCGTACAAGATCATGATTTCGCTAATGGACAAAAGCGAGATTGGGTTTCCGTTATTGGAGCACACGTTCGTTGACATTGCGTGGTCGTTGCGCGAGCACCTGAGTCAGCCTGGCGAGCATACAGAGGTAAGGTGCAACTGCAATCCATTGGCTGGAGCTGATCTGCTTATCGTCCCGCCCGGTTTCCAGCTTCTTCAAACGGCCAAAATGTTTATGGATATGGTGGATCCCATGATCATCTGGAAGCAGCTGCATCGGATCGTCTTTCCCCAAACGCCAGCGCACACGACGGACAAGGTACGATGGATTTGAAATAAACCCTTGTCAGCCGGCGCGCGGTCTTACCCTCGTTCTTTCTCATCATTAAAAACAGACGTTCAGGCTAATGGAATTCATTCTAACGCGGTTCAACTGGGCGGACGACGAAAACCAGCGTATCCACCTTCCATTCTTCCTCAAAAGTCTAACATCAGAGCTTCTCAATTCGCTACCGGATAGATCCCCTGCAGCGATCTCGCGACATGGCTGGATGCTCCGGCTAACCCAACTGGTCCGCAAATGCATGCACACCATCGTCCTCCAGCACTCCTGGCCTTTGCGTGATTACGTGGGTGCCAGCGCCGATGTGGCTGTTGAGCGGAAAGATTCGCGGGTGTCTTTGGACGGCAACGAGGAGCTTTTGCGGAAACCTTCCGCCGCGGCGATGAAGCCCGTGGACAACACTGACCAGGAGGGGGGTTCCTTGAAGACGGTGATAGATAATTTTTACCGGGTCGCAGGTCGGACGGAGATTCCGTTGACTGAGGCCAATGGGAATGAGGTTATGGTTGGGAAGCACGTGGTGCAATCGGCGTTTGACGACTTGTTGATACTCGTACCCGCGCTAGCGGGATTCATCTCGGTGCGGCAGCAGGACGCCAGCACCTTACCTCGTGATGGTGCTCTGGATACAGCGCAGGATCATGCGGTGGAACAAACAGTGGCATGTTTCCTCGATTTGACGAACATCCTGCAGGATCTTGCCGCCTTCATGGATTTGCCCGCAATTGGGCTGCCATCGGAAGATGCGGTGTCAAGTCTCGATGATGGCGCCTCTGTACCGCCACAGGAAGGAAATCAACTACTATGGCTCCAATCCCTCGGGACGGTATGCCTGGAGACGTCCTCGTTCACATTACTGGACGGAACCCTGAGCTGCCTGATAGCCCTCGTTGCCAAAGGGGCACTGCCCCCATCGTCCGGCCACCGTCTGTTTCAATTCATCGAGAAGGTGGTCTTTCAACTCTGGCGGTTCCTCGCGCCGTCGCAGCTGAAGCACCACTCACGCGTGATCCACCTCATATGGGTGCTGAGCACCACATTCAACGCATACATCGTCGAGGACGTCGTCGCCAGTCTGCTGTCGAACGGGACCATCACGGAACGCGCGGCCCACTTCCAGAAGTTTGGGATCCTGTGGCGGTTATCGAGGGACCATTACCTTGCTAGCCGATGGTTCTCTCGGCCCCTGTTTATCATGATTGACACGCTGGAGAGTCCGGATTTAAGTCTTCGGAGGAGTGGGGAGGCGTGGTTCAAATCCTTCTCGTATTCGTGCACCGACCTCATCGATCCGTTGGTGGATATTCCGCTACGACTACCTGTACCCCGCGTCGTCATGGTCGACGTCGGCGAAGTGAGCGTACGTACGTTTGGCACGAATGCTCAACAGAATACGGCGCAAGTGATGTACGCACTAGAAGCGCTGTTGAAACTGTTCCGCTTTGACGAGCTGGCGATGCTGGAAACGATCTGGACCACCAATTACGCGGCAACGAGACGCGCGCCGACGTTACAATGGCTCGAGACGGAGTATCAGCTGCAGCCGCAACCACCGCTGTATGCCGAGGTCCTCATAGCGTTGTGCCTGAGGATCGTTGAGAGTGTTGACCGTGATGGGGACACGAACGCCGCGAGCATAACAGCCCGCCTACAAACAGTGGCGGCCAACTTGCTCGCCTTTGTCCTGCGCCAAGCGCCGCTTCTTACCCACCATTTACTCGCGAAGACGCAAGATTTTCTTTTGAAGAAGCTTCTGTATCTGGTGTTCCACGGCAAATTGGACCTTCAGCCATCACTTCTTGACGTGCTTCGGGTGATCGACAACCTGTTGGTTGCGCACTCTTCTGGCCAGGAACTGGGGATGTCGCCAAAGTGGAGGAGTGAAACCCTAGCCTCGGGACCTGCGGAGGGTGCGTCTCCGGCCAGACGGGTTAGGAGCAGCACGGATGTTCGGAGACATGAGGATATCGGTAACATACCACATTCAGCCTTGAGGTTATTTCGCCATACTAATACTAATACGACAAAACTCATACGACTCTGGTTGTAGTGAGTTCCCCCGTCTTTCTGCAAGCGGTAGTGGACGCACTGTCAAGAGCATCGAATCGACCTGTCCTACATCACTGGATGGATTTCGTCCTCTCATGCCTCCCATCACTACGCAACTCCTTCAAGCACACCCTCCTGCCCATCGTGAAGGCCATACGCGGCGAACTGACAAAGTACCATGCATCAATGCTGAACTACATGCAGGCGTCAAGCAAGACGAGCAACAACATCGACCGGCTTCATGACGAACAACCGTCCATGGTTCAGCCGGAATGGGAGGTCATCGTTTTCCTGAACGGGCTGGAGATCATCACCATTTTCTGCTTGAGCGATCGCGTGGGGATACATGGTGACGCGTCCAAAGGCACGGCGCCATCGGTCGGCAGCCTACGACTGTTGACGGGGTATATGACCAGCGTTTTTGGTGGCGAGGAGAGAACCGATGACGCGAACAGCATACATCAGAAATTGAAGGATACCACTCTGAACATGCTGCCGCGGCACTTTCGGATTATGCAGCAGCTCTCTAGCCTTTTCAACAGTAAACGGTTACTTGCAGATGAAAAAGAGCAGGGCTCATCCAGCACACTGGCGTCGTTGCCTCCTCACCAAACGGATGCGTTCAGTGTGTTTTCGGAACGGATACGGTTTCGTGTGAAACATTTTCTGAGGGCAACGTACAAGGCGTATCCGGCCGATACGATCGAAAGCTCGATTGAGGTGTGGTTTGCTGAGAATAGTGGAGCAAACCTTGAAAATGTAAGGACCACTGTTTCTGATGCATTGAGCAGGCTTTTCACGTCAGGGGTGGTAACACTGAGAATCTTTGGTAGGCAAGCCAACTGCACCGCTCCGCCGTGGATATGATGGACAGTATACCCGAATGCCGCCCGCAGGTCATCATCACCACGGTTGTCAGTGCGTTGCGTGAGCGGTCCGCGTTGGAGCAATCCCCACAGCGGGATCGCTCGAGAAGAGCGATGCGAAAAGCACGGGCATTGTGAGTTCATGATGATGCTACTCCTGCAATTGTTGAGGCATGTGCTGACGGATTTTTGCGCAGATCGGACACCTCCCTGCTGGTATTCCTGACGAGATACTGTGAACAGTGGGCGGAGCTGGACGCTTTGTCGGAAACATGGCCGATTGTGGCCTCATATGCTCGCGACGCACATACCCAGACTGCTGCGCATCGGCATTTGTTCTTACCCATTTTGAGGTACGAAGGCACAGGAATCTGGCTCAATGTGATATCAATTATGCTCATCTCCTATGCTGTAGACTCTTGAATGTATATCTGGACCGCTATTTCTCGCAACGACTTCCGGATGACAAGCGGCACCATCGGGAGGCGGAGGACATTTACACCAAGGTCTGCGACTACTGCATACTGATAGGCGGCCGGTCACTTGACCAGGGCTTATGGCGCAAAGCGGCGCCGTCGATGGATCTCGGGCCAAGTGATCTTGGTACGTGATGCCCTGAACGCTATATATCTCGATATGTTTCTCACGCATCGGAATGGGCTCCGCAGGAGGACAGCATTATCTCCAAGCGGAACATTCCAAGAGCTCGATATTCTTGCCGGAACCGGACCATACTGAAAAGCTGTCTGCGAAGGAGCTTGATGATGCGATTGTCCGCGAGGTAAGTTGCTTCACCATTCCCCGAGCACCACCTCTAGAAGGGTAACTAAAGCATGCCTAGGTCATCGAGTATCTCGCGCACACTTCAGTGACGACCATCAAACGAAGTTTTCAAGATTCCGACAAAGTCTCGCTGCTCCTATCAAATATGGTGTACTATATCGTCGCGCCGGTGTTTCGAAAACAGCAAAGGTATGTGCTGTGCCGAGGCGCTGAGGGTCAGGAGAATGCTTGCTGATCGTCAGCAGTGGGAAGCCGCAAGCATTACCGATTCTGGACCTTGTCTGTTCGATGACGAAAGTCCCTGGGCCACATAAGGCTTGGCGGCGTGAAGCATGGGATGCGTTTCTGGACAACAAGTTCTTTGAGATGACTTTGCCGTCGAGCAAGAAGTGGAGTGTTATCTTGGAAGCTTTGTTGTCCGCTGATAAGGAGAAGATCATGGATCTGATAGGTAAGTGATCAAGAGAGTGATGAACAGAAGCGAGGACGTTATTGAACATGGCTTGAAACAGGGCGGATATCAGCAGTGCCGTCCACCACCATCTTCATGTCGCGGGATCAAGAGGTTCTGATCCGGATGTACGGCCTTCGGCGTCTATCCTTCGCCATATTCAGCGGGTCGATGAACCAGTACGTCTCACGACTGCCGAGTATACAAGAGAAGCTGGTTGAGATTTTCAAGACGAAATCCAATCAGATGCATGTTGAGGTGGGTAGCCAGATATGGTGATGTTTCCTGATTTGTGATGGCGAATTTGTTCCTTATCAACCTTTCTGTAGGCGTATTTTTGTCTGAGAGTTCTGCTCTGCAGAGTGTCGGCGCATCACTTGTCGAATTTCCTGCCAACCATTCTTACTGAGCTGGTAAGGGTCAGGGGACCAATTCCCTCGAGTGTGAATTCGAAGTCGATTCAAGTGTGCATTCCCTTTACAGATTCGGGTGTTTGAAGAGTTCATCGTGGACACGTCGTCAGACCGCCCGGACGATTTGCCGGCGTTCTTCGGCGCCTGTAAATTTTTGGATCTTATGTTGGTGTTACAGGTGGAGGAGTTCCAATGGTAAACAATAATATCTTTCGCAGAGATGCTATAGCCTGTTAGTAGCCAGTGTTCCCCGGAGTTAACGTATCCAAATAGGTCGCAATGGATTTTCGTGAGCGAGACGTTGGAGATGATCCGGGACGCAACGTTGCAAGGGGGTAAATTCGTAGCGCTCGCCAACAGACTGAGTGGAGTGCAGACGGGACGGTCCTCGGAACTCGCACGATTGTCGGCTGCCAGCAGCCCTGGCCCGCTTCGTGCATCGACTCCTCAAGCGCCCACGTCGCCATCGACACCTAAACACGGTGGCGAGAACGATGTTCCCCCATCGGCCAGGCGGCGTCCCCTACTAACCACCAAATCCATCACCACCAAACGCGACCTGGACCCCTTTTTCCAATCCGTCAGTCTGCAAGTCTACGACTGGAGCTACGAAATGGCACCACCAGACACGGCCTACATCGAGGCGATCCTCGAGGCCGAGTTTTTGGTGGCGGATACGACTGCTGTCGATGGCGCGTATGCGGCTATCAGTGGGGACAAGCCGGTGCTAGAGTCGCCGGTTAGGGTTGCGACGCCGGCTAGTGGGAGGAGTTCGAGGACGGTGACGGAGGCGGTGGGCGCGGGTGAGGGGGGCAGTGCAGATGTAGGATAGCATCTCTGGATGTGGGATAATGTGATGTACACATACTTTATGTAGGATTTTTGCATGTGCGTTCATACAGTACCATCTCATTTCTGATGCACGTTAGGACGTACATCCTGAACCTTCTACAAATGATTATATTGGACGACCACACATACGCATTCACATAAATAAGTACACGGCCAACACAGTATATACACACATATACGACGAACAAACAAAAACCGCCCTCTCCTCACAACCTCTAAACATAAACCGTACCGTCACTCACGCACCCCCTTCCAAAATTGTCCCTCCTCCCCTAGTCTCTAATCATTAACAACATTCCAGCTCGCAACCCACTTCCTCCCGCGATACCGTTCCGCGGGCCCCTCAAACCCCCATACAAAGTCCCCAAAGTACACAAAATTCGCCAACACGCCCACGCCCACCCCCAGCAAAACCGCCACATGGGCCATCGTACCGCGTCCACACACGCGCGCGGCCAGATGGTCCAACGTCGCCACACATGTGATGATAGCGAAATACAGCGCAGGGAAGTAGTGGTGGAGGTAGGTGACGCGGCCCATCAGGAAGAAGGGGAGGTAATGCAGGGCCCAGCCCAGCAGTCCGATTTTCGCCGTAAACACAAACGCGGCCTGATCCGCACGGGTTGCGAAATTCACATACCCGCGTTTCGAGCGGACCGCGTACACTGCGCCCAGCCCCACCCCCACGAGCAGACTCGCCGTCGACCCCCACCACACGACCGGGTTGCCGACGAGCCAGTACTTGATCTTGTCGTCGCCCCACCCGCACATCCGGAGTCCGACGAGGAGGAGCGGCCATTGGTAGGGTTGGGAGGTGAGCGCGTCGGGTTCTTTGTCGGGGTCCGGGGTGAGGGCGTTGTTGGAGGTCCACATGGCGACGTTGAGGGTGGTGAAGTCGTGGAGGAATTTGGAGTGGAACGCTTTTTTGCCGCCGGGGGGTACTGTCAACATTCGGAGGGTTAGTCCTTTTTCTGGGGAGGATTGCAGGGGTATGGGGGCGTTTTTGTGATGTTACGTTTATCATGCGAATGCTGCTCGATATTCCACCAATGGTTCTTGCTCGCGTCATCGCCCTTTTTCTGACACACCACCTCGGCTTGTTTGAAACCCCACTGCGGTAAGGTGACGGCATGCGAGCGTAGCAGGCAGCCGGAGAGGTGGTGGCGCAGACGGAACCGGGTCGTTAAGGATCGGATTCCTTCTGACTTTGCGTCCAGGAGGTCCTGAATGGGGAGAATGTCCATTCAGTACGAATTTCGGGTTTAGAGGTGTGATGAGAGGGGGGTGGATGTTTTGTACGTACATCGACACGCTCGAGTTTCCATAGATCGTTAGAGTCCCCAATGGTCGCGTTTCCGTAGCAGCTGACCTCGTTCTGGGCGGTCGTAACGGGTGCTTTTACGTTGTGGGAGTGAAGGTTGCGGCCCGTCGATGCGTGAACTAATCACCCATCGAAGAAGTTCTAAGTTTTCCACACAACACCCACTCCGCGCGCATACTCCCCTGGTCGCCTCAACAAACCTAATCTCAGCACATCCCCATCTTTCACAAACTCGACCTTCTCAGGATCCTCAGTCTGCTTCCACGCTTTTCGGACAATCCAGTGGTTGTTGCTGTCCTTGTGGTGGTAGCAGGTGACCTGTTGTTGCTCGGAGCCGGTGGGGTAGCGCTGGACGTGGGAGTGGAGGAGCCCGCCGCCGCGGCCGTTGTTTTTAAGTGTGATTTTGGAGCCGTAGGCTAGTTCTGGGGGAGGAGAGTGGCGTTGTGAGCTCATATTGCCTTTCGAAGACGTTGAGCGCACATGGAAGTTAGCCCACACTCACCAAGCGGATTCTCATGAAAATTATTCCCCTCCAACCCCGCCTGAAACAACGAGCTCATCTGCGCATCCCCGGGCCCACTCCGATTCAACACCGCAAAATGCACCGCAAACGAGAGGACATACACCGCAATCGGCGCGACGATCAAGCCCGCGATCCGCGCGAGCCAATGGTGTGCGTATCGCGTCGGCGGCATCTTGAGGTCGCCGAGCATCTCCCACAATTCGTCGATGGTATGTAGCCCGACCAGCGCGATGGCGAACAGTCCGACCCATTTGACGCTCGCGACGGCGCCTAGCGAGATTCCCGTTGCGAAGAGCCAGGCATACCATTCCAATGTGAACGGCGCGGTTTGTTGCTGGTTGCGGAAGACGGCGAGACAGAAGACGCTTTGTACTGTGAAGAAGAGCAGCATCGAGTCGAGTAATATGAACCGGCTGATCACCGCCAACGCCACGTCGCCGAGGACCATCACGCCCATGAGGATACACGCCGGTTCCGATAGATGCAGTTGGATGGCCGTGAGGTACGCCAGCGGCACCATCCCGACCCCAAACAGCGCGTTGGCAATCCGCATTACGGAGTAGTTTAACTCCGGCGGGTACTTTTCCCCCGATTTGAATTCGAACGTCCCGTTGAAGCCGGCAACGTAGCCGGCAAGGCCGTTCAACATCTTGCCCAGCGGTGGATGCACGTCGAAATAGAAAGTCCTCTTGAGGTACTAGAGACGGCATTGTGAAGCAACTATTTGTCAAGGGGTTGCGCGTGGAGTACACATTTTCCGAAGTGTAATGAAATCAGTGCTTACGTGGCCTGCGAACTTGCCAAAGTGCGCTTCGTCCCATACGACATAGTCGGCCAAGGAGATGCGGTAGAGGCGGGTGAAGAGGGCTGCGGCTGTGAGCGTGATGAGGACCGTCCATTGGAGTGTATTTGCGGGGAGGACGCGAACCTATGGATGGCCAAGATGATCGCGGAGACGCGAAGGAGTGTGAGAAAACCGCACTGGCCGACGATATCCTGCATAGACGACGACACTCACCCCAGATCCGATACGCCGCGGTGCATGTGTCGCTGCCGCTGCCGCCTTTTGTGGTTTAACCTTGCTGTCTTTGAAGTCGACCTCGGGCTTTATGTCTACGCCATTCGAGAGCTTTGCGCCACCAGAAGCGGCGGCATCCTTCTGCGGACGCTTGCGCAGACCACCGGCGTCTATGGCTTCAGACATTGAGCGGGTGCGGGGAGAGGGTGCAGCCGGCGGAGACGCTGAAGAAGGTGGACAGTGGTTGCGCTGAGTAGGTTGTCGTTGCAGTAAGTTGGAGCGCCGGTTGCGAGGTGTGCCAGAAAGTGTGAAATTCGCAGCGGAGCGCAGTCGGACACGGACAGGGGCGGGTGGCTGTGCACTCAATCAGGGCTGAGAGAACACCCCCGCAGAACTCGACCCCTGTGGAAGGAACACTTCCGCCCGTCCGCATCCAACGAGCAGGGTACATACAGCACACCACTCTCACCCACACTCATGACAGACACAACAAACCTCCCAAACACAGAACTGCACTCCCTCAGAGGTCACTCAGGTCCCATACACGCCATCACTTACTCCCAGGACGGGAACTATATCCTCACGGCAAGTCACGACAGGTCCGCTAAACTATGGAACCCAACAACCGGGCTGCTCATCAAAACTTATGAGGCGCATGGGAAGGGTGTATTGGCCGTTGCTGTGTGAGTAGTGAGTCAAGCGAGCAGCGAATGTGAGCCACAGCGAACGATCTTTTTTACTGCACCACGCCCAATCTCCTTGACGCGAGCGGAGCGAGCCCGAGATTTTGTAATTCGTACTCAAACAGCGTCCAACTGACCTTCCTCTTTCCATTATTAGACCCCCAGCGGGAGCAGACAACTCACGCTTCGTAACCGGCTCCGAAGACCGCTCCGTCTTCGTCTGGGACGTCGGCACCGGCCGCCCCATCCGGCGTTTCCAAGGGCACCACTCCCGCGTCAACGCCGTCGCCTTCAACCAGGACGGCACGGTCATCATCAGCGGTAGCTACGACGCCTCGATCCGCTTCTGGGACTGCCGCGCCGCCAACGCCCGGTTGCCGATCCAAATATGCTCTGATGCGAAAGACAGCGTCGAGTCCGTGCGCGTCGTCGGGTCGGAGGTCCTGACGGGCTCTGTGGATGGGAGCATCCGGATATATGATATCCGCATGGGCTCGCTGACTGCAGACGCGATCGGGCACCCCATCACGTCGGCCACCTTCTCCGGCGACAAAAACTGTATCCTGCTCAGTTCGCTGGACAGCACCATCCGCCTCATCGACAAAGAGACGGGGGAGTTGCTCAACCACTACCGAGGGCATAAGAACACGACGTACAGGCTTGCGTCAACGTTGAGCAATAACGATGCGTATGTTGTTTCTGGGAGCGAGGATGGGAAGATCTACATGTGGGATTTGGTTGACGGGAAGTTGGTTAAGGCGATCGTGGCGCACGAGGGGTCGGTTGTGACGGCGGTGGCGTATCATCCGATTAGCAATGGGATGGTCTCGGCCGCGGTGGATGGGTCGGTGAAGGTGTGGACGGAGTGAGAGGATACGATGCGAGGGAGATCCATCGTTATCGTGAGTACAACCATATCGAACATCGTTGAGGGCTGCGGTTGGATCGCAGTAGGGGTGGTTCGAGGTCGAACAGCGCCCGCAAACGGCCCAAGAAACAACCCGAATCGACTTCTCGTTTCTATGACGGCCATCGAGATCGCGCACCCACTGAACTTGCCGCTCGCTCGCGTAGAGTCAGAATCGTTCCTTACACTTCGACCATGAATCCCTCTTGGAGGATGCGGACGATCGTCGCGGGCAACAAAACTACGGCACATGGGTATCCGATGGACCTGGTGCATTCAGCGGAGACGGGACTATTCCCTCCCCGTTTCCTGTATTGTTCACACACCGGCGCGATGGAAGGGACCGGATATGAAGAAGCGGCATCAAGCGGCCGCGCGCTCATATGCTCGATCTCAATCTCGGCCTCCAGACTGTACATAGAATAGCTCCAATTTGACACGAGAGCAGATAGAAAATGAATGCTTGACTGAACTCAATCCTCTGCTTTCACGACCCCCACTCAATATACCCCACACCATCAACGATCTCAATCCCCTCAAAGAAAACATGATGACAATCAACACCCCCAAACCACCTCGTCCTCCCCCTATCCCGCCGCTCATGCCTCTCCACCGCGCCAATGAGATCCCTGACAGTAAAACCCTCCCCATTCGGCGCCTCGTAGCTGTGAACCGCGCCGCTCAGGCTGCTCAACCTGATCCTCGGACGCGCAAACGCCGTCATCTCCCATTCATCCGGTGTAAGCGGCCGAGAATGGTTACCGACGGATACGTCTGACGGGTCGATCGCGACGCGGGTGGGTTGCACGCCGGGCTTGACGAATTGGTTCAGGAGGCCGTCGACTTCGTAGGTCGGGATATCAATGTCCACGATGAATCGGAGATCGTTGAAGAAGGGCGAGACGCGGATGGGATTCGGGGCGGATGATGAGCGGGGTTTTCGGCGGGCGTGGGTTGACGCTGTTTTGGCGGATTCGGCGGCTATGAGGGATGAGACGGTGATCTTGGGGGCAGAGGTGGATGGGCGGGAGGTGGAGTAGGGGAAGGCGGCGGACGCGGAGAGGGGGTGAGGGGTGAGATGGGGGGCATTATGTATGGGTGTGGGTAGGCGGAGCGTGGGGATGGCCCTGGCGGGTCGACATTCTGGTAGGGCACGGGCGAGGATCTGAGCGAGGATGCGGGCTGCGGGGGCCGTGGATGTGATGCAGATGTGATGGGGTTTCTGGCCTTGGGCAATGATGAATGCCTTGAAGCGAATGCCGAAAACGCGTCCGGTTTGCCCCTTTCACCTCAACACCGAATTCGCAACACATATCAATTTGATTAAGAGGTTAAGTAATCCTTCTAAATGTATACAAAGGGTACACTAGGAAGGGTGGACTTCATGTGCCCAAGTGATATTGATTTGCAAGTATGCGGGGTACGATAACACCCACAGCCGCACATTGCAGTATACTCTGGAGTCACAAAAGGCAGGCCACTGCAATGTTGTATGATTGGGAACGAACTGCACCATGGGTACGATAACACCACGGGAGTTGTTCTCAACCCACAGATGGGACCTGGTCGAGGGGTACGATAACACCCAAGGTCGGCCCCACTGTATGATTGCAGAACCGCCGTGAAAACCAACATCATAGAGACTCTTTGCAGAGTGTTCCTAGTGGGTCGAATCCACGACGATCAAACGCGGAAAGATGTTCTCGCCCACTGTGAGGTATGCAGCCTTTCACTCAAGTGGGTACGATACCACCACGAGCCGAAAACATCTTGCACTGGGAGGATTTGAATCCGCAACAGTGTGTCGCGCGTTTTGGTTGCCAGAGTGCCGAAGTCTGGTAAAGGGAATAGGCTTCAGTGGAGAGCTTCATCGTGAAAGGCGTTAACACATCTTGAACACGATCTACTCGCATTTAGATCGATACCGACTTCGACGGCCATTGTCGTAATCGACCAAACCCCGCCACCCGAAGGTCTCATGCATGGTTCCTACCCAAATGTGCACGCACCCCGTGACTTTGAACATGGCCATTTCGTCGCTGCATTGCCAGTAAAGAAAGGTGTTCCGTTCCTATTCCACAATCCGGCGCACCATTTCGTCCCACCCCTGGATTTTCTCCTTCTTCACGTGGACCGTGGTGCCTGCGATAGTCCTGAAGACTTCCGTTGTGGTACTGGTTTCCTCTGGTCGTGGGTGTGTGATGGGTTGGGGGGTGCAGGGCGGTCGTATGGTTGTGGCCGGCGGTGGGAGCTGCCTGTGTTTGATGGGATCGCATAAATGAGCAGCGTCCGCCTATAGAAAAGCTTTCCTGTTCCTTGAACAGTGCTCACCTTGCGACGTTGTACCAACATCGGCATCTGACGATGCAACTCGCCTAGATTCCACCAACACCAGCTTTGCCATGGCGAGGCAGGTCATGATCGTTTTGCGATCCTCTTGAAAGGCGTCCTGGATCCAGTTGGCAGCATCGCGGCTGCCTAACTCCTCCAGCTGATGCTCTCGCTATTTCAGCAGCATTTGAAGACTGGCGATGAACAAGTCGAGTTCTTCAATCGTCTGTGGGGTTGGGGGTATGTCTTCGGCGTCGTCGTCCTGGGCCGCCCGTTTGCCCTTCCCCATGTGCCCAGTGCCCTCGGTCGCTAGCACTTCCTTGAGCACCGCCTCCTTCTCCACCATCTCCTTGTGCTTTTCTTTGAATCCAAGGGCCTCCTGCGGAGAGGAAGCCGCCGCCGTCAGGGGTGGCAGCTCGGCCTGTGTCAGTTCTGCCCAATTGGTTCCTTCCCTTCGGGGCAGCCTTCGGGGACCTCGGTGACTGGCCTGCCCAAAAACGCGTAGGTGGCTATGCTCGGAATAATGTCTGGGGCGTCGTAACCAAATTTGTGGCCAGCATATACTGTTTGGCGTAGTGGCGAATCTTCCTGGTCTGCAGACGTGCAGGTCACCGGTTCGATTCCCACGTCCTTCAGCTCAGAGTATGACCGCGTCAGTGGTATGTTACCTGAATGCACTTTCTTTTTGCTTTTGCAACACTCGCGCTTAACCGAGCTCTTCTCTCCAGCCTGCGTTTCCCCGCCACCGATCGCAACCCGAAAGCAACCCACCACCACTGATCGAAAAATGGTAACCAAACCCCGTCTAAAACACATCTCCCACAGCTACCCGATCCTCTACGGCTCGCACGCGACGCTGCTCAAACCCTCGGAAAAGCGCAACGACCCGACACACACGCACAAATGGACCGTCTACGTGCGGCCGCTGAACGCCGCCGACGACTACACGCACATCATCAAATCCGTCCGCTTCAAGCTCCACGAATCATTCAAGCCGCCGCAGAGAGTCATCGACTCCGGCCCGCCGTGGGAGGTGCACGAGACCGGGTGGGGCGAGTTCGATATCCCGATAAGGATCACGATGGTCGATACCGTTGAGAAGGGGGTTGTGGCCCTCGTGCATACGCTGCAGCTGTACCCCAAGGACGATGCCTCCGGGACCACCAACGCATCCTCATCGTCAACGGCGACATCGAAGTCCGTGGTGTCCGAACACTACGACGAGCTGGTGTTCAACGAGCCGACCGAGGACGCGCACCGGATCCTGCGCGCGCAGCCGGCGAGCGGGGTGCCGAAGCGGGTGGGGCATTCTGGCGCGCATGGGTATACGACGGGGGTGGAGGCGGAGGAGGTGCGGCGGTTGAGGGAGGCGAATGGGAAGGTTTTGGGCGAGCTGGAGAGGGAGAGGGAGAGGTTGGTGAAGGCGGAGGAGGAGGTGGAGAGGTTGAAGGCGCTGTTGGGGGAGGATTGAGGGTAAGGGAGGTGATGTGTAAATTCCGGGGGATGGTGGATGGCGTTGTTGGCAGGGCCGCTATGCTTGTTGTTTTTGGAGCGTCGGTCTGCGCCTGAGGAAGCTTCGATGAAAGCATGTATATATATATAGAATACCCATTTCCAAACGCCCTCACAATCGATATCGAAGTGACTTTTCCTCACATTATTCGTGGAGGCACACATGAAAAAACGGACAACTGGGGCAGATACCCGTATCATCTCTCCCAGAAACCCCAGCCATCGGAAATGGCGGAGATTGAAATCCGTAGATGGGTTCCGAAGACGGAGGAACGATTTCACCACAGCGAACAACATAAAATCCGTCCCCGCCACGAGAGCAGCGGGCCGACAAACACACGGTATCCGCACCTTCACAGTTCACACCCGCCTTTATTTGTACATGACCAATACCGCATATACAAAGTCCGGGCAACGAAACCTCTCCAGAGCTTTCAACGCAACAACAGCATCTTCTATATCGGGAGCCATAACTCAGGGCTTTTCCAGCGGCGGCGGGTGGGAGGCGAGGTGGGGTATATATTATGCTGGACGTCGTAGTGTCCAGCAGGTTTCCGGAGTGCTAATGGCCGGGGTCGCACAACGACGGCGCATGGTACGTGCTCGCCGGGGTCGGGGGATGGGATGTCTAGTTCGGGTGGGTGTTGTTTCGGGGATCTTTCGGTCAGTTACCGGTGATCGACGTGCGGCAACTGGCAGTGGGTGTCAAAACAACAGGGGTCAGAAGTTCAGAGGACCAAATCTACGACACCGACTGGGGGATCCGCCACACTTACATCGGACACGAGTTATTGTTCTTCAGCCATTGGTCCAGACACTGCAACAGAGGATCTCCAGTAAGCAAAAAAAACAAAGGCCAACACTCCACAACCCAACCTCCCGCAATCGAATCCAAACAGTACCTCCCCATGAAACCAATGCATGCACGGCGTCCCTTTGATCTCCTCCCCAGCATCATACTCCATCAAACACACCGTGCATTTCGCGTCCTCGCCCGACAGATACACCACACTCGCCGCGGCCGCTGTTGATGTTTTGCCTTTACGGGAGGATGTGGAGGAGGGCTGGAAGGTGCAGGTCGGGAGGGAGGCGATGGTGGCAGCGGGTAGGCCTTTGGGTTTGACGTCGCCGAGGCGGTCCCCGAGAGCGAGGAGGCGCTGGAGGGGCGGGGTCGGGTTAGTGTGGGGATGGGGGGTGTGAGGGGGGAAAAGGGGGGATGATTACCTCGTAGTCGAGTTCGTCGTCGTCCATGTAGTTTTCGGCGTGTTGAAGGTGGCCTGGCCTGAAGAATGTAACACAATCAGTGCACCGACACACCATCTACTGCTTTCATCCCCCCATCCTGCAAGCAAAGCCTGTTTTCCGCAGCTCTCGTAATGAAACATACATGATCAAATCCGCCAACAGCTCCTCAGCGCCCCACCCCTCCTCCCCCTGCAACGCCATCAGAAACTCCATATCCGGGCTTGCACCCAAATACGAGCCCCTCGCCGCACGTTCCATTTGCCGTGCCCGCTGCATCGCCGCGAGGCCGTATCCCATCCCTCGCGGTGGTCCGCCAGGCGCGCCGCCGAGCCGGTAGCCGTGTCCGAGAGAGGGTTGTTGGAGGGCGCTGTATTCCTCTTCTTGAAGCATTCGGGCAAAGTCTTCGTCGGAGAGGGTTCGTTCGCCGGTGGGACTTGGATTAGGGGGTACTCTTATTGTTGATGTGCGGGAGTTGGAGCGCGAGGAGGGTCTGGTCGGTGAGGGGACACGGTTACGGGTTGACCGGGCGCGGTGGAGGGCGTCGGGGGAGATGCGGCGGCCGCCGCCGAGGCGTTGAGGATCGCGGGCCTGGAAAGTGTACTTCACTCGGCAAAATTCCCAATCGCAATGTAAGCGCGACTCGCAGCACTCACCGAAGATCTTGTCCTAGTAGACCTAGACGACCCCGTCCCTCCTGCAGCACCCGTCTCATCCAGCCCCATTACCGCTCTCAACGCCGCGCTCGTCGCAGCCCTCCCACTCCCAACCCTCCTATTGCCACTGCTGCTCCCAGCGGCGTTACTCTCCTCCCCTACTCCACTCAACAGATTGTTCCGCGTCCTGCTAGACGTCCTCGACGAAGTCGACGACCGGACCCTCGCGCTGCTCCCTGACGATGTCGACGTCGATCGGCTGCTCATGGCATTCGTCGGGGCCGTGAGAAAGGATGTGTAGAGGACGTCGTCGGGGTCGTTGACGCTGTGGTTGTTGGTGGTGCTGGCAGCGCGCGTGGACTGCGAGGGTGCTCTTCGTGACGCGGAGGTTCGAGGAAGGGGTGGGGAGTCGGGACCGGTCAGGTCTATCAGTTCTGCTGTGTTTGTGGACCTGGTTATTGGGGTTGTTCTTCGTAGCCTTGGTGGGGCTGAAGGCATGGGGAGGAGAGAGAGTCCGTGAGTTCCACACCCTCGTTCTCGGAACACTCTGAGAATCATCCATACCAGGAATAGGAGCACCCCCACCAAGAACATCAGCAGTCCCATGTCGAACATCAACCATCGGCTCATCAGGCGCATCCAAATCGATCAACACCCCTGTTGGTGGGGAAGCGCCCCGAGTCGAATTGGAACTCGACCCGGCCATCCCCGTCCCTCGACTCATTCTCCGTGTCTGCCGTCCTCCTCCAGCCGACCCCGTATTCCCACCCAGCGCGTCAACCTCCCTATGCCGCCCACTCCTCTCGCCTTTCACGCGGTTCCCACCACTCGAATCCCGGGAGAACAGTATCGGGGATGGCGTTGACTCTTTACTTTTACTTTTCTGGTGCTGTGCGTCGTCCTCTGACGAGTAGTAAAAGTCGAAATCGTCGGGGTCGACTAGCATGTCCGAGCGGGGGTTTGTTAAGGCGCCTGCGCTGCTGTGCCCACGTTTTCGTAGCGGAGGGTGGAGCGGGCGAGGGGTCTGATCTTCTGTGGATGCGAGCAAGGCGTACTGGGGCTTTCAAAGGCGGGGACTACGAGAGAGCGCAGTTGACAAACAGGGCGACGGACGCGTCTCTCGGATGTCTTCCCTCTTTTCCCTCAACGCCTTTTTATCGCGCGGGGACTAGCTACCGACCCCTCCCCCCCATGATATGCAATACCCCATTCTCATATTTACACTCCCATATCCTCACTCACCCCCTCGTGTCGCATCATGGCCCAAATGTCCCTCCCTCCACCAGCCCCACATCCACACCTCGCAGGCCCTCTCCAATCAACCCCGCCCCTGGGCCCTCAGCAACAACCCACAGGCCCAACCTGCAAAGTCTGCCGCAAACTCATCACAGGCTCGCACATCAACGCGAACGATAGTCGCTATCACAATGCCTGTTTCGTGTGCCGTCAATGCCTGGAACCCTTTCCCGAGAACATCTTCTTCGAGACGTGCTTTGGTCGCAGAACGATCGTACGCAAGCAGTATCCAAGTACAGGGCAAAGGCCTATGCCAAATCGGGGGCCCGCGCCCTACAAATCCTTCTTATCCTCCACCTGCCCCTTCCCAACCTCCAACCTCCCCTGCACTGACCTAACAACAACTGCCTGCGTATCCCCGCTCCGCCCAGTCAAATCCTTCGAAAACCTCGTCACGTCCCCACCGGTCCCCTTGAACATAATCGTAGCGACCCGGAAGAATGGGGATGAGATCCGGAGTTGTTCTGTTATGTAGACAATGCTCCCTATTGTGACATCGGATGATGATGGCCGAACCTCGATGGTCCAGGTGGCTGATGCATGTTGTGTGAATGTGCGCCAGAGAAAGTTGGATCAGAGGGAGCTGGAGGCGGGTGTGTGTGGTGTGCGGGTATGTACGAAAACATGTTTGGTGGGGGAAACCTTGGTGGTGTGGCAGCGGTAGGTGCCTTGGGTTGGCGTGAATTTCCTCCCACTTTGGCTCTGCCTTTGATTTCGATCTTGATGAACCCTCCTCTGCCTTCGAGTATGGACACTCTCGTCATCACGACATCACCCCTCCACTTCCCAAACTCATCCCACGCCGTAACCGTCTTCCACGCTTCCCCAACGGCAACCCCCAACTCCACAGCGCACACTCACAATCTCCTCCCGCATCAACCGTCCTGCCGCATACATAAAATACAAGAGATTCAAGGACAGTAACGTTCCGAAGGTGGGGAGGATCCAGGAGATGTTGGAGGTTGCCAAGTCCCCGGCGTCGAGGAAGAGGTGGGATGTCCAGGCGTCGTCGGGGGTGGGGCGCGGTGCGCTTGCAGCCCGTGTGCGAGAAAGCGGGTTCTCGTGTGAAGCCTTCCTCCGAAAGTTCTTATTACCGAGTCTTTCTCAAGTTCGCAAGTTGTCGACGGAGAAGCATTCCACTCAGCTATATACAGCATATAGGAGAGCCTCCTGGGCATCTCCTGTCGAAAGCCACTCTGTCCCCCCCCCCTTTGCCAGTGGTTGGTCAATCAGTGGAATGCAGGACTCGCAGGACTTCGACAGGAGTGACTCCTCGTCCGGTGGGTTTCGCGCAGGTGACCGCGTTCAAAATCAGTCAGTTGAATCAGTTCAGTCACGTGGATGACGAAAGACAATCAATCGATCGGTTCATTCAGCCCAGGATTCAGCCGCCCCCACACGGCCACGGAAGCGAGTGGCTGGCGAAAAAGAGCATAAAAGACGGGCGAGCGGATTTTGCGCCGTCTTCCCACGCACTCGCAACTCTCGCAAGCGCACTCCAAGATCACCTTCCCAACTTATATCATCCCTCTCTGACGGCTTCACACAAAATGGTCTTCACAAACTCCCTCGTCGCACTCACCCTCGCCCTCGCGGCGGCCACCGTCCAAGCCCAGTCCACACCCGCCTCGGCCGCAGCCCTCACGGCCGCATGCGCAACCCTCTCAACCCTCCCCGCCTGCGACGTCGCCGCTTCCTGCCTCGCCCAAGCAACAACCACAGGAGCATGCAACCCAGACAGTCTCCTCGCTTCCCTCTGCGCTGACCCCGCAGGTGCTACCGCATCGCAATGCACTCCCAAGCCAAGTGGTACTCCCGTTGCGAACCTGCTGACCGCGAAGGACGCTACGGGTGTTGTTGCCAGTATCTGTATGGAGATGCCCGACATGAAGGATTGTCAAGGGCCTGATGCGTGTCCCGCCGCTGATCCGGCGACTGGAGTTGCGAAATGCAAGACTTGGACTCAGGCGGCTAGGCTTTGCTTGGATATGCCAAACATGAAGCAGGTGAGTGAACGTTAGCGAGTGTTTGTTTCGCGAAACCGAATGCCTTTGCGAGCAAAGCACCACATTGGGCCAAAGGCGCAAGACTTTCCTCATCCACGTTGTTGATTAGTCGTTGATGGTTGATGTGTTCTTGATGGTTAATGAGCCTATCGCTAACGCCATCTCTCTCTCCCATCAGTGCGGCCCCGTCACCGCCTTCTGCACATCCTCCAACAAGCTCGGCCCTTACTGCGGCGCAATGGCCGCCGGGGCCACAAATACCTCCTCCACCACGGCCTCCGCCGCCGCGCCCTCCGGTACCAGCGCACCCGGCGCGTCTGGCAAGAGCGGCGCCATGTCCGTCGCTGCCAACTCTGGTTTGGTCGCAGCTGCTGGAGCGGTGCTTGTTTACGCTCTGGTGTAGGGGGTTGGACTGCTTGGAGTGTAGTATAGACTTTTGTGATTCCGTACACTGCGAGTCGTGACCAAAGCATCCCTTGTGAACACATATACACATGGACTTCCGAGCAATGGATCCAATAACTACCTCAGAAAGCAGTTGCTCTGGCCACACAGCACAATTTGAGGATCAGGACGGGCTGAATTGACAAAAGATTTATTCGTGATGTCTACATCCGGGAACCTTTTCTGTTGTGATCTCACGTCTTGGAAGCAGAAACTACCTGGAGCCCTCGTTTCGCTACGCTGCGAGATGTACTGTACTGTACATGTACTTTGCGGACGTGCTGAATTTGAGGAACTCCCTCTCTGGGCGCCCGGGGGCCTGACGGGTGCTCGTTCCCAAGCAGTCGGTACGCATGAGTCATCTCGCATGAGTCACCGCGTGGAATAACGCGCGGAGCTTCTTTCCTCTCTCTCCTCGTCGCTTTTTGACATCGCACTCCTCCCATCCAACAACACTCCTCAGCGACTCCTGGTTTCTCCCAACCTGCCTCGCCGCGAAGAGCACCGCAGATAACCTCTTTCACAGTCGCCAAACCCATCGCCCGAGTCCCCATCTCCATTCCTCAGAACATGGACGTCTCAGACCTAACCGACCGGCTCCTCCTCGCCATCCCCAAAAAAGGCCGTCTAAACGAACACTGCCTCACCCTCCTCAAAGGCGCCGACATCCAGTTCCACCGCCGAAACCGGCTCGACATCGCCCTCTCGACCAACCTGCCCGTCGCCATCGTCTTTCTCCCCGCGGCCGATATCGCGACGTATGTAGGGCGCGGGAACGTCGATCTGGGGATCACGGGGGAGGACGTCATTGCGGAGGCTGTTGCGGATGATGTTGATGCGGGGAGTGAAGGGGAGGCGAAGGTGGAGGTGTTGACGAAGTTGGGGTTTGGGAGGTGTAAGCTGTGTGTGCAGGTTCCGGTCGCGAGTGGGGTGACGCGCGCGCGGGATCTGGTTGGGAAGCGAATTGTGACGAGTTTTGGGAATGTGTCGAAGCGGTTCTTTGATGCACTTGAGGCGGGTGCGTCCGAGGAAGATGCGGCGAAGGCGCTTGTTACGTTGTTTTCCAATTCCATCGCCTCGTCGACTTCCGCGAAGACCACATCAGCAGCAGCATCAACGACAACAATCCACCATGCCAGCGGCTCAGTCGAGGCTGCTTGCGCACTCGGTCTCGCCGACGGCATCGTCGATCTCGTCGAGTCTGGCGAAACGATGCGCGAGGCCCGCTTGCACGCCATCTCGACCCTCCTCACCTCCGAAGCCGTCCTCATCGCCAACGCCGCAAAGTACTCTTCCACAACCACGAACCAAACGAAGCTAATCGACACTCTCCGCCGCCGCATCGAAGGCGTCGTCGCGGCACAGAAATATCTGCTGTGCAACTACAATATCCACCGGGAGAAGCTTAAAGACGCCGTGAAGATCACGCCGGGTCGGAAAGCGCCCACCGTTAGCCCTCTGGAGGATGAGGAGTGGGTTGCGGTTAGCGCCATGGTGTTGAAGAGTGAGGCGGCGAGTGTGATGGATCGGCTGGAAGCTGTGGGCGCGTCGGATGTGCTCGTGTTTCAGATTCACAATTCGAGGGTTGTTTAATGGGCGTCTTGTTTTGGCACTTGGATAGGATTTGCTGGTTCTGTGAATGGCATTGAGAGTCACCCAGTGGGATGGATGGCGTAAGGCATGGTCTACAACTGAGGAAGATGGCACGGAGTGCTTGACGGCGTACTCCCTAATTGCTGTGGAGCTTTCGGATTAGCCCCGTCGACTCGCCCATACACTCGCACTCTAGACATCCCCTTAGCGACACATCAATTCTATCATCATTCATTCGAGGAGCTTTCTTTCTACCCATGCATTACATCGCGAACTCCATACCCACACGGACTCTCCCAATGCCAGCGGAATCCAAAGTTAAACTAATTCGTTTGAACATTGTGCCACTGCGGGTCCTGGCACCGGACACACATCTCGACCAGGCCGTACGTCCGAGAGAGTAGGAACAGGTTCGTCCCAGAATAGGCATGTCTGCTCTGCGGTACGACTGGCAGTGGGTCTTGGAAGCCCCGAAGCACTCAACCGGTGCAATCGACGCCATGCCTGATAGCGGAGCTCTCAGTTATGGGCGACGATCGGGATCCTCATATGTGTTCGGGGCCGCTCGCTGTTCAGAAGGCCCTTGAAGTTATAGGGGCGTTCGGTGCCAGGCCTTTCCCCTTGCGCTGTGCGGTTATCGCATTGAGACAGGTAGCGTGGGGTGACATCTCTTGACCTCCTAGCCGGATAGTCTCGGACGCTTGTGGGGCTTTCCCTCGGTTCCGCACTCCATCGGTTAAGGAACGACCGTCCAAAGCCGACGCGGGCGTCTGCTCTACGTTGCAAAACTGTACGCCGTGCCTGGTCTTCCTTGGATGCGTAGACGAGCAGTACCTGCGCCAAGTCGCCCTATCCAGCCTCCTTCCGCCCTCCGCCCTCCCTCCTCATCCCATCCCGATCATCCACCGGCTCCAAAAACGCCCTCACGCCCTCCTCAGTAAAGTCCCAGGGAATAACCATAACGCCTTTCTCACTGAGATGATACCGCTTCGCTACCAGCACCGGAAAGCCCTTGAAGATCGCAGGGGGTAGGGTTCGGAAGGTAGCTGTTGCGGTGGCGACTTGGGAAGCGTCCAGGGCGCGGTGGAAGAACGTGTTGGGTGGGATGTGGGTGTTCTCCATCGAGTTTGCAGCTGGCGGGTGACTTGCTGATGGTGGTGATGCAGCCGCCGGGGCATCCCCCTCCGCATACTTCCGTCTCTGCAAACCCCTCTCACCCCCTTCAACCGCCCCCGCCATGGTCCGTCTCATATCCCTCCCAATCGCCTCCTCAAACTCCTTCCTCAAATACGACGCCGCCGTCCCAACCCCCTCCCCGCCCCGTCTCACCGAAGCCCGTCGCAACACGTCCGCGCCACCCATCATCTTCAGCTCCTTCTCCACGCACGACTTGACGGCGGCCATATCAGCTTCTGCCACTTTCACGCCGGCTTTTTCGCAGAGGGAGAGAAAGGAGGCGGCGAGGAGGGGGGTTTCGAGGCGGGCGCGGGAGAGGGGTGTGAGGCGTTTGAGGAGGAGGGGTGGGATGAGGGGGCGGGTGGGGGCGGTGCTCGGGCCGGGTGTTGTCGGTTGGGAGCAGAGGGTGTGATGGACTAGTTCGGGGGTTCCGTGGGTGCGTTTGCAGTAGAATTGGAGCTTCACATCCCCTCCTCTGAACCCGCTTATCATAACTCTCCCATCCAACGGCGGATCCCCCCGGCATTTACTCGACTTGGTGCCAGCAGGGAACACCTGCGAAACCAGCGCATTGAGGCTTTGTAAACTGGCGACATTCGTTTGTTGTATATTCGGGTCGGCGGAGTGGGCGAACAGGTCTGGATGTACTCTCCGTGCGAGTTGAGGGAGATACCGACGGACTATGGTTGTCGGTGTTGTTGACGGTGACGGTGAAGGTCGGAGCATTGGTTGGAGTCTGGTCTTCACCTTACGGGTTGACGAAGGGCGTGCGACTCGATCGGGACAACCAACGAACCACCTGTGGGAGGGGCAGACGCAACTACGGTCTCATCCAGCAAGGAGTGCTGTCCTTGTGAAAGAGTGCAGCGTTGGACCCTGGATCGGGAAGGCTTCGGGAACAAGGGCAATGGGATGTCTCAATTTCAACTTCCCAACCAGTCGACGCGACGAAAAGCGAGCGGCAAGAGCGGAAAACATCGCAATGTGGCTCAATGTGGGCAACCCCGTCGTCGACGCCACCCGGGAAGCATCCATATTCCGCATAAATACAGCACAATCATTCTAAGGTATGTGTACGCCGGCTGATCCGCACGTCCGCTCGTGCCCTCCAGACTCCCATTCCCACATAGTCCCACATCAGGCCAATGTAGGGTGTGCTGGTGTTTCTGTCCTCGTGCTTTCGGCGCTCGCCCTGCACAGAGACCCTACACCGGGCACCCAAAACGCATCCGTTCTCGGCCGCCCGTATTTGACCGACTCGCCATATACGCATGCGTATCCATCCTGTAATGCTCCCACAAGTAATGAAGATCCAGCTCCAAACAGAAGGGCGTACTTTGTATATTGTTTTGTCAGCCGACCTGATGAGACAATTGTAGTAAGAATCAAGGCGCAATCGATGCGATGGCCAGAAAAGAACCTTCCACTTACTTGCAGCAGCAAACACCATCGAAGTCGTGACCCCAGCGCCAAGGGTGCACACCCAGCTCTCCCTCCCAACAACCATCTTCTCCAACCCAGCTTCAACGCTCGCAAACCCAGCCATAATCGCCGCAAATTTGGCGGCACTCCTAAACCCACCTAGGAACCCAAAGTGCGCAATCTCATAATTCTTATACTTGTGGTAGAAATACCACCCGGATACTGTTTTGGGCCGCCGGTGAGCGTTCTCTGCGAGAAACTGGTATGACCGCGTCCGCCCGCCGAGGTAGAAACCGGTAATGAACCCGCCGATACCCCCAGCGAAACCCAGGTGCAGCGCCCAGAGGGTTTCTGGGGAGAGCGAGGCACGGGCGGCGGCGCGGGTGGCTCGGTTGCGAGCCGTGATGTAGGTGAGGAGGTTGGAAGAGCTGTCGGCGAATGCGGCGAGGTGGGAGCGGAGGGTGGAGGTGGTGAGACTGGGAAGGTGAGCGAGCACAGACGCCGGCGGGGCGAGAGACGGCGGTGGTGGCCGAGCGGGCGATGGAGGCTCCTGGGCCCGCTGTTGCTGTTGCTGTTCGTCGACGCTGGGCATTGTGTGCTGGTCGGTGATCGCTCGCCCTCTGGTCTGTTTTGAGAGTCGGAGACGGAGGAGAACGCTCCGCAGCGCGTCCCGGTGCCACTTTTTCGCAGCAACCCTCCCATAAGCCTCCATTCCGCAAACGGCACACTTGAAAGTACTGTATACAATTACAGGTGCATATACATAGGAAACAGAAATACAATAACGTAGACTCGTTGTGAGCGACAGGCGGCAGGCACATACACCGTATCATTCAGGTTTCCCGCAAACCGCCTCACTTGTCGCAACTGTGATCTTAGCCAAGATTCGTTCGCGTTGTTGGTGATCTTCAGGGAGCTGGGCGCTGAGGACAAGGTTTAGCCATTTGAAGTAGAAGGTTGCTCCATAGCGTGCCGGTGGACCGCAGTGTGGGAGGGGCGTCTTCACGATGGCGACAGGTGACTTGAGAAACAACCTATTGAAGGTGGACGGGGACTTGCGCAGGCTGCGATATGGCGGCTCTCTAGACCTCTATGCGTAAGTGCGGTTTACACAGCCGATACAGATATACTGCAGTTATCGAATTCCAGAACTTCATGTGCGCAGACCACTTAATTCCTGGTCGTCCCTTCCACAACAGTGCCAGCAAAGGAGACCCCGTAGCACTCCTACCGTTGATCCACTTCGTGCTCCTCGACTACTCCCCAGAGCTCTCACTCTACTTGACAACGAAAGGTTTCTGCGATCTCTCAACCAAGAGAGACATACGCTTCATGGAAGCCGTCTACAAAATGTTAAGGGATGAATTCGATTACCGACCGCAGATCACCCGTGATCAGTTCTTTTCGACCGGGTTTGCTGAACGGAAGCTCATATTCATCAGTGACTTGATCAGAATGGTCGAGCAAAAGACCCGAGATCTGAAGCGGGACGGTGGTGGGCGGAACTTGACTGGGACGACGGGCCGAAGTGGTGGGGCGCATGGGGTCAAAGGGCATACTACGAATGCCGCGTCAAGGCAGCCTCGCGGAACGGGGCCGGCGTCAAAGGCAACGATCACAACACACAGCAGCTCTTCACAGGGCAGTCGACCGGTTTTGGTGCCATCGAATCGTATCCTGGTGAAGAACGTCTCGGTGATACCTGACCAGCGCTCGCCCAACTACGAGAACGGGTTCAGAAGTTCGAGGGGCTCCACAACATCGAAAGAAAGCTCGTTCCACCCTCGCACATCAGGGGCAGGTGTCGGACGGGCCACATTTACTCGACACCCGCATTCCAGTGACTCGCCACCGCAGGCCTCCCACTCTGATAACAGCTTTGGGAGCGAGAATGGATACGAGCGGCACGAGGTTTCTGGCAGTAGCGAATCCTCCGACCTACTTCGCGGGATGGACATCGTTCAACAACGCCAGGCGCAAGCGCATGTCGATCAGTCCACGATATCCACAACGAATGAGACTCGCACGCATGTTGAGCGGCATTACGCCCCGCCACAAACCAACTCCTCCACTTCCCACCAGGCGCAACAACATCTGCGGCCCCATACTTCTAGCAAGCCTTCAGGTCCCTCACGTCCGACCCAGAACCGCTTCCCAATGCGCCCAGGGGAAGGCACAACGATCTATGAGCCGGCTATCGCTCCACAACCGGCTGCCCCTCCACCCACGTTGCCGCCTCAAAACTTTGATATTAGTTTTCAGTCACAGCCGTCAATGATGAGGACGACACCGATACCCAAAGCTGGGATGCTGGATGATACCTTCATTTCGGAGCCGTCGATGCAGGAAGATGGGCGTGGTGCGAGGGGTGGTTTAGGTGGCAACGGTCCTACGGCGGGACAATTGCTAAACGGTGATCGATCGTGGGAGCAGAAAGTCGAAAATCAGGAAGAGGGTCAGCGACAGGCGACAAATTGCGGCCCCCTGAACGACGTACAGCAACATGACACACGGCGAGAACCGGGATCATCTCACCCAGCACCCGACGACGTGCATGATACAGCCCCGGCCCCGCGGAAAAGCAGCAGCTTGACATCACCCTTCCTTCTCCGCTCCTGGGTGGCGCCAACCGCTCCGCCAGCCAACACCGTCCCGTTGCCATCACCCACACACGCCAATCCATACGCGCAACAACAACAAAACCCACATAGCCAACTTCAAGCATTACCCAGTCAGTCGAATTCCTCACCCAATGCCTCCATACCTCTGCGCACACTACCAAATGATCAAGTGTCCGTGGAAGCAGTGTTTGAGCATTTCATGAACATGTTTGCTGTGAAGCATGAGGTCAGTCCGCTGACGTCTTTGTGTTGAAGAGTAGGGGGCTCATGAATTACGTGTTGTATTTTCAGGAAATTATGAGCTTGCGACATCAAATTGCTGCCGTTGCAGACCAGCAGGAAGGGATTGCATCGGAACTGGTGTCCCGCATTCAGTCGGTGGAGAACACCTTGAGGACAATCCAGGAGACCGGCTCGAGGGCAGTGGTCTGTGGCAGTATCTCGGCTTTGATTGGTTGAAGTGAACCCTGTCCTCAACACTTCAAATGGCCTTGAATGTAGCAGAATGGATCTCGTGCACCTCCGGGTACGTGGAACGGCGCAACACCCTCCGATGATCGCGACATACCAGCATCGCAAAACCCCGAGTCGCGTCATCCGAATGGGCGTGCGGATCACTATTCTGCAACTGCCGCATGTCAATCCACCGATGGGCGGACTTCACAAACCATGCGGTCGGCGAATGAGGTATCTTGTCGGAGCTCTGAGCTACAACGTTACGCGTGGTCTTCACAGCCTGGCAACATCGGTTCTCACATGTATATTTTGCAGACGGCTCATCCAGCCCACGAGGTAGCACCTGTTGATCCGGACAAGAGTTTCCGCGCGACGATCAGCACCTCGCAGCCGTCGATGATCAATCCTACGTTTCGGGGCACGGCTCAGGTGGGTACATCTGCGCCGTTCACAACATTCGCTTTCATATGGGTGCAACGTTCAATCAAGTATTTATAATCTCCATTCCCGTCTATCCAGCCGAAATCAGCAGAAGACTACATAAAAAGCATCCAAAAACGCATGGAGCACACATCTAATTTCCTGAAAGAACGCGCACGGATGATGCCTTCTTCGAACTGGGGGTCAAATTCGCTATCAGCCGATGGTAGCAACAACGTCCGGAAATGAACTGAAGGATATATGCAGTTTGATTCTGTTGGGGAGGGTGCGTATGGGAGGGTATATGTGGGATAATGGTTGGGGTATAGGAAGATCTAGGGTGTATATATAGTAGCTCTTGTGTATTTCTACACTTGGCAATTTAGCACAATGTCGAATGTGATGGGCTGCTTCGCCCGGTTGCGGCTGATGTGTACGTGCATGGTCAACGAGGGTCGTGGTAACCGACGGTTCTTCCGAGACGGATTGGCTTCGGTGACGGTTAATGTGTCGTCGTCTACCGTTGATAAGGCAACTTGCAAAAGCGTCATCAACACCGCCGGCAGTCGGCGCAAAACCATTGGGTATCCGAGGTGTAGGGCGCTCTACGCCGAGCGGCGTCATGCAGATCCCCACCCAGCGTCTGCTTGGACGGTGAAATATCACTCGATACTCTCAAATGAAGTAACAGTTGGCCCGCCCCACGAAATCTTCACCACCGGCTTGATTCCTACACATAACAATATCCAGTCAGGAACCGAAACACGGAATCGGTGCACACAAGAGAACGCAACCATGCATACCTTCAGCACGACAAGCCGCCCTAGTACGTCTCCTCTCCGGCGCGTCATTTTCTGCAACGCCGCCTGCATGCACGATCTTTGCTTTCCTAGGCGCTTTTGGAACAGATGTCGCACGTGCCGCTGTGGTCTTCTCTGATGTGGTGCGGGTCGTTTTTGGGCGCGTGCTCTGGGCCTTCCCACGCGATGGTAATAATGGGCGGTCCTGGTCCGGCATAATGAGGTTATCGATGTTTCCCAATGGGATCGCGTCCGGTATAGCAACCAGTTGAAGAGGCGGGTTTGAATCTGCAGAAGGCCCTTTCTTGGGCCGCCCTTCCGTCGGTTTGATGCGGTCGAGTGTCAAAACCTGAAGCTCGTCGTTCAAACTGCCATCTGAAGCTGGGGAACGAAGCGACTCCTGCGATGCGTGATTGCAAGATATAACCGGTCGTTCAGGCGGGCAGGCCTTTTTGCGGCCGTCATGGCGATTTTGGAAGACAGCTGTCGTTTTCGTTTGTATGTCATCGATATTTGGTCGTGGGGCTCTGCGTTTCGGATCTTGTGGCTCTTCACGTGGCACACCGTTTACCAGTTTTGTCGGCTGACGGGTCTCGGCCCCGGCTTTCGACTTCAAACCCAAATTTGCCGAATCGACGTCTGTGCCATGATGTGCCGAACCTGGCTCCGCGGGAACGTCCACCCCACCGCTCCAATCCGGTATATGCAGCTCATCCACCCGATACTTCTCTCTGTCCTTGGCCATCGCCATTTCTGGCTTCCTGTACCGTGGCGGTCTAGCCGCGGTCTCCTTTGCGCTCTTTGCTCTCGCGTTCGAAGACACTACTTCGACTGCCTCATGTTGATCTCTTGGTTTCGTGTCCGACCTGAAACCCTTCTTGCCCATCACAAACGGGTCGGGGTTGTTGATGCTGTTCTGAGATATGTTGCTGGGGCGGTTAGGGCGTCGTTTCTCGCCGACGACGATATCCTCGTTAACTTTCAAAGGCAAATGGCCATGTGTTGGTATTGGCCGCTTTCCTCCTTTATAATCTGCGGCGAGCTCGGACGTGGATGAATATTCACCAACGCTTCCCGATCCAATATGTCGTGATGTTAATTCTGACGTCCTTTCCGGACACACAATCTCCCCCGATCCTCTTCCACCGGCCAAATCCTCTATTAGATCCGCGCTGTCCATACTCCGGAGTTGCGCCGCCGGTAGAAAGGTAGGACGCTTCATGGCGGCCAACGCGTTTCTGGGGGGCGATGAGACAGCGATCCCGGAGTGATGTACAGGAAGTGAAGGAACAGATGGTGGTTCCGTCACGCTCGCACTCCCTTTCGTCTCCTTGGGTAGTTGAGGGGCAACAGATAAAGGGTGGACTGTGATGGCGAAGTCCCGTGCTTTCGTTTGGCGGCTCCTGGAGGAGGTCCACAGATTTACATACGTTAGCAAAAATCCTGTGACAGGCGAGCTACTAACGTTGCCCCTGCGTTGCGCATACCCTTCGCCACGCCTTCGAGCGGCTTGCCTCTCTGCTCTGGCGAAACTCATCCTCTCCGCGTGAAGTTGAGTTGGACACAGCTGGCGTCGTCAACGCAAGATGGTTGAAGATCAAAGTCCGCCCGTCTTGAGAGTCTAATGCCGACTTGGTACCTCCGTGCCGTATGCAGCAGGCGGAAGGAAGGCCTTTGGTATGACAGGTCCTTGTCAAATGGCCTTTTTCGGAGTGCTGAATTTAGCTGGGAATCCTGGTACGGTAAAAACCCGCATCGCGTAACCAGGGCATCCATTTCCAAGCTCAACAGACGAGACGCACCCCACCGATTGAACATACGACAAAGCCTTCCAATTCATAATGAATGCATTGGGCCCACCATCGGCTGCTTCTTCGGCGCAAGATTTTGCTCTCCATCCTGTGCTTACGCTCTACGGGCTTTCTCGGCTTTTGTGTTACTTTTCGCATACCTCCGCACCTCATCCCGAAAGAACATATTCAAAACTTTGCCGCCGAAATTGGTGCAACAACCCGGGACTTTTCAGTTCAGCGCCCAATTGGAGACACCGCATGCCTTCGACGGTCGGGGTACCTGGCAATGAAAAGCCCGCTTGCCCTAACCTTGAAAAATGGAATGTTCTCAAAAGAAAGCAGACGAACGCGTTGCGCACGCGTCGAAGTTCAACCTCAACTTCATGCGAGCTTATGAAGATGCTATTCCGATTGGTCCATGTGCTTAGTTCCTTTGACCTCCGACCTATCTACTACGCCAGTTGCCTGATATAGACATGGTCGAAAGTTCAGTCAATGTCCTATGTCTCTCCTTACTTCGATGCGGAGAATTCGATGAAGACTCGCACGCGATCGTCCACAGGTTTGGCGGCTTCCTCTGCGTTCGCAGTCTGAGGCTGGTCCTCCCCAAAGCGTTCCCGTTGCTTCAAGACAATGTTCTTGAAGCCAGCTGCCTCGAACTCCCTAGCGAGGCTCTTCTCGTCATGGAGCCATCGACCGCCGTTGTGCCACGCCCCTTCCTGAGTGGATGCCCCAGTGGTGCCCACAAACAAACCACCAGTTTCGAGAATATCGTACACAGTCCTGATCAGACCTGTACCCTGCGTTTTCGAAAGAGTGTGGATCACAGCGGATGCCGCGACGTACTTGTGCGACGACTTCCATGACGGTAAACCTTCGGGAGGAGGCGCAGAGATGGATTCGACCCCGAGGGATAGATCGCCCCATGTGGTTGCCACATCTTTGACGTTTTGTTCGTCGACGAACAACGCTTTCTGGCCGACGCGCCAGTAACCGGGATCGAGATCGGTAACGGTGAGTTGGCTTGCGGAAACGCCTTCCAAAAGGAAAGAACGAACGTCCGTCCCGTAGCAACAACCCACGTCGAGCAAGCGGGGCTTTCGACCGCTGGCATCGGAAGATTCACGGAGACCGGAAAGTATGGCAGGGTACGCGGAGTGCTGTGTTATTCGCGGTTCCAGGAACATCATGCTCTGGATGCACTTGAACACGTGCAGCTCGTCGTAAGTCAGCTCGAGTGTAAGCGCCACCCTCTGCTTTAGAGTGGCGTCATCAACTGCGACCGATGTGTTCCCTCTAAGACCTTCGTAGGCTCGCAGAAAGCCAAGCTTCGACTCCGGGACATCGTCCACTCCTGGCCGACCATGCGCGGCGAAAGAGTACTGAGAGTGGTCGGGTTTGGTGGTCATCGTGCGCTTTTCAGTTTTCGAAGACGTGTTGATGCTTTTGCGGCCAATGTATGGTGCCGTAACTGAGCGCTCTGGTATGCAACGAGAGTCTCACAGCAGTAATTAGCTGGCCTGCGGGCAGTGTGTCCTCAAAAGCAGGTCGATGCGGCGATTTCAACGGAGAACGGGCGCAAGTTGAATTTGGATTGAATTCGCGTTAGCCCCGAGTCCGAACAGGCAAGCGTCGTTTTGGGTCATTAGCATTTTGGCCCTGAGCATTACTCGGGATCTTTCCAGATAACAACTCCATAAAATAAGCTCAACCGTCTTGCCTTCGCACTCGGGAGACTAGGCTCACATCCCCAGTCACTACTCATCCCATATATTCGCAACAACAATGGCAACGTCTTCGAACACCAGCGAGAAGCGCCCGAGTGACCAGGAGATAGTCTCGCAGGTCAGTTGCGCTGCGTAGTCGATTAGTTGGAACGGTTGGCCGGAAGGGATAGCGGAAGTAGTAGCAGGTGCTAACCGTCTTGACTGCTGCAGCTAAATTCAATGAAGCAAGAAATGAACGCGATCGCACAAAAACTGGGCGAACTGGAAATGGAGAAAGATGAGCATCAGTAAGCATCGAACTGAAAACCGGAGGGGATCTTACGGCACGGCTCCCTGAACGCTGATCTAACCCGGGACCGTCTCCCGTTGTAGACTGGTAGTGGATACAATGAAGCCCCTTGAAGGAGACCGGAAGTGCTTCCGTTTGGTTGGCGGAGTTCTGGTGGAACGGACTGTAAAGGACGTTCTGCCTGCTGTGGAGACGAACATGGATGGGGTATGTACATTCAGGGAGCTGCGCTGATATCGGCGGATGCATTCCACTAAGCGTTCGGCTTTCCAGATCGCAAACATCATCAAGCAATTAGTCACACAGTACAAGAAGAAAGAGCAGGACTTTGAGGCATTTCAGAAAAAGTGGGGCGTACAGATTAAGAATCAATGATGATGCATCGGCGTGAAGGCTTTAGTAAGAGTAGTGGGGACGTAGTATTGCATCGTTTCCGAACGAAGTGGGGATGGGTAGGGAGGGGAATACCGTTTTGACCAGGGCCAAGCACAAGGGTTTCTTCTGCTTTCATTAATTAAGGGATGGATTTGACTCAGTTACGGAACCGGGAGGAGACAATCTTTTGGATGTCACTTGTTCACTATTCGCACGGCGGTAGGCAGCATATTGGGAGGCGTGCTGAGGAATGATGACGGGATCGCAAAAGCATGTCCCCGCTCCAGCCCTTGTGGGACATTCCTTCACCTGCTTTCCTGCCATTGGCAATGTGGGACGCTGCGACCTCGAGGTTACTGAGATGAAATGGGATATCTTATTAACGCAAAATATGTACAAGAAAACAACCAGATGCTAGAGAATGCAAAAGATTCCCGAACCAGTATCCAAAAACCACGGTGGTAAATCACTGAAGCCAGAAATCTTCGGTGCCAGGCGTGGGCAGCCACGTGTATGGATATGAATCCGGACAAGCTGTTCCGTCCGTGAAGGGTGAAAGCGGGGATGGGGAGGGATACGGCGAATGGAGGTTGTGCAGCGTGTTGTTTTGGTTCCCTTGCATGTACACGGGGTCTACCGAGAGTAGCATGTCAAGGCTGTCCGAAGCTTGCGGTGCTCGAAAGGATGGCCCTAGCGGCAGCAATGGACTCAGGTCGGCTGAGAAAGGGAGCGTGTTGGGAGCCATGGTGGTGGGCCCGAGATTTGGGGGTGAAGCGTAAAAGGAGGCGTTGTTGGGGGTCGTCGTCAGCAAGCTGTCGAGCATGCGATCAAGCTCTGGACAGCCATACTGAGAGGAGTCGGTGAACCGCCCATTGTCGGGCAGGCTGCTTGCGGGAATGTTCGGCGCCGGCCAAGAGTGGGCGAAAGAGATGTTCGGAGCATAAGAAGGCACGGAGCTTGCGTCTGATTGTGGCGGTAAGATGGGATGTGATGGTAGTACTATGCTCGGTATTTGTTGGGGTAGCGAAAGTGCGGACGAAGTTGAGGACGTTTGAAGCGAGTGATCGACGTAGAGCGGCATGAAGTCGACGTGCCTAATCAGCCCTTGGGAAGACAAATTCGCCTGCGATACATCCGGCAATTGCACGGTCGAAGTGGGGTATGCTGGGTGAAGTGACCCGCTGATGGACGGCTCCTCGTGAAGACTGTCCAGCAAGCTATCTATTGAGGACATGCTGTCAAAACTACCGGACGAGCATGGGGACGCTTCATGTTGCTCCTTGATGCTCTTCTTGCGGATCTTCTTGCTACTCCGTATGCGGGCCTTCAGTGCGGTGGTGGATTGCGAATTCCAACCACCGGCGATCTTGGCGTTGATCCATCGTTTCTGGTCGTACATGAATCCAGTCTGCTTCGCCCATGAGGAAGGTGTTATCAAGTCTAGCAATTTTGAATCGTTCTGGGCGTAGTAGCTGATGATGTGGAATCTTGCATCGCCGAGTGAGATGGCGCATGTTTTTTTGATTAAACTTGAGGTGCTAGGCCCGGGCGATGACGATGTAGGGCTTTGAGCCCCTGATTCAGAAGCATCGGTAGTTCCTTGCGACTTTACTTCTCTGTTCGCGGAAAGGCAATGTGAGATCATCAACGCTCAAATCACAAGTGCGAGTCCTTCTCGAACGTACCGGTAGATCAGAAAGGGCCCGAGGATCCGAGACGGCGTCCATTTAAGACCATCTCTCCATCTCTTGATGGCGGCTTCCGTCTCTTCAAACACGATGACAGTCCCGCTGCGTATCACATTTTCTTCTTCGGATGTCTTGTCCAATGTCAACGACATCGAACGGGATCGAACAAGAGATTCAGGTCTTCGACGCATCCTTCGAAGGCAGCCTCGTTCACATGCGTCTAGCAGGGTATATGCATCTTGCTCAGTAGCAAGGTGCCCGACGAAGGTTTCGAACGGTTGTAAGTACATTTGGGATCGCTAATGTCGATGTGGTTCCGATTGCTAAGTGTCAATGTTGAGGTTTCGTTCGCTCCAAGGAGTTCCGAGCTCGGAGCTTAACGGCAATGGCTCTGGGTGGAAGGGACGCAATTTGTCGTGGAACAGACTGTGCCGAATCGTAGAAGCACTGCTCTTTGGAACCTCAACGGCCACGTGAGTAGTCGTTGACACTACCGACGAAAGAGGGAGCGTTTCCAAACACTTCTGGAAAACAAAGGCTTCAATTGGCAGTCGCAAAACGAATCGTATCGGAAAGACCAGCGAGGGAAGCGTGGGAAAGCTTGCTGGGTTTCTCGTGCGGTAAAGTTCGAAAAGCTATATCAACACTCGGGAGTTGGACTCGAAAACAGCAGTGAGATAGCGGACGACGGGAAGTTGCAGGGGGGGGGGGGGGGGGGGACGCAATGGAGCCTGGGAATGGAGAAGGAAGAAACCGTAAGTTTCTCCTGTGGAGGCGACGGCAGGGGGAGGTGTCTTTCAGAAGACCGAGGGTGGATTCCCAGCAACAGGAACGGCCTCTCCAATCAGTTTGCTCTATCAGCCCTGTCTGCCTGTGGCTGTGTGATTTTGGATTGTTCCTAGCCTTATAACTCTAAACGCCTAAACTGGAAAGAGCTACCCATTTGCCGGCTCCTTACTGGATGTATCCACATGATGAAAAGCTGATTCAGGTGTCTTGTGTCTTTATCAGCCCCGCCCTCTGGAGTCGGGAGCGGCCTTGGCCCATAATATAGCGAGGAAAGAACTTGAAAATGATCACTTATATGTTACTCATAACATGGACTTTACCGGAATCCGGGAGCGTGCTTGTGCAACGATGCGTAACGCGAAATTAGAGTTTCAAGCTTTTTGACTCGAGCGGTTTTTAAAGCTTGTGTAACCGACCCCTTTTGATATGAAGGTATCGTACGGTGTACCCAAGTTCCAACTTCCCACTTGAAAGTCAAGGGGTCGAGCCTCTCGGCCCTCCACCATGATTACTCGTTATTTCCGCCTCTCCACTGTGCATCTCGGATTTTTCGGTCGCGTCTCAATGATGTGTCAGCCGAACAACCTTAAATCAATCGAAAAGCCCGCATGGGGAGCCCGATACCCAGGAAGGGCTTTCGATTAGCATATCATGTAGTAGCAGTGTAGCACCAGAATCGAACAGAGAGCAACAGAGAACAATACGGAAGGCACTATGTAGCATCTCAAAAGACCCGCTCTATAGATCTAGTCACTACAACGTCCTTTTCTCCTTTTCGCCATTGTCGTAATCGTCGTTTTTGGTGTCTGCAGGTCGTCTGTATCCACCGATCATCACTTGCAGCCCATTTTGGCGTGTCAGAAGATATCGGAGACTTGCGATCTTCTTCAAGAAAAAGTCAGGGGATGCATGGAGAAGTACAGGGTCAACGATATTGCCCTCGATCGGTAACCTGCCAACGGCAAATCGGGAACGCCGACGGCCGATTGTCCTCAACATAAGCAGAAATCTCATCCCATGCCTTTCATTTCACCATCGCACCGAGATTTGCGGGAATTTGCCCTCCGGTTTTTGCCGCCCTGGCTCCTCCTTGCCAAAACCTCGCCTATTTCGCCTCTTTGGTGGTTTCAACTGTCTTTCTTCAATAAGGCGGATATCCTAAGAAATGTGATGGCTTTGTTTCTCCGGCAGTTGCTCTATGGTGTCTTTCTTCCTGCTGCCGCTGCAATTTTAACTGGAGATACTGCCCCCGCCGCCGCATCACTCCCGGAATCCCGCATTCACTACGGGGATTCCCTGCTCCCGTCGCAATAGATAGCAACTGGTAGACGCTGTGAGTGTGAAGAAGATGGTTGTCCATACGAGATTCGATAATCCTAGAGTCGTTTGACGGGCGTCAGTGTGGTCTCCAACTTACGCAGATGTTTACAAACAGAATGCGGAACGCAATGAATGTTATTGTATATGTAGACGCTCCGCCGATTGTTCTCATAAGACCATCTCGATATTTCCTTCCATTGGCGCATCTACCTCAGCCACAGCCATCTGCCTTCTAAGAGACATGAATATCGTCTCCTAAGTTTCCCATGCTTCAGAATTCCCCCAATATTCCTCCTTTATTCACTCAGCACGACTCTTGCTTGCAAGGAGAACAGTCGGGGATGCCGGCGATCTTCCTTCCTCCTTGGATGTACAAGTTGCTCACCCAAGCGGTCTTGGAAGCGCCGATAACGACCTTGCTCCACCAATCGTTTTCTATTCCGAATCTTCGTAAGCTGGGATGAAAGAATTTCAACACGGAACACTGGACAACATGGTTGGCTTACCATAACCATTGGAATTCTTCACCAGTTCACCTCTAGTCTGACAAACGCCATATACGGTCTTGTTGGAAAGTTTGGTGAGGGACTTGCAACCCGTATGAGGACACTCGCGAGCATTCACGTTTGTCCCTTGGATTCGGACGTTGTGTTGAGCTGCAACCCCAGAGGCGAGGAGAGCGAGGATGGCGACGGAGGAAATATGCATTTCTGAATTCTCTGATTTGCTTGGCTGATGATCCCTTGATGAGGGGCCGGGACTTTGAAGGAATGATGGCTTTTTGTATGGGTCGGGACTATCGCCGGCGCGGTTTTGACTTCCACGCCGGTGAGGCCATCAAGGCGAGCCAAATCTTCAGCCTGCTTCCCCCACCGCTGGAACTCCGATGTTACTCCATCGTCCTTCACATCCCTTGGGATGTCGGCCGATACCCCAAACATTGGCGCTATCGGTGGCCAGTGGCCACGCTTTTGGCTTTCCCGTGTTTTTCATGATTGCCAGGGATCTCACAACACAAGAGTCCAACACTCAAAAATTCAAAATCCCCGACCTCAGTTTTGACTGCCGCTGCCTCGGGCGGCAACAACTCGGAATATTTCTACCAGTAGTTCTCGCCTGCATTGGCACCTTTGAGAAAATCTGAGTCGATGTGACCTGTCGGAGATCATAGCTGAGAAAACATGGCAGAGGCCGTCGAGACTCGAAAGGTCTGTGATAAGAAGGATCAAGCCCCTTTCCGAACCATGGTTGGCGCCATTGCCATTGTGGGGTCAGGAGCCTCCGCTCGTCCGCGCATCGCCGGACACAATCGCGCTAACGTGACTGGTGTCCAGGCTGATGAGCATGAGGGTGCCAGCCACGCGTTCCCTTTTGATGGGCAGTTTTGCTACATGCGTTACATATAAAAGGCTCATCCCCCCAGTAGAATCCTCTCTATCCGAAACTCCTCACACTCCAAAGATGCATTTCGCCACCACCATCTTGGCCCTCGTCGCTGCTGCCGCTTCCGTGCAAGCCATTCCTCCGGCTATCACTCCCCGTGATGCTGAGTTCAAGGCGATGCTCGAAAAGGTAATAATAACTTCACAAAAGCAGAAGAGAACTCATCACCCGTTTCTGACGCGTGCCGGTCTTGTCTTCAACAGAGAGGAACTACCAACTGCGGCTCTGGCGCTGGATGGCCCACGGACACCCTCATGCCCAAAGTCTGCGACGCTCTCGCCATGAACGGCAAAAGAACCGCCACCATCCAATTGCGAAACCAAAGAACGTCGGACCACTCTTTCGCCTACATTTCCAAAAACTACAAAAGCGGTGACAGAGTTTGGGTAGATCGTTCATCCGATGATGGTAGAACTTGGACTCAATGTGGTCCTTTCAATGGAAAGATCAGTAACGATCTTTCTAACAAGGGTTATTCTATGCGAGCTTGTATGGATATGGTTGATGGTGGGTTTGTTTGTACCGCTTGGTATAAGGAGGATTTGAATGGGGAACATGTCAAGGTTGGTGGGAAGGTGTGTTGGTTCCGTTGATCATCAAGAAGATTTCGGGCAGAGGGAAGATCTTTCTTAGCTTTAGGTTATAGAAGCAGCAGTCGTAGGTTTTGTCTTCGTGTGAACAGATACTGTAGTACGTTTGTTTGCCGCACGCCTTGTGCATTGATCCGTGACGTCCTCGAGCGAATTTGTCATTTGTGACGGTCCTTGACGGTCATTTGGGAAGGAGGATAAAACGCAGAGGGAGCCGGGTCGTCAGAAGCATTAGTAGTTTTCGGACTGACCATCTCGATTCGATTCGGTGACGGGCTGGTTCTATGTCGGAGAGGGGAGGCAGAAAGATGCCGAAAGCGGCCGATGCAAAGACGTGTGCCCTATGTCCATAGTCTGCAGCACCGTCGCCAACTGTGTTTCGTCGACGACCTCGGATTGGGTCAAATGTGATGAGTGGGACAGGGCATTAGTGCCGATCGATCTTGTCCTTTTCAGATTTGTTGAATAAGTAAAGCTCCCCTCATCTTCCCTAGAACGCGCAATGTGTAGCTCGACTCGCCTAGCAGTGCCCGCTAAGTCGGATCGGGTTATCGAGGCAAGAGGTAGCATGCATCTATTGCTAAAGCATGGTAGGCGGAACAGCCTCACAAGAGTTAAACACGTTGTCTGACTTGAACCACCTGTCCGACAATGAGCTTGGCGCTTTCGATGGAAGCTCGGAAGGAGCGAAATCAAGGTTGAACCAACCTGGGTTAAAAAAGTAGACGGCGATCTTCCGTTCTTTGATTTTGTTGACCCGTCGCTGAACCAGCAGGGACAACCGGAAATTGACAGCGTTCCACCCTACAATCAGCCAAACCTCCTGGTCTCCAGCGAAGCATAGGTGCGCGATGATGGCTGAAGATCACGAATCGATATCAACTGCCATGCTCGGCAATCGATCTTTGAAGGTACACAAATGAAAAATAACATCTCGACGGCGTCACGCCGGGCATTCGGACCCTTTTGCGAGCCCGAGTAGGTGCGGGTGTGGTGGTAGGGTCGCCGGATGTGTGCAAAGAGTGTGGCCGACTGTCGGATGCCTCGGTCCCTATGTGGGGTCCCGTCCGGATTGCACAGTGTCGTACGCTCAGTTCTAGCCAGGATTGCGAACCTTGCCGGTGAGGGCTGAGTGTTTGTCGTAGTCGTCCGACTCACAGTAGCCCAAAACCCTAACCCACAAATCGCCAAACTCGCGGCCCTGCGTGATCTGCTGCTCAAGTTGGCATTTTGAAATGTTTTACATCACCCTGCGTCCGACTGAAAAAGCGACGTTTGAAACTTTTCAAGCACTGCAATGGAGCCGCAACCGACGATCCTTAAGCTACTCTCCTGGAACATTAACGCGGCCGTCGAACACAGGGCAGAAAGGATAGCCGCCCTATGCGACATTGCACTGCAGCTGGACCCGGATATCCTATGTTTCCAAGAAGTTTTGTCTGCAACCCACGACCATATCCAGCGTTATCTTGCAGGGGACGGCTATAACGATTCAGGATATGAACGCGGCAGAGGCTTACACACTGTAGTCTACGTTCGCAAACACATAGGCGCTGATTTCCAGACTACTCCTTTGCCGGGGCGGATGGGAAGAACCTGTATCATAGCTCGATGTCGAGGCGTAGGCCTGACGATCGCAAGCTGCCACCTCGAGTCGTTCAGGCACAATTTCGAACGCCGGGTGGAACAAACACGCCAGATTGACGCAGCTCTACAATCCGAACAGCGCGCCGTGGTGTGCGGTGACATGAACTTCATTTTGCCGGAGGAGGCTTTCCCTCCACCGTGGCGGGACGTCGGGCCCACGGAATACACTTACGACTCGCTGTTGAACACGAGTATACGTGACGGTTTCCGTTCGCGATTGGACCGTTTGTACGTCAAAGGAGTGGGCGAGTGCGACTCTCGTTTGGTAGGGTCGGAGCCAGTTGATGGCATGTTTGTCAGTGATCACTTCGGGATCTATGCGGAAATCGCTCTCGGAGCAACAGATGAATCGATTATGGGTCGCGCGCAGTAAATGTTATCAGAGAAACTTAATGATACGTGTGAGATATGATAGATACGAAACATTGTCTGCGTTTACGGAAGAAGGGATGTGGAATGGGGCTGATTCTGCAAAAACACCGGTGGCACGTGCGGGCAAGTGTAGCGTCCCTTACCGCCCGACTTATTTCCGACGGTTCGCATTGTTCATGGGATCACATATGGATCTGCGATTACCATGCGAGTTGGGGGGTTTGGGGGGGGGGGGCGGAAGGGCCCCCGCTTTTGGCGGATACAGATCTCGAGTGAAGTCCGCTCAATAGGATTGTTACGCTCATCCAGCGCTTGTGAGAGGTGCTGGTTTGTCGAGGCTCAGCTTTCGATGTTCTTCAGTTATCCAGGCTCTCTCATCAGCAAGTATTCCGATCCCTAGATCGTTTTGAGGAATCTTCTCTCAATTGCTGCATGACTTCTTTGATTTCCTCAGTGAGATCGTCCCATCTTCCATGGTTCGCTTTCATTTGGATCACTGGCTCGACAAATTTACCGAGATTCTTGTGTTTCTCCTGATGTTCCTTTGATCTCTCCAGATATTTTTGCGTTTGCAAATCCGTAGCGTATGCGCCATTGCGCACGTTCTTTTCGTACCGCGCTGCATTGGCGACGTCCTCTTCGTTGGGCGGCTGAGCCGTCGTCCATAAAGCATTCTCCGGAGAGAAGGTCCATGGGCCAGGTCGGCAACCATTTTTTGATTCAGCTTTTGTGGGAACCGGCACCTCTATCAAGAGACCTCCTTTGGGGGTGAGCTCCGCAGTGTGGCGGTTCATCCGCCCGGGAATCATCCCCTTTTGTATTCTGCAGCTAAGCATCCAAACACTCTGAGATGAAGGAGGATGGGCTTGTGGCCGAAGAAGACTTTGTACGGTGTCTTAAAGTTGTCTAGGGCAGCCAAAGGGTATTGATTTCAAATGTGCACTGCTGTGAGCAGAGCTTCTCCCCAGTATTCATGACCAAGGCCAGCCTGAGTGAGTAGGCACCGTGCCATCTCAACCAGGGTACGATTCATATGTTCAGCTACACCGTTCTGCTGTGAGGTGTCGGTAGCAGCGCGCTGGTGTTGAATTCCAGCCCTTCTGAGGGCGATGGCGAAGTGGGTGGATTCGTATTTGCCTCCTTTGTCAGACCTGAGGACTTTGATCGATTTCCCAGTCTGCGCCTCCATAAGGGCTTTGTACTCTTCCCAGGTATCAGTGGGATCGCTTTTCTTGTGTAGGAGCTTGACCCAGACGATTCTGGACTGATCATCAATCCAGTCAGTTTGGATGAATGCCAGTACTTCTGTGTCTCGGGTAGCTTGTTTCTTTGGGAAGGCAGCTCTGGACTGCTTGGAGAGTGTGCAGACTTCGCAGATGTGACCATCAGGGTGTCCAGTGACTTTGATGTTGTGTTCGTAGCTGTAGGTGAGGTTCTGAACTTCTTGGCATTCAGATGACCAAGTCTCTGATGCCAGATATCAAAGGGTGTGCTACCAAGTGCTCCTGCTGAGTAGGCGTGTTCAGGGATAGCCTGGGCTTTCATGGGGTACAGACCGTTCTCCTTGAGAGCTCTGAAGGCGAGAGCACCATCCCTGGTCTTGATTGTGCACTCTGCACTCGAGAACTCGACTTGTGCTCCATTCTCAGTCAGCTGGGCTACCGAGACAAGGTTTTTTTCCAGTTTGGGAACGAACCAGACGTTTTGAAGGGTGCCAGCGTGCTCCCCATGGGTTCTGACCATAATGGGGCCTGTTCCAATAGCCAGGACTGACCAATTGTGAGCTAGTTGGATCTGGATCTCTGTTTCCAGCGTCTTGTAGTTCTGTTGTGTAACGTCAGAGGAAACGTAGACGATATTGGGCCCTTCTGAGAGGGCTGAGAGCAGTGTATTGTAGTGAAGAAAAAAGTAAGAAGCTTTTCGCAGCGGCCGCTCGACTGACAGCTTTATATATGGGCTGCCAGTGGGGCTTGCGTGGCTTCAGTGAGGCTTGGCGCCTTATGTAATGTATCACCGAGAGCTCGGGTGGCCAGCCCGGGTCTCGGATCAAGTAGAAGTAAAGAGATGTAGTTTACGTCGCTATTGTCAGCGGTGTGATTGGTAGTGAGCGGTTCTTCCGGCGTCGCGCATGTGATGTGATATGAGATGCTTTATGCTGTTCGTCTCCGTATCCACAATGATTGTGGGTGAGCTTTTTGCCATTGTTTGTAGGCAGGCGTGTAGCGAAGTGCGGATTCGGGTTCCCAAGTAGGGTCCGGATAACCGAGCCATTTGACTAGAAGATTTCGTATGGCGCATCGCTCGGCGATGATATCTTCTACAACCCATTCAGGTTGTCCACGTTCTTCGATTGGTGGAGGAGGTTGTGGAACTGTATGTTGCGGATATTGCTCTTCGCGATGTGGTCGTAAAATATCGACGTGAAAGATGGGCCAGATGCTGCTGATCTTTGATGGTGATAAATCAAGTTCGTAGGTATCGGGATGTGCTCCTTGGGCGATGATTTTGACTGGTCCAATCCACGTAGCTGAGTATCGAAGTCCTCTTCGAGCGTCTACTTCTAGGTTGATTCCTTGTCGATTTAAATTGACGAGGTCGCCAATTTGGTATGCGATTGGCGTTCAACCTTTGTCGTGTTGACGTGCAAATTGATCGTGCGACCTCTGAAGGTTTTCGCGTACGATCCGGGCGATATCTTCCTGCCCTTTCTTGAAGAGTTCGATTTCGTTTCGATCTACAGCTCAAAGTTTGAGTTCTTGTCCTTCGAGTGTTGGATTCCAACTCGGGAGGATTGGAGAGCGTCCGAGATCTACTTCGAATGGCGATGAACCTTCATATTCCTCCCTCGGAGCGGTATTGAATGCGAATTCAATTAAAGGCAATAGTTTTTTCCAATTGCTTTTGTCGTAGTTGAGGTATTGCTTCCAAATCCTTTTGACGCTCGTGTTTTACACCAAGGAGAATATCGAATGCAAGGAAGAAGTCGGAAAGTGCGCGAGGTTCGCCATCCGTAACGAAGACTTTTGGCGTACCGACATGTTTTGAAATATGATCTAGGAAGACTTGGGCTAGTTCGCGTCCAGTGATTGTCTTCTTGATCGGTGTCAAAATCACACGTCCGGAAAGGTAATAAATACAGACGAGACAAGAGTTTGTTTCATCTACTTCGAAAATCTCGAATCCGATCGTGTGCCATCTTCCAAAAGGTATAGGAAGAGGTCAAAGAAATCCGTATCGACGATGACCAGGTTTGAATTGTTGACAGGATTTGCAAGTTCCAACGTATTTGATGACGTCGGAGCGTACAGTAGGCCAGTAGTAGTCCGTAAGAATTCTGGCAAGAGTCTTCTTAACACCAAGATGCCTCCGGTGGCGAGTTCGTCATGGAATTCCGTAAAATCTTCGGGCGAATGTCTTCAGGAACGTATAGACGTCCTTCGTGTCGTACTAATCCATTTTCGAACGTATAACGGAGTTCTTTCGAAGTTTTCTCGTGTTGGGGCTTTCGAGAAATTTCATCGGGACAATCCGAATATGGATCTTCGCGTAGCGCTTTTTTCCATTCTTCTTCTGAGCAGGTAGGTGAGTTTTGTGGATCGTCTGGCATAGTATTAGAGGAAGGTTCGTTGACAAGCATGTTGCTGATCTGCGTATGCATGTCAAGGCGTCGTTGACATTCTACACACCGAGGTGCATAGATTGGATTGCGGGAGAGCATGTCGGCGATATGATTCCATCGCCCAGATCGATACTGGATGTCGAAATCATACTCTTGTAGCTTCTCCACCCAATTGGCTTGTCTTCCGCTCAAATGAGGTTGCGTTTGGATGAATTCGAGTCCCTTGTGATCGCTAAAACATCGGAAGTAACGACCGATGAGATATGGTCGATTGGCGACCAACATCTTGACAAGAGCTAAGAGCTCCTGTTTGCGCGTAGGATATCGTGTTTCTGCGTCCTTCATCTTTCTAGAAAAGAAGACCACAGGCCGGAGCCGAGGTAACTTCTTCCATTGTCCGACAAGAGTGGGCAGATTCGTAGGGATCGTTTCATCGCCAGAAGGTTGTCCAATCCAGGCAGCAATAGCATAGCCTGATGAGTCAGTATAGACTTTAATCGGCTTGGTTTCATCGATTATTGCTAGCGTAGGCGCATTGATCAACGCTTCTTTGAACGTTTGAATTGCCTCTTGTTGCTCAGGACCCCATCGAAATTTGACTTTCGAAGATTGAATACTTGATAGGGGCAGAGCAATATCCAAATAACCTTGTACAAAGTCGAGGAAGTAGTTCGTGAACCCGAGAAAGCTTTGAACTCCTTTTGTTGACTTTGGAGTAGCCCAATCCTTGATAGCTTGGATTTTCGAAGGAGCGATGCGAACACCATGTCTTCTGACAATATGTCCACACCATTCAAGTTCTTCCTTAGCCCATACGCACTTTGAACGCTTGATGAAAAGGGCGTGTTCTTCAAGTTTCTTCAGGATACGATTGACGTGTTCCCGATGTTTGGCTAAGGTCTTCGAGAAAATGAAAATGTCATCCAAGTAGGTAGCGAGGAATTCGTCGTAATCTTTATGGAAGATCTTATTGATAAGACGTTGAAATGCAGCAGGTGCGTTGGTAAGCCCGAACGGCACGACCAAATACTTGAAATGTCCGAAGCAAGTTTGTATTGCCGTTTTTTCTCGATTTTGTTTTTGTATAAGAAGACGATGGTATGCTTCTCAAATATCGATAAGCGTAAACCATTTACAACCTTGAATCCGATCCCTCATCTCACAAATATTGAGTAAAGGAGTGCGATCTTTCTTGGTGACGGCCTTGAGACCTCAGTAGTCCCAACAGATGCGTAATCCGCCATCTTTCTTTTTCGCAAAGACGACACTAGCTCCCCAGGGACTTGAGGAGTGTTGTATCCATCCTTTTTCGAGCATCAAGGTGATTTGTTTCTTGAGTTCAGCGAGTTCTTCTTTGTTCATGTGCCGAAGAGGTTGCCAAACGGGTTCAGCACCTTCAGTGAGTTCGATCTTGAAATTATCTTCTCCGCGATCAGGGGGTAGACCTTCTGGTTCCTTGAAGAGCGTATTAACGTATTTATTTAGGATATCCTTGAGATGTCCTGGATTCCCTTCAAGCTCTTGAGGAGCGTCCGGTATTTTGTTAAGAGCAAGGTGACAGACCGTGTCTTTTTCAAACTTGTTCCGTCGCCAAGCCTTATTGAATCGCTTGGAAG